CCCCCCCTCCGCCCCCTTCCCCTCACTCGTCCTCATCCATAGGTGCACAGTTTATGTTCAGTCTCTTCCTCCTTCCCTTTCCCCGATAGTAAATCCCTTTTCAGATAGTAAATCAGTTACTTAGCATTTTCTCATATCAATAATACCTCCACATGCCCAAAGATACACTTCACACAAAAGACATTTCCAAATAGGTCAACCAACCTCATCCAGGCCCTGCACAAGGCACTCACAGATCAACACCCCAGCTCTATACTAACTCAACATATCCAGATCTAAGCCTTCATCACTTGATTCAGCAGACCCTCAAGTTCCCGCAAAAGTTTCCAGCCATGTCTGAGAGGCAGCCTTGGGGCGGGGGCAGGTGAGGAGTGAGCTGTTCCGGGCCTGGCTGCTCTGGGCCTGGCCTCTGTTACCCTGGTCGGTTCCACAACCAGCTGCTCCAGGTCTGGCCGCTGCTGCTCTGGGCCTGGCCACACCCAACCCGGCTGCTCCGGGCCCGGCTGCTCCCAGCCTGGCCGCTCCCAGCCTGGCAGCTGCTGCTCCGGATGGCCGATTTTTAACTATAGGTTTTCTGTTTTGAGTTCCACACACTTCTTAATCCATATTTTTAAGTTTTTTTTTTTTTTTTTTTAAATAGACTTGGTGATGTTGAAGGATAACATTAATTTACTATGGTTGCTATAACAACCATAGATAGTGGCTTAAACAGCAAATTTGCTGTCTCAGTTCTAGACTCTGTCTTTTAAAGCTGTGTGGAAACTGTTCCATGCCTCTGTGTCCTAGCTTCTGATGGTTCGTTGGCACTTCTTGGCTCTCCTGGCATATAGAAGTATCGCCCTAATCTCTGTTCTCATCTCTACATGTTCTCCCTGTGTGTTTTTCTACTTGTCCAAGCACCAGTTCCATTGAATCAGGGCCTACCCTTAGGACCTCATCCTGACTAGTACTGCAATTGCCCTATTTGACAGGGTCATATTCTGAGGTACTGGGGGGCAAAAACACATTTCACAAAATAGTGGCATAGAGTAGTGCTGGTCATTAAGAAAGCTGAGTTTAGTTCTGGCTTGAGTGTAATCTATAGACATTATCTACATTATAACATTTGAATATGACATGAATTTCTAGTCACACAAAGGACTTCTCCAGTGTCAATGCAAAATGACAAAAATGGGGGCCCTAACAGATGGCTACAAAATGGAATGAAGAGGAATGTTGAACATTAGTGTTTTAAGATGTATCAATTGCAATTTAATTTTTAGGAAATGTGATTACTAGGAATCCCACAAGGTAGTGAGAGGAAAGCATTGGTGGGGGAAAGAGAACAAGATTAACTCTGAGTTGATAACAAGGCTAGGAGATTGGTAGAGTAGAATTCTCAACCTTTGTGTATGTTGAAAATTTTTAATTGAAGCTTTTAAACTAGAATTAGATAAATGTTATGTCTTTTTTCTTTGTATAGCAACTATAAAGTGCTTGGGCAGCTTTTCGAAGTGAATGGGAAATTGGAAAACAAACATTTATTGTAACTGAGCATGTGCTTTGGATGTTCCCCAAATTTAGGGGGAAACGAGTGTACAATGGGATTGTTGCCCAGCTTAACCTGGATTTTTAATCCAGTTTAAGTGAAGATTGAAAACTTGGAATGGGGAAAGTGGCTCGCTCCATCATTAGGCTGCTTAGGAATGGTCTGCCTTTTTCTAGCGTCTGTAAGTTTAATCAGGACACCAACTGTATCTTGTTCGTCACTCAAACCCCAGCATCTCACACAATGCCTACCAAACAGGTGTAGTCGCAGATCATTCGCAAGTGTGAGCACTCTTCACTAGTTTACTCCCTGAGTCTCAGACACATTAAGAAGTCTGTGGACACCACATCACTGTGATGCCCATAGGCTGGCCCACCATCTACATAGTGGGTGCAGGCTCTGCATGCTGAGCCATAGCCCTGGACGAATCCCAGATGCTGCCGGATTCTGGGGACAGCGGAGGCCTACATGACAGTCACAGTGGACTGCCCAGAGTCCTAGCAGAGTTTGTGCACCTTCCAGCAATGTCTGTTCTTGGTTCTTGAGTTCTAAAAAGAAAGAATTCAGAGCCAGGAACTCTAGTGGTAGAAGTTGATTTAACATGCAAAGTGAGAGTGCACTCTAAGAGGAGATTTGAGCAGGCTGCTCAGAGAACTGCCTTTTAGAAAGTCATAGAGCCAGAGGTATTGAGCCCACTGGACTGTGTAGACTCGGGAAATAAGTTACAACGGCAAAAGAAGGGTTCTTGGAAACAGATTCAGAAGATTAGTTCGGGATGAGCTGCTGCTGCTCACTACCCTGGTTGCAAGTCTTGTGTGACCCTTAGAGCTTAGGGAAAAGAAAGCAAAGATACATGCCTGAAGAAAGAAGGCACAGGCAAGCTCTAGAGAGAGAATTCACCTTGGGTCCTTTGTCTTAAAGGTTTTTGTTTGTTTACTAAAGGAGGAATTTTAGGAGGTCTCAGGGAAAGATCTCAACAGAATATAAATCAGCTTTCCAGGGGTGTCCCTTAATATACCAATTCTTCAGAATGAGAGGATAGCCCTGGCCAGAGTATCGTCCTTTTTATAGGAAGGTTGGCATATGATTCCATCAGGACACGTTACCTAGATTGTAGGTCCAATCCCTAGTTGGGCACTTATGGGAAGGCAACCAATTGATGTGTCTCTCTGAAATCAATGTTTCTCCCCTCTATAAAAAAGAGAGTATAAGGTTAGGATCATGGTCTCTACTGATTGGTTGGTGCTAAGGTAGCAGGCCATTGGTCATTGCATCTGGTCCTGCTGTCAGTCATGATGTTGCTTCCCCTGGTTTTGCTGGTTTTCTGGGCCTGGAATTGGAACACAACTGACACCTGGATGTTTCCCCTAATTTGACCAAAACTCTGTCTCTGTGATCACAGACCTGAGGCTTTGTTCCTAAGATTATTGGGTGCTGATCAGAACTTCATGGGCCTGAGGGCTTAATGCTTAAGAGAGGGGTCATGCAAGGGAGAAGGAAGCAGGTGAGTCAAGGTACTGGTGAGGCCAATTTGAATCAGCTGTCTGTCTCGGTGTCCCATTCCATTTGCCAAGGAATTTTCCTGCTTCTTACTACAGGCAGTCCTCAGGTTACTTCGGACTTGACATAGTACATCATTTTGTGGTTACATTGCCATTTCATATTAAAAAAAAAAAAAAAAGTTCCATCATTTCAATGTAAAAAAGTTCCATCATTTCAATGTATGACATGTGCTTCGTGTTCTTTATTTTTTTAATTTATTGTTTAAAGTATTACATATCCCTTTCCCCCCCATAGACCTTCCCTCAGCCTCCTCTACCTCCTGTCACATGTCCTCATCCCCCCACCCCAAGTGTCTTATGTCCATTGGTGTGCTTATATGCATGCATACAAGTCCTTTGGTTGATCTCTTTCCCCCTGCCCTCCAACACTCCCCAGCCTTCTCGCTGTAATATGACAGTCTGTTTGGTGCTATACTGCCTTTGTATCTATCTTTTCGTTTATTGAGTTATAATGTTCTTTATTTTCCATAAATGAGTGAGATCATGTGGTATTTTTCTTTCATCACCTGGCTTATTTCATTTAGCATAATGCTCTCCAGTTCCATCCATGCTACTGCAAATAGTAAGAATTCCTTCTTTTTTATAGCAGTGTAGTATTCCATTGTATAGATGTAACTTAGTTTTCTAATCCCCTCATCTGATGATGGGCATTTAGGCTGTTTCCAAATCTTAGCTATGGTGAATTGTGCTGCTATGAACGTAGGGGTGCCTATATCCTTTCTGATAGGTGTTTGTTTTCTTAGGATATATTCCTAGAAGTGGGATTACTGGGTCAAATGGGAGTTCCATTTTTAGTTTTCTGAGGAAACTTTATACTGTTTTCCACTGTGGCTGCACCAGTCTGCATTCCCACCAGCAGTTCCTTTTTCTCCTCATCCTCGCCAGCACTTGTCGTTTGTTGATGATAGCCATTCTGACAGGTGTGAGATGGTAACACATTGTCATTTTGATTTGCATCTCTCAGATTAGTGACTCTGAGCATATTTTCATATGCCTCTTGGCCTTCCTTCTGTCTTCTTTTGAAAAGATTCTATTTAGGTCCATTGCCCAGTCTTTATTATTTACTTACCACAAGTAAAGGTCAGGCATTGTTATCTTTTAATTTCTTTTGACTGTTTCACTTCATTACTGCTATGTATGTGCTCCATGTGAGTGAGGTAAGTGCTTATGCAGGTGGGTTCCGACTTAATGGCGAAAATTGCATTCTGTGGCGCCGTAGGAACGGATCTCCAATGTAACCGGAGGACCCCCTGCATTCCGCCTCATGGAGCAGCAGTATTACTACAGCTCTAAAGTAACATGGACAGATCTTTTTTTGAAAGGATACTCTGCTAACTTGAGCATTAAGGCATCATTGTCTGGCACTCCACTTTTTGCCCACCTATTATCTTTGTCACCCAAAGCCAGCTCACTGGATTCAGAAGAGAAAGAACCTGAGGTTAGGATTGGATCCAATATGTTTCTAAAACTTTATAAGCTGAGCCACGAAGGAAACTTGCGGAACACAAGTATGGACAGAGTTTTGATAAATCTATGCTTGTGCATTTTAAACAGTACATTTTTTTAGTTTCATTTTTTTAGTGAAATGTTTGCTTTATTGAAATGTTTATTTGTAGACAATCATAAAACTATTAAAGATAAATAATGCTGCTTTAGTCGGTTTTGCTCAGTGAATAGAACATTGGCCTGTGGACTGAAGGGCCCTAGGTTCGATTCCAGTCAAGTGTACGTACCTCAGTTGCAGGTTCCTTGCCCTTGTCGGGGACTTGTGGGAGGCAACCAATTGATGTGTCTCTCACATCAGTGTTTCTGTCTGTTTCTCCCTCTCCCTTTACTCGCTATAAAAATCAATGGAAAAAATATCCTTGGGTGAGGATTGAAAAATAATAAATCTCATTCCATCAGTGGCATTTATTGCAGAATGATATATTTTATTAGTTACTAGCTTATACCAGTTTATATTGACTATCAGCTTATAACTTCAGAATTGGATTATAAATAAAAGCATCAGCATTCAGTAAGCATGGAAAAGGTGAACATCTCTGCCATTTCCCCTTTAACGTGTACATGTTCACGTTGTTTTAGAAAAGAAATAATGTTGAACATTTTGTAATGCAGAAATGGGTTGATACAGCAATAATATAACATTGCAGACACTTTTAAAATGTCTGTTCTGAAATTAAACTTGATTTTAAAACCCAAAAGAAAGTTTGATAGTGGCAATTTAAAAAAATAATGAACATATGGATTTAATGTTGTCCTTTGTCTTATATGAAAGTCTAGAAGATAATGAAGTAAAACAGTTTAATAACTGGACAGATTAGTCGTGCTAACCTTTTTACTGGAGAATTGTTTAGGTACATATATGAACAAATTGTAAGATGGTACAACAGAAAATCATATGGACACAAAAAATCATTAGGCAGCTTGAGAACTTGGTAATAGTGGAGAATCTAAACTGAAATCCTGACTGCAGGAGTTTAGATCCTGTAGGCAGGCATGATGCTTTGAAATGCCTAAATAGCTTCAACGTAGTTGGCTGGGAGCATGCCGGTCCTGCCGGTCCTCTGCACAGTGCCATACATCCAACCTTCATCGATGGCTTGAACATTCACTATAGCATCTCCATCCTTGAAGGACACCTCATCAGCATCAGCAGCCATGTAGTCGTACATGGCGCGGAAGATTTTCTATTTGTGAGGGTGGAAAGAAAAGGGGGGAGATATGTTAGATTTGCCACAATTAACCCAAACTCTCAATTTTAAGGTCTCCTATGACTTACTCCATAAACAAAAGAGAATGTACAACCACCAACAAGGACGTGAAAAGACTAGCAGAATATATTTGCAAATCATATATCTGATAAGGGATTACTATTCAAAATATCTAAAGAACTACAATTCAATACCACACACACACACACACACACACACACACACACAAGGTGGGAGCAAAGGAACTAAATTCTAAGAAAGTATATAAAGAACCATTAAGCACATGAAAATATGCACAACATCACTAGTCATAAGGGAATTGCAAATAAAAAAGAATGAAATACCATTTTTCACACACCAAAATGGTGAAGAGCAAAAAAGACAATAAATAAAAGGTGATGGGGAAGATGTGGAGAAATTGGAACCTTTCTAAACTGCTGATGGGAATGTAAAATGTGCAGTCATTTTGGAAAATAGTTTTGGGGTTCTTCCCAAGTTATATAGAGTTCCCATATAACCCAGCAATTCTGCTCCCAGGGTGTAGACCCAAAAGGAATAAAAACATATGTCCATCAAAAAGCTTGTATACACTTACTAATTCACAACAGCATTACAACAGCCAAAGAAATTAAAACTCATGCCCACCAAGATGAATGAATTTTTTAAAAAGTGGTTATTTCCATACAATGTAATATTTGGCAATAAAAAGGAATAAAGTACTGATACCTGATACAACATGGATGATCTTCAAAACATTAAGTAAAAGTAGCCAGTCACAAAGATCTCTATTGTATGATTTCCTTTATATGAAATGTCAATAAGTACATAGAGGCAAATATATACAGACAGAAAGTACATTAGTGGATACATAGTATTAGATAGAGAATGGAGGGAAAATCCCAGGGATAAGGGAGTGACTGCTGATGGATACAAGGGTATTTTTGGGGGGTGATGAAATGTTCTAAAATTGCATTATGGTCATGTTGAACAACTCTGAATGAACTAAAATCCAATGGAATTGTACATTTTTTTTTGAATTGTACATTTTAAATGATGAACTTCCTAGTACATTAATGTATTCAACATGGATATGTGTCCATGTGAAATATGTGGACTTGTTTATATGGGACTTTTTTTTTCTCTTTGGAGGAGGTCAAACTTGTGTTTTGTAGAAGAATGTGAAAAACTGTAACAATATTGCAGGTATCTCTCACTTTGGGAATTTGGGAGCATACCAGTAGTATGCTGATTTATAATTATTTTAGGGTTCATTTTTGGATTTTATCTTCTTTTAATTTTTTCCCTGTCACCATTTATTCCCCCTATACTGTCTTCCATCTCCAACTTCCACCCTCCACCCTCCCTGGACTTTATATTTTTCAAAAATCTATCCCCATGCTAAATCCATATTTAATTATGATGATTTAATTATGATAGCTTTGCATATGATTTCTTTTAACATGGTTAAGTCCTTTCCTATTGTCATTTTCAAAATTTACTTGGTTATTCTTGCATCTTTATTCTTTCAAATAAATTTTAGGTTTAACATACAATATTTAAAAAATGCTTTTGGGATTTTTATTGCCTTGAACTTATAGATTTATTTTAGGAGATATGACATCCTTATAAGATTCTCTTCTGAAATATAATGGCTCTCAATATTTTTTTAGATCTTCATTTACATCTTTTAATAGAGTTTTCTTCATACAAATATTCATTTCAACCCTAAATAATTATGTATTTGTGCTATTGTGAATAAGATCTAGGGTCTTAAATTGAGAGTTTTAAAGTAGCTTGGTGAATTGTGGACATGATTTGACTTAACTTTTCAATATATATATTAACAGGAGAAGTCTAAGATAAGACATGTTCATGTGTGTGATGTGCATACAGACATACTGTATATTCTTGAAGAATGATTCCAAGCAGCATACATCTCAGTTTAAGTTAGTGGGTGGGACCAAAGAGCCCAAACTAATAATTTGCTTTGTTGTTGTTTTTTTGTTTTGTTTTAAATCATTGGATAATGCTTTATAATTAATTCTAGTTTTTTTGTAATGAAGGTTTTCTGATATTGCTATGAAACTGAGATGTGTTGTTAAAAAAAAAAAAGTAGAAAGTTTGGTGCAAAAAAATCAGAATACCTATCATTATTTTTGTACTTACAAAAGGTAAGAATGATTTGAGTAAGTTCTTTATTATTTACTTACTCCAGCTGTAGATGGGTGAGATGGGATAGAGGATACCGTTGTCTGTTGGGTGGCAACTGAAGATGATCGCTGTTGTGGGAGCTCTGTGGTTTTTGCGTGTTTGTAAGCTGAAAGGAAGGAGGAAATAGTTTATAATTAGAAATAGTTTATAAATCCAGACATCACTAAATCTATGTTCAGCTGCTGAACAGGGCTGGCTTTTCCCATAATTTAAAAATAATAAATTCCAAGAAAGGAGAAATGAAACATCTAACTCATGTGCCCCCGCCACAATTCTAGTCTTCTCTCATTAGAAGAAAGAATCCAGCCCTAGCCTGTTAGGCTCGGTGGACAGAGCATCAGACTGCAGACTGAAGGGCCCCAGGTTTGATTCTGATCAAGGTCTCATGCTCGGATTGCAGGCTCGCAGCCAATCAATGATTCTCTCTCATCATTGATGTTTCTATGTCTCCAACTCTGTTCCTATGTCAATAAAAATATATTTTTAAAAAACAGGAAGAAGAAAGAACCCAGATTTATTTATTACTCAAAGCTTCTGTTACAGTAACTGCCAGTGAGCTGGCTGACCATGCTGTCAGAGTCAGCGCCACCCACTTGTACCTGTTGAGGTTGCGGAGAAGAAGATGCCGCCGTTGCTGTAGGTGGACAGGTGGGCACCCTCTGAGTGCTCAGACTTCTCCTCGCCGCCACTGATGCTCAGAGCACTGGCTGATCGCGACTGTTCCCGGCTCCGGCGCTGAGCTTGGGCTGGGCGGGTGAGATTTAGAGAAGGAGCAGAGATGAAACATTGATGGCAGGAATCCCTAGCAGTATTTGAGTCTCTGTTGGTTTTTGTTTGTTTGTTACCAAGTATGGTCTTAAGGTAGCTTTCCGTGGATGAAACCCCCAAAGCACTTATGATAGATGGTGTCATCCTCAGTTTCCAGAGAACAGTTTAATAGCCAAAAGGCAGGTACAGCCAGGCTGGCAATCCCAGAGTCTGACCCTGAGACTGCTCCTTCCCTCCATCAGCCCATTTTCCTGCCTCACCAAAGTGAACACATGGTCATACTCACATTCACACTCCAACTGTGCCTTCTCCAGAAAGTCCTCCCTCACTTCCAAGTCACTTTAGATGCCTTTTCTATGTGTTCTGACCTTTCAAACTATACAGTCAGGGAATAACCACTGGTTTACTCTCTCTCTTCATCAGTAAACTAGAGTGTAAATCCTTTGAGGACGGGCACTACATGCTATTTGACTTTTTAGCATGAATGGAAGGTATAAAGGCATGCATGTGACCTCTTTAATTGAATGACTAATCTTTGAGATAAGACAGTTCAGAAAGTTGCTAAAGGTCAAATCCATTCTTCCCTTTGCCTATGTATCCCCCCCCCCCCCATTATTTCTCTAACAGAAAGACTTACACTGAGGAAGACTTACACTGAGGCAGTGAAAATTGACTAGATATGAGTTTGGTCCAATAATCAGGTGTTTTTATGCTGAATGGGAAACTCAGGAAATTGAAAACCCTCGAGGAAAGGAACTTCAGAAAGTCATTGGCTCCAGCCCACTAAATGGTGACATTTTTGTTGTGACTCTTTTGTGGCATAACGTACCATTAATCATGTGTAAGCTTCGGGACTGAATGTTGTCTTCTGCTGGGTCATAGTCAAAAACTGAGCCAGGATTAGTTCGCCAGACACGTAAACCTGAAAGTGAGATGAAGGGTCAGAGCAGATGTTCTTGGACTCTCTCAATGACGTGGAGAGCTAGGCACGAACTTAATCATAGGAGGATTGGTTTAGCTTAGGTTCTAGTCGTGACTCCTCGGAGGAGGAGATCAAAGCATAAATAAGAGAGGTCAGGCTTGCAAGTCATGAAATAATACAGGTTTTCTTTCACACCTAATGAAACACAAACTGAAATCCTTTATCCTTTGCCTCATGATAGATAATTCACTTCTGTTCCTCTACTACCCCCTTACCTTCAAGTCCATTTCCCCACTATGGCTCAGTCACCTGTGATAGTCTCCTGATCCTGGTCATTCCGTTTCTGTTCCATTTGCACCACTTTCCTCTGAATCCCTCTGTAGTTAATGTCGCTGAAGTCCTGCGTGTTCTTCTTCACTCGTTCAGTGATAGGGTCTGTCACCACCGGCGTGAAGCAGCCCTTGTGCTTCTCGAAGTCTTCATGGTATTTCACCTGAAAGTTCACGAATTGTTTTGTGAAAACATGATGGCGGGTCATTTCCTTTGCCCCGTGTGCCCACAGGCTGGCCCACCCATCCTGAGAGTGCCCGACTCACGGTTGAGATGTGGCGTTGGGTCTCTCTCACCCGTCTCATCTCTGGGGTGTCCAAGACATAGGCAGCTTTGCCTTGTATTTGTTTCCGGAAGCTATCCGAATAAAGAACCTGGCGAAGGAGGAAAAAACGAATGAGCACAGGTCATGGTGCTGTCCTCACTCTGAAGCTTCCAACCCTCTCCAACAGGTGGGGGTGCAAGGAGCTGGGAAGAGGGGGCAGGGGAGGAGTTTGAGTCCGAAGGACCCAGCAAGACCCCTGAGTAACATGGAGCAAGTTATCATGAGGGTGGCTGGGCAGGGCTCGCATCCAGGAGGATCTATTTTGACTTTGAAAATGTAACTTTCATTTTCAAAGGAGAAGAGGCACAGTATAATTTTGAAGGGAAAAGGAAGGAAGTGTTCTCTTGAATTTGCTGGGAACTGTAGCACCAGCATGTCTGATGGTATTTGGTGCTAAATGTGCTAATGGCATTTGAAAGAACTATCCTTCAAAACAAGTAATCGAGGTTGGTTTTTGTTTGTTTGTTTTTTTAGATTTATGTCAAGATTTTATCGTATGAACCCATATGCAAATACAGAAATCAAAGTCCTTCAGACACGAAACACCCAAAACATCAAAACCAGAGAAGGCATCCATTTCAGAGTATTACCTGTTTCCTAAGGTACCTTAAAAGGAAAGGAAGGCTGGCGGGGTTAGGAAGTCAATTTGTTACAGGCGGTTACATAAAACTACCTCAGAGGAACATAAAGGGGGCGAGAAAACTTGTTACGTCTTAGCACGACCATTTGGAATTTAAAAGCACAGTTGTGTTAATTTCAGTGTAAAGTTTCAGTGGAATAAGGAAGTGCACATTTTTATGAAGTTAAAATGTTATTGTCCAAGTTGTTGCATTCCCTCCCACCCCACACGTTTGTTTTTTTTTTTAATCCTAGAAAATACCGAGCTAATGTTTTCTTGGTTGCGCTTAGCTCTCTCCATCTCTGGAGTGACAGGTGTCGGAGTTGCTTTTCTCATGTTTTCTTTGTACAATACCTAGAGGGGCCAAGAGAGTATCCAGGCATCAGAGAGCAGAAAACCATTCCTGAAAGCCATCAGCTAGCTGGTATTATGGCTCAATTATATCACACTCGATGAGAAACACCTCAGGAAGATGAAGCCATTAAAATGTTACTGAATAAAGCACAAGGTGGAGTTTGGGCTGGAAGGGTTGGTTGGTTGGCTGTTTTTAAGTAGGAAAAGAAGAATTTTAATGGATAAACAAAAGTCTGGGGAACACAGTGAGGTAAATTAGTGGTATAACCCATCTTGGCCAGGCTTGTTAAAAAGTGTAGCAATTTCTTTTTTCCTCTCTGAAATACCGAGCTAAAGTTTTCTTGATTGCGTTTGACTCTTTCCATCTCAGGAGTGAAAGGTGTGGGGGTCGCTTTCCCCAGGTTGTCTTTGTATAGCACCTGTGAGATACAAAGTTGTACCCGAAAGTCAGGAGGAGGCAATTTTCAGGCTATTACACATAATGCAATTGGGGTGAGCAAATCCCGTGTTTAATCGATTATTATTAGTGAGGACAGCTCTCGAGAAGAAAGCTGAAAGCCAGTTAATGGCTAAGTGTAGTATGTCATTTAGAGAAGGTTCTAGAAAACGGGCAGGTGGTTTGTTTTTTAACCTGGGATGGAGTTAGGAGCAGGCCAAACTGCAGGGGTTACTTTGCAAAAGTTAAAAGCACTTTCTCAAGACAATACCGAGCTAATGTTCTCTTGATTGCGTTTGACTCTCTGCATCTCTGGAGTGACAGGGGTTGGGGTGGCTTTCCCCATATTTTCTTTGTACAAAACCTACATGAGTCCAACGGAACCAAAAAGGCAAAAAGAAGAGGAAGAAGAAGAAGAAAAAAAAGAATTACAGTCACCAAAGGATTAAACAGAACAGGAAACCCAAGAGGCTCAGGGTGCCAAGCCATGTGGGCAGTGAGGTTAGACGGAGAGGAATATGCTTCCAAAGGAAGTTGGCGTAGTTAACAGCAAGACACACGTTTCCAGGGCGGGACCCTGCGCTGACATCCTTGCAGCCTGCACCCCCTTCCCCCTGCCCTGGTCCATGAACTTCCAGCACCTGCGAGGTCCCCTAAACAGCACTGAGGGGCCTGGGCTGGAATGCCAATGAGAAGGGGGAGACTGCTCCAGATTTCATAGTGAGGAACCCCACCTTTTTGCAGGACTTAAACTCAGATGGATACCTCAGTAAAACCGTGGGTCCTTAAACAAGCAAAAGCTATCTCCTCTCTTTCCTCCTCGCTATCATGGTGTTGTGCCTCTTGCTTCAGTTTACTACAACATCCAACTTCTCAGCAATGATGTCACTGTATGGTAAGTCAATTAAACATATGGTAACACATCATGACAAATCCTCAACCTCGACGTCTCCCCTCAGTGTTATTCTTGGGGACCCGGGAGGTTTTGGAAATGCTGCGCTAGAGGAAGACCTCCATTAAGGTGGTGGTTCTCAAAGTAGGGTCCCTGGGCAGCAAAGTCAGCAGCATCTGAGGACTTGCTAGAAAGGCACATTTTCTGGCCCCACACCAGACCTACAGAATGAGAAACAGTGGGGGTGGGACCCCGCAGTCCGATTTAACAAACCCTCCAGGGGATGCTGGCACACAACTATTGTAGAAACCGGTAGACCGTGCTCATGTGAGGCCACAGCGTTCTTCACTACGTAAGCTCGTGTCATCTCGACACAAACCCAACCCCGGTCACGTATCAACATACAGAACATTGCAGAGCACAGGCTTACAGGAAATGGCTTACTAAGTTAGCAGTTAAAGATCATGAAGAAGACAAAAAGAACTCAAATTGGTAAAACAAAAGTCAGTTCTAGTGACACTTTCCTTTTTAAGTTAATTAATAACCATTTGCCAAAACCACTACTGAATCTTCATTTGACATTATTTCTGAAGAAGAGGATGGGGATTATTTTTCCCAAGGTCTCTTTGTCTAAATCTGACAGGGTAGATTAGAACCTCAAGTCATAGGCACAAAAACATACAAACTCCCCCCGCCCCCCACAACTCCAATGTACCACAAAGAGCCCTTTCCACCGACTGTGCTGCCTCCCAAATTTCACAAATTTCACAAATACAGAAAACAAAGAGACCTTGGGGGTAGTGACTAGAGAGTAAGTTTGGGGAGAGATGAGCAAAACAATATTTTATTGAAAAATCCATTACTTCCTGATATTAGGATTTTAAATAGTGGATTAAAGCAATCTTGTTATTACGGGGTTAAAGCTAAGGTAGCCCTATAGGGAAAAGGGATAAATGTGATAAAAAAAAAAAAATCACAAAATTTAAGTTGTCTTTAAAAAGGAGGATTAATACATATTATTTTAAATCACTTTTAAGTAGTAGTAGTTTTTTGTTTTTGTTTTTTTTCTTTTCTTGCCAAAGTACCGTGCTAATATTTTCTTGATTGTGTTTGACTCTCTCCATCTCTGGAGTGACAGGCAAAGGGGTTCCCTTGCCCATGCTTTCCTTGTATAACACCTGTGTGATGAGAAAGCATCCAGAAAACAACCATAAGTAACATTTCGTTTGTTGTGAGATTTTAAGGGTGAGTTCAGCTGCCTTGTTGCCAAGTTACACCATAGTCTAAGAAGCCAGGAGTTATACACGGACCAGATGCCACAAGCTACTTCAATGGCAGCCATTCTTGGAATCAGAACACACTCGCTAGGACACCAAGGACCTCAGCTGCAGTGGGTAAGGCTGTGAGAGTTATCCATGTTATTTTTTCATTTCTATGAGCACAGTACCTCCTAAAGGACTCTAAGATTGTTAAAACTCAGTTTTGTTGTTATTGAAGCAAACGAAAAGGTAAGGTGGTTTTAAAAATATGAATATTTTAAAATACCAAGTGGCAGAGAAATCAGGATTAACTGAAAAATTAAAAATTGAGTTGATAGTAGTATAAAAATGCAAGCGTTGTATGTATGTCCTTTTGCTAAGTGAGGTATATTAGAAGCAAAGGAAGGGAAGTGGGTTTCCAAAAAGAATAAATGTTTAGTATCAATTCAATTATGAGGTTAAATGACATCTTCTTTTCCCTTTCTGTCCAAAATACCGAGCTAATGTTTTCTTGATTTTGTTTGACTCTCTGCATCTCAGGAGTGATGGAGACGGGAATTCCTGTTCCCACGTTTTCTTTGTATAGCACCTGTATGATAAAAAGCATCCAGAACAAAGAGAGCCATCAACCACTTGGCTCCTCTGTGGAGCCATTGGGAACAAAAGGAAGAGCAGTGAGTTAGAGGAAGGGAAATCCCACAAGCTTCTAGAATCTAGATCCAACCTGTACCTAGAGTCATCTTTAAAGCCAGGGAATGCAGGAAAGAGCAGTGAACACTAGGAGATGGGGAAGGAAAGTTTTATAATTGGCGCTGTTGGAACTAATCCCTGCAGCAATGAGCAAAGGAGAGAACAGGGAATGATCAGCTCTTCTCAGCTTGTTATGAGGAGGAGGGACATTAAAAGGGCAAGAGACAGAAAGAGAACCAAGGAGGTTATTCTTGATTTGGAAATGTTATTAACAAAACACATAAGGATATTTGGGTTTTATAAACAAATATGAAGATTCGTACACACACATCTTCTTTTGTTGACTTTCAAAAGAAGTCCAAGTTTTTAATTTTTAGTTTGGGTGAACATATTGGGGAAAATTAATCCTTTTAAAGGCAAATAGAGAGTAATACCAAAATGCCAAAAAAAAAAAAAAAACCACACAAACAAAAACAAACACACAAACAAACAAAAAACACCTTGAAAAAGTCTGTACAAATACCAGTAGGCACAGAGGATAGAATAGGAAATGAGGCAAACTGCCTGACAGATGCAGGATAAATGTTTGTAAGCTTCTGTTCAGATCAAATTGGCAAAGCAGGGTAAATGTGGGTGCTTAGGCATTGAGAATGTTATGCTTTTAAAAGCTGGGCTGTAATACTGAACACTTTTTTAAAAAGTCAAATGATTATATTAATGTTTAACCAAAATGGGGAAACGAATTCATAGGAAATGGCAGCATTAAGTTGCGAACAAGACATGTCAAAGTTTTTATTGGGATAAGCTGATTAGATTTTAAAATATAGCTATTAATCTTTTAAAAATGTTTTTAAAAAATAGTTAAGGGATTTTTTTTTTTCCTTTTAAATACCGAACTAAAGTTTTCTTGATTGTGTTTGACTCTCTCCATCTCTGGAGTGATGGGAATCGGGATCCCCTTCCCGAGGTTCTCTTTATACAACACCTGCATGACACAAGAAAGCATCCAGAAAAACAAGAGCAGTCAGCACAGCCCTTCCCGCTCTGTCTTACAGGAAACCGAATAAGAAGGTTGGGACCTCAGACAAGAAAGACAACTTCAGCCTGTCTTTCCAAGCACGCATCTGGAGAACAACATGCACCATGGATCCATAGCTGCAGTGCCAGTAGTATCCGATATTCAGCATTTAGTCTAACTCATATATTCAATGTTTGTTTTCTGTATCAAGAAGTAATTAAAAAGATACAAATGCTAATTTCACAAGAGCACTAAAATGCTTAGTGTACAATAGGGAGATTATCTTTCAATTAGATTGGCAAATATTTCTTTTTCCTGTTCAGAACATCTGTATTAGATTGGCAAATATTTATTTTTCCTATACAGAATATCTTACAGCAGAACAGATATTCAAAACGCCAGGCCAAAACTATGCAGTATGGCGAAATTGGTTTTTGCTAAGTAACTTCAAATGATGGAGGTGGTCCAGTCTACAAGTCAAGGTTTTAATAAATACACAGCACTGTTTATTTTCCATGTTGTCATAAAGGTTCTGTGCACCACTGGACAACATGGCCTGAATGCAGCTTGTGTAATAATTAACACAAAGGGTTACTTAGAAAAGCATGATAAGATCCTGTCTAGGATCATTGAAGTCATCAAAATCTTAAACAGATATAAATAATAATATACTTACTCTAATATAGAAGAAAATAATTTTGAAAAATTAATGCAAACCTTTGTAAAAGAAGGAATAAGAATAATAAACCCACAAGGAAAACAGTGATGGTAACATTCCAAAAGTAGTATTAGTTGACATTTAAAATTTAAACGAAATCAAAAGGTTGTTAGTGAATAGTGATTAAAAACAAAGAGAAACAAAACAAAAACACATAGATACTAATAAGAGTGATCACTTTATAAGTTATATAAATGTCTAATCACTATGTTGTATACCTGAAACTAACAGGTATACTGTATGTCAACTGTAACTGAAAAATTAACAAATATTATTAGAAAAAGACAATGGGACCAAAGAAAGTTACTGATCTAATTATGTGAAAGAATCAATCTTTGAGAAAAATATTTAAACAATTAAAAACCATTTTGGTGCTCCATTGGTATGGCTCAGTAGTTGAATGTCAATCTATGAACGAGGAGGTCACAGTTCAATTCTTAGTCAGGGCTCGATCTCCAATAGGGAGCATTCAGAAGGCAGCCGATCAATAATTCTTTCTCATAATAGATTTTTTTTTTCTCTCTCTCCATTTCCCTTCCTCTCTGAAATCAATAAAGACATTAAAAAACCACACACACAAAAACACAGTTTGGATCAAACCTTCTCCCATCTTCCCCTCTCCCAGAAAAGTTCAGCTACATTTTCCTAATAACATTTGATTAGATCTGATTCAGATTTTAGATTTGAATCTAAGATCCTTATGATCTTATGTCTCACAGACCCTTTGAGGATTGTAGAAATTTTCAGCAATAATAATACAAGATAAAATAATAATAAATAAGAGCTTATGGTCTGATTTGTGTATTAAAAATAAATCAGAAGATGAGATTACTTTGGGTTCTGATACTGAGCCATTTCCTTTCTCGGACTGCTGTTTCTCCAGATAGGACCTACATTAAGGTAACTTCTGTTCTAAGCAAGAGCTTTTTTTTTTTTTTTTTTTTTTTTACATGGGGCCTCAATCCTGTGTCTTTTCTTGTGATGCCAATCCAGAAATATTGAATAAAAAGAGTTCCAAGTAAATAATAACGACAGTGTTTGGGGATTTTTTTGGACATCAATTAACTTCAAAAGTCCCAGTAGTGACATAACAGGTGAAAAGATAAGGAAAGGAACCAATTAAAAGTTTTAAGGGACTAGTGTAGAAAACATAAAACATTAGAATCAAATGTTGGTTAAAGAAGGATTCAGTTGATGAGATTTAGGAAGAGAATTTGTTAAATAGAGAATTTTAAAAGGACTCGTAATAAGTTTGGATTGATAGGAAGTTAATTATTATTTTTTTAAATATGGAGTTAAAGGAGCTTTCTGCCAAATACCGAGCTAAAGTTTTCTTGATTGCGTTTGACTCTCTCCATCTCAGGAGTGACAGGTATGGGGGTCCCCTTGTTCAAATTCTCTTTGTACAAAATCTGTGTGCACAAAAGCAACAATCAGATCAGCCTGGAGCCATCATTTAGGTAGACATAACCTCTAAAATAGTCTCTGAAAGTATTTTTGTTTATTTTCATAATTATGTAAAAGAGGCCTAAATAACTTTAAGAAATAGATCTACAGGCCACCTTTGGACATTTAGTCAGACAGCACGGTATCTGTCTCTAAGTGGCATTCACACAGGCAGAGCTGCCAGCGTGCAGGCAGGAGTCACTTACACAGGCCTTCTCTCAAAGACAGAGGACGAGGCCTTATCAAATAGCAGTCAAGTTCATTGAAATTAATATCTATAATGAGCTGTTGGTAACTCTAAATTAGGGAATGATAGATGATAGATAGATAGATAGATAGATGATAGATTTGGAGAATAAAATAAATATTAAAAGCTAAATAAATAGTAGCTTTCAATGTTTTTGAAACTACGCCAAAGGAAAACTCAGTTATATCTTGCGTGGTATACAAAAACACCTAAATCAAGTAAACTTGTATTTCTGAGTTACTAAAAACTGCTGCATTGCCTTTTGAATGAAAATGTTTAGGAATCACATTTTTTAAAGAAAAGCTGCAACCACAAAATATACATCAAACAGAGCCACAGTAAATACCACTAATATTCTAATTAACATTGACCTTTTATCAGGATGTTAGATTTTACTTTTGATGTGTGCCACACCAGTTAGAAACACCTATTGTTATTCAAGGAGGATCTGAGGAAGGAAACACTGAGTATTACAGAGATTTAAGGGAAGTGATCAATACTACGTTTTAGGGAAAACAGTTAAAATTTCACACCAGAACTAAAGTAAATACTACATTAGATTTAGATTTAAAAACTGAAGTCATATTTGGTATTATTTTTATATAAATTTAGTAATTTTATAGGCAGAAAAATCAGATGTTTGTAATATGTTAAAATATTATTTTAAATAAGAGTTAAGGGGTTTTATTTTTGTCCCCTAAGAAATACCGAGCTAACGTTCTCTTGATTGCGTTTGACTCTCTCCATCTCTGGAGTGATAGGTGTTGGGGTTCCTGTCCCCAAATTTTCTTTGTACAAAACCTGTGAGATACAAAAAAGTACCCAGAAGACATTCAAAGCAAGCATGAGGAATAAGGAAGGGAGAAATTTAAAACAAGAGAATGTGAGGGGGGTTATTTTAGTGAATAATATTTAGTAAGGATAGTGCTTTTACTTCACCATTTTAATGATTTCCACAATGCTAACTCTCAGAATAAAAAAGTACAGTGGAAAGCACTGAGCTTAAGATATGAGTAGAGTGAATGAGGAATTGTTTGTTAATTTTACTTACAATATTTCACATCTAAGTACTCACGCTTGTCAGTGGTTAAAGTACCATCAGGAAGGGGAGTCGCTGTGTGTGAGTCCCAATGGTGTGGGTTGGGTAGTAACACACACACACGCGCGCGCGCGCACACACAGACACAAATGCACACAGAACCATTGTTAAGATGTTACTCTTTAAAAAAAGGATGATGGGTTATTCTGGTAAATTTTTTTTAATGGGAAATAGGGTTTCTTATTTGATATATGTATAAATACCGAGCTAAAGTTCTCTTGATTGCGTTTGACTCTCTCAATCTCTGGAGTGACAGAGGTTGGAATGCCTGTTCCCAAGTTTTCTTTGTACATAACCTGCAGGAGATAATTAGAATACCCAGAAAGGTAAAGTGACCGTGGGTCGTCTGTATTACAGCTACACGTGTGCTTTTGGTGGAAACTCATAAAAACAGTCTTGCTTTCAAATATGACACCCAAGGAATAAAAGGAGAAGAAATTCCACAAGTACTTACGTTCTCTCTTCAAAAGTAGTTATTTTACTACTTTAAAAACTGAACATTAAATGGCGCAGTTTGTATAGTCAACGCTTAAGAGATTCCTAAAGTGCACTAAATAGTAGCAATGCTTTCAGCAATGAAAAAATATCTCCATTTGGTAACATCTTGTTTTAGTACCTTTCATATAGCAGGTCCATGAAAAATCTATTTTACTCAATAAATAGGTAGCTTGGTTTAAAAATGTCTAATTGCATGATAGTATATTCTTGCAGGGTCATTGAGAATTTTATGTTTGCTTTTCATTTTCTACTGAACACTCCTAGCTGGCCCTAGTCTGTGGGTACTTCGAATGTGAGGAGACTGAAGCAGTTTATTTTTTCAGGAAGAGCATCTTCCTGAAAAAGGTGGTTGTCGGATCACTTAAACTGGTGCTTTGCTAACAGGTAAGTCCCTATTTGTTAGGGTTTATGTCAGAAGACTGGACACTGTCAGGCAGAGCGAGGAGCTTCCTGAACCTCTAGCCACCTTTTCCTCTGAATGCTAGGCATTCTCAGCCTAAAGGAATGAGTGAACTCATGTTAAATGGACGGATTCTATGATGTACTAACTTCCTGTCTGCCAGCCACATGAAAAATCTAGGGGTGTGTGTCACAGATGAATTCCTAAAATCACTGACCCACTAGTGTCGATATCTTTGTTTCACTAGGAAACTTTTAGGGATCTTAAAGTCTACCACGTTGGTACAAAATGTTGTTTCTTTGCCCAGCAAGGCAGCATAACTGACCATGGGCAGCGGAACAAAATAAAACCAGAGAGACAGGAACTTGCATGAAAACTGACCAAGAAGCTATGGGCCAGTTTTCTTGGATTACTGAAACTTCACAAAACCCCAAGTGAAACTGGAGCCACCAGGAGGCCAGGGTGTAGGTAGGGCTTGAGAGGGAATGACATCTAAATAATATGAACGTCACGCAGGAGAAAGATCAAGTGTCTTTTAACCTATTTGTCCTGAGCTTCCTATCAGCCACTGCAAAGGAGAAAACTGATCAGGTGCATGATGTATAGTATCTTTGATATCAAATAAGTGAGGTGCTCAAGAGAAGTACACGGAGTGGTCAGATTATTATGCGTTCAGAGATCATAATAATCTGGCCACTCAGTGTATATGCTTTTGGTTACTAACTTGAGGTCGTCCAATAACCATATTGGTCCTGTTGGCACATTCACTTTAAAGATTGCACATGTGATGATTCATCAAGAAACCAAGTCCCTCCTGCTCGCTGACCATGTGAAGACAGAGGTTTCTTATCCACTCCTCTCAGGACAGGGGGAGCGTTCACACCATCCCCAAGACATGGGAAGCCCTTGGTAGGTGGAAGAAGGGGTGAGATGGAGCGAGGGAGCGACTGGGCGGGGCTGGTGGCACAAACCCATGCGTAGCAAGCATATGGGCTAATACCGAGCTAATGTGCTTCTGCGTCTCCTTGACACGTTTCACTTCCGGCAGGTCAGGGATCGGGGTTCCTTGTCCAATTGCTTCCTTATACTTCACCTGCAGACATGAAAGGGAGTACATGTGCGGTGTGTTTGATTAGCGGTCCCACATGTTTAAAATCACAATTAAGTAGCAGTAGTTCTCCACTTAGTTTGAATGGGGCCCATTCTGAACTGGGTCAGACGAGAGCAAAGCCAAGGACAAGGACACTTGGCCGCTCCCTTGTCTCATTAGGGGTGGGGCTCCGGGTTAAATCTTTGACTTTAACATATTTTGTTTTCTGACAAGTGACAGGGTCTCTCCTTAACCAAACTTTGGTCAGACTCCTCTCCGTCTTCGTCCTAAATAGACCTTGACTTTTGGACTTCAGCATCCACCTTTGCGTTGTCCAATTTTGGCAAAAATTCTGACAGCATCGTCCACCCTGGCTATCTGGTCCCCCTGGCTATCTGACCAAATTCCTCGCCCCACCATCCCACAGGTGCAGCCTGATCACACTCCCCCACCCTCACCTCCCACCCCTACCCCCGCCGGCCTCCAGCAAGGGTGTGGTTAGCGGGTTTAGTTAGCCACAAGCCTCCTTACCGCAGAACCTAGGGCCCAGGTGTTTTCTCTGAGTAATTTTCCACCCAGTGATCCTCCCCTTGCCCACGCCACTGCCCAGCTATAAATTCCCACTTTTCCTTGTGGTATTTGAAATGGAGCCCAGTTCTGTGCTGAGATCTCTTTCCCCTACAGTGCAGTGATCCTTAATAAAATCTGTTTTTACCATGTTACCATCCAGCCTCAGTTTGCTCTGACACAGGCCTCTCCATCTTCCATATCTGCCCTCGGCTCCCAAAAACTGCTCGGTGCTGCCCTGACTATGAGGCCACCCTAACTGATCTGAGCAACTTGAGCTCCTTCCGGTGACAAGGGTCTTGACTGCAGCTCAGACACCGTGTAAATGGTCTAAAGGAGGCAGGAAATACCAAAAGCAAGTCCACCGGCATCCTTACCGAGCTAATGTGGTCCTGTGTTTGCTTCACTCTCATCATCTCGGGTGTCTTTCCAATCGCTGTTCCTGGCAAGAGGTCCTCTTTGTATAAAACCTGGACATTCAGAATCAGGACAGTGTTACACAGAGGAGAGGGAAAGGGGGGTTACCGGAAAGGGTCTAGGGAACTTGGCTTCTGTGAAATCAAAAGCCACTGGAGGAAGTTCTTAGGCAAGTGCCCGAGTACCTGACGGCTTCCACGTCAGCGCCAGTCACTCCCACATGCAATAACGGGCCCCTTTCCAGATTTTGAGGTTTCTTTTAAGATGATCATTCCATATTTATACGGAATGAGAAAAGCCAGGAAATATTGGTTAAAAAATCTTGTATGAAATACAAAATTCATGAAAGAAATGTGAAGTTGGTTGGTTATTTGGGGGAGGGATAAGAAAAGAAATCACCTATGGAATACTACGCTGCTGTAAAAAGGAAGGAACTCCTACCATTCACAACAACATGAATGAACCTGGAGAGCATTATGCTAAGTGAAGTAAGCCAGTTGGAGAAAGATAAATATCACATGATCTCACTCATTTGTGGAATATAATGAACAGCAAAAACTGATGAACAAAAATAGATCCAGAGACAGAGAAGCATCGAACAGACCATCAAACCTCAGAGGCAAGGCAGGGGAGGGTGGGGGTTAGGGGGAGAGATCAACCAAAGGACTTGTATGCATGCATATAAGCCTAACCAATGAATACAGACACCAGGGGTTGAGGGCATGAGTAGGAGTTGTGGGGGCAATGGGGAATAAGGACACATATGTAATATCTTAATCAAAAAGAATAAAAGAAAAGAAAAAAGAAAGAAATCACAATGTTCAAAAGAACTCCTTCCTCCTGGAGCAAGACAACACAGTTACTGGGATTTAAAAAATTTCAAAAGCCCTAGCTGGTTTGGCTCAGTGGATAGAGCATCAGCCTGAAGACTGAAGGATTCCAGGTTTGATTCTGGGTTGCGGGCTCAATTCTCCAGTGTGGGGTGTGTAGAAGGCAGTCACTCAATGATCCTAATTGATATTTCTGTCTTTCTCCCTCTCTCCCTTTCTCTCTGAAATCAATAAAGCTATATTTTTAAAAATTTAAAGAAAGAAAGGTTACTGTGTTAGCAGATTTAAATTGTTATGCAAATGGTATGTGGAATGATGGTTTTATAGCAAAGTGTGGAGAATGTTAACAAAAAACTGCTGGTATTAACTGGGGAGGTTAGATGTTAATTGTCAAGCTAGTATATTTTCAGAGTTTGAGATTATCAGATTAGAATTGAATGAAAAATAAAGAGCAAATATACCGAGCTGAAATTCTTTTGATTTTCTTTCACACGCAGTATTTCTGGGGTGTCTTGAACAACTGTAATTTTTCCCTTGCTGTTTTTAAGGTCACACTGGTATTGGAGCTATGAAGAAAGAGTAAACATTTTGTTAAGATTTCAGCATTGTTTCATATATCTTTAATTGTCCTATATTGTGTGAAGGAAGTGAAAATCCTGTGTTTAAAGAAATGTCTATGCCACAATAACCACCATCTGATAGCCAAAGGAAAATTCTTTAATACAAATTTATGGAAAGGTTAATTTTTAAAAACCTTCGGACTTGTAACATGTCAAATTAGGATGTATTTTTTTAAATGTACACCTTACCTAGAATTAACTGTGGAAAAACAGATGTTGCCACTCATACAAACGATGATAGTTCATATTCAGTGACAGGAGATCACCAAAAAAGTGACAGATGGGTCTGTCATGCTTTGATGGGGCGTGAAGCAGAGGTGAGTGGAGAAGAGAGGGTGGGAGCTGTGGGGCTGCAGGGGTGATGCCCACTGTGTGTGCCCAGTGGCAGCCTCCTTGCCCTGCCTCCACCCGTGGGCTGTGTTGTAGATTCAAGAAAAACTTACAAGGCTGAAGTTCTTTTGGTTCTCCCGAACTCTCTGCATCTCCGGGGTGTCCAAAACCGTTTCATAAGAGGACATGCTCTTCTCTGCATCTTCCTTGTACTTTTTCTGGAAATAGATTTAAAAAATCAGGATGGGGAACACCACAGGGAGATGGTCTAGTGAGACCTAAAATGGCCTGTTCTGCTCCGCAGATGGGAAGTCCTTCGAGTTTTCCTGAGAGTTCAAGGAGGTTAGGGAGTTACAGAGCAGAGCTCCCTCCGTGAGTAGCACGGGCCTTTTCTTCCCTGGAAGACCCAGCCCAGGTATTAAGTAGGCCCCACTGAGGGGCAGAGCTGGCAGAGAAAAGCACTTTTTGGCTGGCCCATAGGAAGGAGGTGACCTTGTGCCTGGGTCCTGGCGGGAGATGGGGATGCCTACAGTGACCTGGATTGTGTCATTTAATTTGTTGTAATTATGATGCAAAAATCTAAACTTTGATTCAAACTTGCATCATAGATAAATCCCATCTCTTTTATTGGGCAAGATTGTGATTTGAAAGGACTTCCTTAAGAATAAATGCAGCCGAAACCGGCTTGGCTCAGTGGATAGAGCACCGGCTTGCGGACTGAAATGTCCCAGGTTCGATTCCGGTCAAGGGCATGTACATGGGTTGCAGGCACATCCCCAGTAGGGGGTGTGCAGGAGGCATCTGAGTAGATGTTTCTCTCTCATCTATTCCTCTCTCTTCCTCCCTGTGAAAAATCAATAAAATATTTTAAAGAAAAAGAATAAATGCAAAGATTTTGTACTTCATGATTGGGGTCAATCAGTGATATCCTGATGAATGTCCTTACCTGGCTGGAAAGGTTTTTGACTTGTTGGGCATGAATGATCTCAGGTGTATCAACCACAGAAGTGAAATTGGCTTTTTCCATTTCTGCTGAATGCTTATACTTAATCTGCAAAAGAATACCCAATAATTGAGTAAATGTTTACAATGTGCACAACGCTTGTTGGTTTAATTTGATTAAGAGGTGATCAATATTTCTTTCCCCCAAAATTCATTTATTTGACAATCAACAAACATTTTCCCTATTATGTTTATAGTTTTACACTGAAGAGTGAAATTCAGAAAGAATGAGATCTAGCTGTTGAGAGACTCTCTAGTTGGGCATGGGAAACAGAAGTGGGGGAACGAAGAGGGGGGAGGAGAGGAGTAACGGGAAATGAGGGAGATAATCAGCAGACAGTAAGGCATGGATTGTTTATAAACACAAGTAAGCAAAAGACCCAAACCAATCACTGTGAGACACTGTGGGATGCCTAAAAACTGTGTTTTAAATGTAGGCCTTGAAAGGAGGGAAAGAAAGGACTCCCAAAATATTCTAAGCAAGGAATTCCTGGTGCCAATAGAGGAATGTAATGCCTAAGAAACAAGGCCAGGATGACAGAGAGCCTACACCATTTCCAAGCAGCTATTTGGTTCCCCAATCTCCGCCTTTTGCTCTGAATGTCTCCTGTGCCTTTCTTCCATCAGAAAGGCAGATGGAAGTAGGCTTAGCAAAGGGTCCTTGATTCTTTTATAGATGGATTCATCAGGCAGATATTTAAGAATGATACTATATGCATTTCCCGGTCATTGACCAACAAGTTAGAAAATAGGACAATCTGTGTCCTTATAATCACAGTCACATTTTTTTTTTTTTTTTTTTTTTTTTTTTTTTTTAAGAATGATATGCAACAGGGACACTGACCTGACTGGCAATATCAGTAGCGTTCTTGGCCCTCATGAAGTCAGGAGTTTCATTGGCCATGGCGTTCAGGCCTTTTCCTTTGACTCCCAGCTCCAGGTCTCTCTTATATTCTTTCTATAGTACCATTATAAAAAAAGTTTCCTTACTCCCATGATTAAATAAAAAATGTGCAGAGTGAATATAAATCCACATAACATGCAACCTTAGTTGCTAGTGTTCATCCTTCCCTATGGTAGGATGCAGTGGTGACCACCAAAATTTACCTTAAGGCCTCTTTTTGAACACTTCAGCATCCTTTATTTAGAAAATTAATTATAAAGCAAATTTTAAATCTGGTTTGGTAACAATTAGGACTAAACTTAGAGCACACCACTCCCATTTAGTGTTTTTATTTAAATGAGCTCAACAAATGGATCAAGGTTAATAATATTAGATAAATAATAGGTTATGATAGCAATAGCCGCTACAGACAGATTGTTATGATATCAACTCATTAGAAACTAAGATATATTTTTATTTAATGGCAATAATTATGTTGGATATGGAATCTGAAATTCAAAAACTCTCTTTTCATCTCTTTGGATTTGTGTGTGTGTATCTTGGCTCGGAAGGAGAAGATGCTCTGTGATTTATGTGCATGCAGTTGGCTGGGGACCCACCTCATTGAGGATCTGAGTGGCGTTCTTTGCTCTTAGCATGTCGGGAGTATCTTCCATTTCATGAAGACCCTTCCCACGGATGCTTTCCTCTAGATCTCTCCTGTACTCTTTCTATATCACAAAATAAAAGAAGCAACGATGAGCAGAAGGCCTGGATTGCTCTTCTCAGGTAAAGAGTTAAAATCCCCAAAGATAAAAAGCCTTTTCAATTTTAAATAGTTGCAATTTAGTAAATAAAGATATCAATAAAAGCAGGACAGGATATAAGCTTTACCAGTCAATATGAAATATTTAGTAAAAACTAAAAATTAATAAAATGGTAAGGTAAGCACATTTTATTAGATACTCAATTGAAATATCAGAAGAATGAACATGGGTCATAGATAAGATGATCAAATGTGAACCCAACTCAGGACCCACAGTTAGGTGGTGGTTAAAATGGTAGAAGATAGTGAAAGTGACATTAGTGCAGTTATTTGGATCAACAGGGAAAGAAAAAACCAACGGGTCACTACCTCACTGATTATTTTGGTTGCATATTTGGCATGTAATGAAGCTGGCGTGACCTCCAGGCCAGTCAGGTTTCTGCCTTTAATGGACTCATCATATTCTTTCCTATATTCTTTCTAATGTGAGTGAGAAGAAAAGACAAGTTAAGGGGAAAAAAAGTTACTATTATTTACTAGAGGCCTGGTGCACGAGTACTCAGGGTGGGTTGTCCCTCAGCCCAGACTGCACCCTCTTGCAGTCCAGGAGCCCTCAGGGGATGTCCAACTGATGGCTTAGGCGCACTACCCATAGGGAGCTGGTCTAAGCTGCAGTTTGGCCTTCCTCTGTGGGAGGTGACCGGTGGGCCAATCAGGGGATGGCACCAGCCAGTGAGTGGCCAGCCCTGCTGCCCTCCATCCCCCATCACCCCTCCACCAACACTGGTCACCGCCACCCTCCCTCCCCACTTGCCATCACCTCCCTCTGCCCGATGGCATGCCTGGCACCGTCTGCTCAGTGGCCCCGCCCCCCTAACCCATCATTCGCCGTTTGGTCTACTTGCATATTATGCTTTTATTATATAGGATGTCTCAATCTTAAGAAGATATTACATTTTCTTTCAATGTTGGCCTCTTAACTTGGTCGTAGTTCTGCTGATGGTCACATACTTGAAATATGTCTGATTTTTCTGGAAATATTTTATCCAGAGCAAATGGCCTCAGGGAAATGTGATTGGGGCTGACCCTCCATGAGAACAGAGGTAAGGACCCAGGAATCCACTGTCATCTCTCCAAATGACATTTTTCTTAAGGCAACAAAATATTTTACTTCTGAATTAGAGGTAAGTGACTCAAGGGGAAAAAAATAAAACAACCCAGAGGAAGGAGAGCCTGAGGTCACTAGATACAAATTTGATCCTTTTCATAATCATGATCTATTATTTTTAATCGCTAAATAGGTTATGTGGACAAAATTATTTTTAGATGCCTCTTCTAACATTTCTAAATAGGAATTATGGCACCTGACTTTTGATGTTTTGATACAACACCTTGATCACTAATCTCCTATTGTTTGGCTTGGGGCTACCTATCAAGAGAAGAGCAATCCAGCTCTAGCCGGTTGCTCAGTGGGTAGAGCATCGGCCTGTGGACTGAAGGGTCCTGGGTTTGATTCTGGTCAAGGGTACATGCCCAGTTGCAGGCTTGATTCCCAGTAGGGGGCATGCAGGAGGCAGCCAGTCAATGATTCTCTCTCATCATTGATGTTTCTATCTCTCTCTTCCTCTCTCTTCCTCTCTGAAATCAATAAGAACATATGAAAAATAAATTAATTTGAGAGAGAGAGAGAGAGGAGCAAAGCTGATGGTAAGTCTATGCAGAGGGAATATTTCATTCATGAAAAAATAATTATATTCAATATAATTTCAGCATTAGGAATAATTTACTATGTTCTCTTTCTATGAAAATGATAGTTAAAAATAAAACATATGTGGTAAATTTTACTCTTCAGAACATTTTTGAAAACTGAACCATAGGATTTTAGTGGTCATATGGTAAAACATCCCATCATCTACTACTGTTGGATAATAGGAAGCTGGACACATTTGTGGGCAAAGCATGTTTTCATCAGGTGGAAGGTGCTTCTGCTGTATGTTGTGTTTGCGAAGGACTTACCCCGCTCTGCATCTGCTGAGACTCCTTGGCGGTGATGTACGTTGGTGTTTCAAAGTCCAACATGGGCTTTCCTCGTTCCTTTTCATACTTTTCTTTGTATTTTACCTAGTGATGAAAAGCCTATTAGATATCCTTCTTTGGGTCAATTTGTAGACAGATACCAGTTTATGGACAGTATTTTTCAATTGACACATTATGTCCAATTGGGTGGCATCTCTGCCATTCAAGACAGACCTAGAACTTTTTTTGTTGCCCGGGGAAAAACACCATTTCTGTCTACAAGGCATAATTAGGATGTGGGTTCAACTCATGGAGACAAGAGAATCACTGCAGAAGGATCAGCAGAGTGAAAGGCTGAGGCAAAGAGTCGCCCGGGGAAGATCACCCATAGGTAAGGTTGGCCAAGATTTGATATGTACAGATATGAACATTTTAACCCTGGCATTAGTCAATACTTCTGATTTTTAAAAATCTCCAGTTTTTCTTTAATTAAGACTTGTTATCAGACAACTGAGGTCTTGATTTGATGGATAATGCATGCAACTTCATAGGTTAATAACTCTTTCTAGGTCATAACAGTAAACCTATTTAATGCAACCAACGTAAATTGGTATAAAAATAAAAACTAGTTTACATGTGACTGACTTACTGAAAAACCTGACATTCTCTAAAACCCCCAAAACTATTTTATAAACACAGTCCCTCATGGGATGAAAGTCAGAGGCCCTTGCTCATGCAGTGTCTTAGCAGCAGGCAATGTTCAATATCACTGTTTTTATTGTAACAACATATCATCAAGGCCTGGGGGCAAGCACTACTTTATAGATAAAATGGGGGTATTTCTAGTAATTTAGCCCTTGTGGTGAATGCCCAACCAGGGGACCTTAATAATGCCAAATTTGTAATAAAGGAGGACATGCGACAGCAACCTCCTTCTCTCAATTCTTTCTTTCATTATTTGCAAATTTTGCAATTTCTAATATGCCCAGAGACTACTTCATTGGTAGGTCTGATCAGATCACTTATCTGCTTAAAATCTTCTCAAGCCTCCCTATCATCCATTGTTTCTTAACATGCAGTGCTTGGGGTCATGGGGCCTATCGGGGTCATGGTAAGGGATTTGTTCCCCTTTGTCACATAACCTTATGCTTCCAGTCCCCGTCAGCAACCTGCCTCACACACATTGCACTGTTTCTCCAATACATGTTGATGCTGTTATCGTTGATAACATAAACATTTGTTTCAAAAAATTCAAAGCCCCTGTATCTATGGACATCTTCTCAAGCGGCAGTTACCAAAACTGTCACTGCTACCCTGGGGGCGGGACCCACACAAGCTTTGGAGCCTGTAGACGATGAGCATCAGGGGAAAGGTCAGTCTTGATCAACTCACAATGCTCTGCAGTTCCGTGGCCTCCTTGAGGTGCAGCTGCTCCAGGTTGTCGGGGATGGTGTGGTAGTGGCCCTTGCTCTTCTCATACTTCTTCTTGTACTGGTACTGAGGGGGAGGCGGCACAAAGGGGATGTGGACGTTAAAGCTACATGGCGTCCCTATGTCTCCTCTTTGAATTAGATGTGTACACAGCAGCAGGAGCAAGGCCACATTAAAATGAGCACATGCTAACTAGGGGGGTAAGAAAAGGCTTTCAAGGCTGGAGATCCACAGTCAGCTTTGCCAGTTCATATAGGTTGTACACACTTAGGGCATAAGGCATATTCAAAGTGGGGTTTCAGAATGAAAAGTGAAAGGGGTCTTTTAAAGGAGGAAAGAGATTGGTTAATTGAAAGAAAAAAAAAAGTTGACATATTCTTAAAATAAAAGCATTTTGTTACATTCTGGGAGGTGTTACAGTCAGCGGGGAGGTGGTAGGTTACTATTGTAATTTAAAAGAACGCACTCAAAACAAGAGAGGAGCTTTTGAATCAACCTAGTGGGTCAGCAGCAGAGAAGTTAGATGCCTGGGAGCTCAGAGGAGGAATTTAGCTGCGATTGGCTGACACAAGCTGATTCTGGAGTAAATGACCGAGCTTACAGAACTGGCGAGTTGGCTGGTATTCAACACATGGTTCATTATCAGAGATTCCTTCATGTCAGTCACAGGTTTGTGAAGTTTCTTGAGATCGGCCTTGTATTTAACCTGCATGTTAAGAGGGGAAAAGGATATTATGTAAATAGGGGATAGTAAACAGTAAGAGTGGAAGCCATAATAAGACTCATCCAGAAACAAATGCTGGAGATGGTGATGAAAAACCGTGTCTTAGTCATGTAGCCAAAAGGTGGAATCAACATAATTCATCAACAGATAAATGAATACACAGAATGTTTATACAATCAATGGAATATTATTTAGCCATAAAAAGGAATGAAATTCTGGATACACATTACAACATGGATGAACCTTGAAAACATTATGTGGGTGAAATCAGCCAGACAAAAGAGACAAATATTGAATAATTCCATTTATATGAAATCTCTAATAAGCAAATTTATTGGAACGCAAAGTAGCTTAGAGATTACCAGTGGGGGGAATGGAGAGTGTTTTGCTTAATATTTTGAAAATTATTGTGGTAGCTGGATAAAATTGTGATGCAATTAATGTCTGGAAAAATAGTTGAATGACCAATTTCATGTTATATATTTTACCACAATTTTAAAAAACATACCTCACTTGCGAGATTGTTAGCATCTTTCATGACTTTGTAGAGCTGGCTGTCTTTTGGGTTGTATTTTGGTGTCTTGCCCTTCTCTTTGTCAAAATTTTCGCGGTATTTAACCTAACAGCAAATGCAAAAATCCAAATTATTCCTGAACATAAGTTAACTTGAAGACTGAGAATTGGAAAAGAATATAAATGAAAAAAAAAAGTTATACATAAAGTGATCATATAATTTATTATCCAAACTAGGACTCTTTTAACAGTGAAAGGGGCACAATGGTAATTAGGTTGGAACAACAGCCAATCAAGAATAAGATCCAGTAGGATTGTATTTTCCATCTTTAATCACTCTGGCTAATCATTTCCAGATTAGCCTGAGTGGTGAAAGGTGATCACCTCCTTTTAATGCAAAACAAAAACAAATGGGAAATGCATTAGGCTAAGTTAAGAGGAGTGATCGAATGTATTTGATTTGGAGCACCTTGGCCCTCCTAACTAAACGAGCTGAAAGATCTGTTTCAAGGAGCTCCAAGAGGGATTGTCAATGATCAGAAAGGTGAGATGTCAGGCATCTGTTTAATTAGGAGAATTTATTATTATTTTAAAATAGTACTTGACTATATCATCTTAATTTTTTTTTAACTTGGCAAAAAAAAAAGGCATAACTTTTGAATAAAAAGAACAAAGTTTAGGAATTAATGGCTTCTACATCATTTCCAACTAGAAGAAAGAAGTGAGCTACTTTATAATAATGAGAGAATAGGATTAAATATATTTTAGGTTCATAACAACTAAGACTATGCAAAGAACTCAAGTAGTTCAATTTTAAAAAATAAGCATAATGCCTGGCACTAATAGTTGCTCAATAAATGTGAGTTGATGGAATGAAAGGAAGAAACATTCATTATGCCTCGGTAAAATAGCTAAAGAAGCTGTTTCATTTATAAGAAAAATCAACAGGATAAACTGAAACAGGAGCATTTCTTTACTGAAAGACAGACTGGCTGCCTCCTGCATGCCTCCTACTGGGAATCAAGCCTGCAACTGGGCATGTACCCTTGACCAGAATCAAACCCAGGACCCTTCAGTCTGAGCAACTGGCTAGGGCTGGATTGCTCTTCTCTTGATAGGTAGCCCCAAGCCAAACAATAGATTAGTGATCAAGGTGTTGTATCAAAACATCAAAAGTCAGGTGCCATAATTCCTATTTAGAAATGTTAGAAGAGGCATCTAAAAATAATTTTGTCCACATAGTGATTGTCAAGAGTATTGTAGGATTAAGTTCTCTAGTTCACTCTAAGAATGAAAAATGAGCTATCTCTAGATGCTGGCCAGCTAAAAGGGCAATATTTGACTCTCTGGGAAATCTAGGATTTCTGTTATTGGTAAGAAAAAAGACTCGCCCATTCGTTTAGCACCCCAGGACCCGCTCACCCCAATATTTTACCCTATAGACATTTAAACGCAGCACCCCTCATGCTTCATCATGTTACTTCGCTTCCCCACCACTTTACATATTCAGCAGGTCAGACACAAATGAGACCACTTAAATGCTAAGAACAATGACATCTGCCACCCCAGAGGAAATGCATCCACAAAGCTGATACCCACTTCTTTTGAAGAAACCTTCAGTGGAATGCATAGGGAAAAACAAGCATGCAAAACAGTACCACGTGATGCAGGCACATGGAGACAGATACATAAAGGAAGAGGAGGAACACAACAGAAAAGAAAAAGGAAATGTAAATTACTGGCACCTCTCTGAAAAAAAAAAAAAAAAAATCCATTCTCAAAATAAAGAAACAAGAGGCCTGCTAAGGAAAGTCAGAGGCCATGAGGAAACTTCTTGTAAGAGACATGGAAACCCGTAAGGCTGGGGCGATCCCACGAGCTGTGAAATATAGAAAGGCAAAGGAAACCGGATGTCCACAGTCAGACCGAGGAAGAAGAATCGCAAAGGCCCAGATTCTCGGATGAAAATAAAATCTGCTACTGTTAAAAGTATGTTAGATTCCTCTTTCTATCTTTTAGGAAATAATTTGTTTCTAGAGAAATATTTCCTTATTGAGCAGCAAATCCACTGGTCTTGCTTCCGTATCTTTTTCTTCTGTTAATTTAAAGTAAACTTAAATTTTCAACTTTTTAATAAAAAACAAAAAATCTATGCCTCTGTTTCCTACAGAAAGACTCCCAAGCAAATGTAACCTAGAAAACGATTATTATGAATCTGAGTTCAGCACAAAATGAACTTCTCTTTTGACTGGATCTCCTTAAGAATTACTTACTACATTTTGAAAGATATGGACACACATCAGAATCAGGACTCCAGGAATTCTGGAAATAGGCGGTAAGTATAGTAAATTCCTGGCATTGTACTGGGAATGAGAACAGTCATACTACATACATGCGTGTTATGGAATGGTAAAGTCTTCTTTTTCTTGTTAATCATGGAACCTGAGAGGCAACCATGCAATGCCATGTATTGGCAAGTGCAACATCAGCATTTATAATCCCATCAGGCTCAGGTATTGGCTTACATGGATGTGGTATAGGAAATATTTTCAAATGAATTATTCTTCCAAAATTTAATTTAATTAAAGGTCTGAGATTCAACTGTTGAGCTCCTTATCAAGGAGTTGGTACTTGTAATGACTGAAGAACAGACCCAAGAATTAGAAAACTTCTTGCTATTAAGACTGTAAAATAGCGGGTGAAAGAATTATGAGTTCACAGTATTGCCCGAGTGGAGAGACTATATTAAGTGCCAGTCTCAAATGTATTAAACATCAACAATGGCCATCAGCAGAGGTTTTCTCTGTGTGGTTGAAAATGAGATTCTCCATTTGTTTCCATTTCATCTTTAATTTGCTCTTTGTCAGCTACCCAAAATATACTGGGAGTCCGAGTCTAATCTATCTTCCTACTCCAAGTGGTATGTTCCAGAGGGCAAGTTTCATGCATGAGAAGATGGGTGTGTGCAAAAGTATATTCTTTAACAAATTTCCATAGCATTCTACACATGCTGACACAAAATCAACAGAAAAGAGTGCAACTTGGTCAGTCAGTCCCCTGACCAAGGCTAGGAAAATTGACAAAAAAAAGAGGAAGACAGAGATCTCAACTTGCTGGTGCCAGTCTTACATCACTCATGAGTGCATTAACTTTCTTAAGATGCCTCATCATAGGGGTGTCATAAGATGCAGCGCCGTGCCCGTGTCCTCTCCTTTGGCCTTTGAGGTAGTCTGCCTAGAGTGCCAGCAAGACAGCAAAGTCAGAATGGGGAGGGCCCACAAAGAGGTGGGCCAGGCAGTCACACCATGAAGCTGTAAATGCAGAGGCAAGCCTTTCACGGAAAGTAAACACAGGAAGGTGAACTCATAAAAGGTTCTGGTTGGGTCTCATTCTCCATATCAGAGCATTCACTTAGAATTAGGAATATGAGCCTCTTGATTTTTAAATACAGCAAAGTCTTTAAAATGTCAACATGCAAAGTCATTTCTTTGTTTTTAACTTGATAATGGTATGACCTTGGGAATTTAAAAACATATTAAAAAATTTTGCATTAGAAAGTTCTTGACACATTTCATTATTCTTAGAGATTACACTGTGTTTTTTCTTTTTGTGGTGATTTAATATTTTGGTATCAAATGCTTATACAATTCCATTAATTTATAATAAAACATTGCATAGGGGTATTACATTAAAAACTTAAAAAGTCATATTTGCTTGTCATCAGGCATCTTAGAACCTTTCGTCTCTTTATCATTATGGCTTGTTTTGTCACTTGGTATTGCTACTTTATACCTTCCAAGAGATTGGAATCCCATGTGTGCTATTGCTGAAAGTCATACATAAAACAACCAAATGTATCCCAAACCTGTTTTTTTACACAAATACTTGAGAGAACAGACAATGGAGAAGAAGGTAGGACCTCTAAATTGGAGAAGAAATAAGTTATTCTTGAGCTCAAGTCCTACAGAACTCAGACTGGCTCTCTGAAAGAGCTGGCAGTGGATCATGGAGTCTCTGAGCTAAAGTCTGAAAGCCTGCCATAACTCAGGAATATTGGAGATAACTGGTCTAACAATTATATAGTAATGTGACAATTAGGTCTGAGCAACACATTTCCGAGTCCATCTTCTCAATAATATCAAATCCGCTAGAATAGAGCATTCCCACTCAGCACCCTGGGGAATACCTTGATCAAACATTTGTCATCCCTATGGTACTTACTTATTTATGGATGGATAAGTAAGTCTGAGGGCATCTTCCCTAGGTCCTAGCACAGGCACTTCATATATATGTATGTTGAATGAAAGAATAAAGGTTACTGCATCTGGTTGGATTCTAGAAGTTAGAATTTCATGACACTTGCATGTTAACAAGACCTCACCGGTGAGTTAAGTATGAATTAAACTTTTGGGATGTAAGCTCCAATGTCCAGAGACAGCTTCCAAGAGGAGCTCTGGAGCTTATGTTCTTATCGCATGAAAACAGCTAAGCACTCAACACCTAGACACACACCCATATGTGAAAAAGTGGAGAAAAAGAGAGGCCTGGAGACATTAGCCATAAACAAGAAAGATGGTCCTTAACACATGTCACGTTTCAGAGCTAATCTCCTCATGTTAGAGCTGCCTCTTGCCCGTCTGCCTTACCTGGCTGCTCAGCTTGGCTGCCTTTTTGGCCATTTCAATGTCTGGGCGACCAAGCATGCTTAACCCATGGCTGCCCTCCTTCCGGTGCTTGGCTCTGTACTCCACCTGGATCGAAGAAAACCAAAATGTGCAATGCATTCTGGGTGGTGTCGCCCTTGGGGATCAGGCACATGTTAACCACATCCTTACCTCGCTGGCCTGCTTGGCTGCCTGTGTGGCCTTCTTGATGTCAGGCCGATCAGCCACTGTGGTGTAGTGCAAGTTTTCTTTGGCATCTTTTCTGTAAGCAACCTTTATATGGGGGAAAAAGTTCACTCCTTTGAGAGATATGATATCGTTCCGAAGTCCTCATGAAGTACAAGGGATCTTTTTACTAAAACCAAACTAACCCCACCACCATATTTATTAAACTAGTAGAAGACACAAAAGTTAGGGCAACAGAAACCAGCATGCACCAATTTGAAATCCACGGGAAGAACCCAAAGAGTGTCTAGAGGAGAAACTTACGTCACTCTGCTTCTTGGCCACTTCCATGGCATGTTTCACGTCTGGGGGCTCCAGCATGATGGAGTAGTTGGATTTCCCTTTCTCCTTGACAAACTTCTTTTTGTAATTTGTCTGAAAAGAGCCGGAATTACATATGTGAGCGGAGGAAGCTGGGAACAGGATTGATTTACTTGAAGAACTTTTGAGAAGATCTCCAGGGAAACCCCCAGCTCTCCATTTTGGACCTGTCTGGAACCCGGGTCTCTCGGTCCATATTCTAGTTCTTCTCTGTCACCTCTGTCCCATAGCCTAACACTGGAACCACACACCAATCTTTGGAGAAATGACCACAGGGAACTTAAGCTCTGTCATGCATAATTTCTACCTTTTTTTTAAAAAACAGATGGAACTCTATAGGGCTCATAAACTATGATATCGTGATTATTAATATATTATTGATTAGGCCATAGTAGTCAGAGATGACCAAGATATGGAGGTGGTTTGCTTCTCTAAAATTGTTTAGCAGTTTAATGGTAGGAGAGACCAATCTCCATTAGCGATCTTTTCTCCCCTCATCAGCACTAGGTTAATAACAGCTCACTTATATTGCTAGATAACACGACCCATGGCAAAATCCACACCTGCCATAGTTGCCATAACTGGATAAATAATAAGTTGGCCTTTTAACCAGAGTTCAAAATTGTGACCACGGGCAGGTGTTGATAGTAAGAACACAATGGCTTTAAGGAAGGTGTTTGGCAGCTTTCAGTCTGGCTGGATGCTAAGGTCCCCGGGGCTGTCACTCACGTCGCTGACATGCTTGGTCACTTCCTTGACGCGAATAGTGTTCGGGGTCTCTGGCAGCGTCGTGTATGAGCCCTGGGCCAAGTGCTTCTTCACGTAGTCCTTATACTTGTTCTGAGGGGATCCACAGAAAGCGTTAGAGCGTCTGGTTGGGCGTGAGCCCAAGGAGAACACGGAACCCACAGCAGCGGGAGGGGTACCTCGGACACCAGGTTGCTGACAGCCTTTGCCAGGAGGATCTGAGGTGTGTCGGGCACGGCGTGGCAGCTTCCTCTTTCCTTGACGTGTTTCTCTTTGTATTTCAGCTGCGGGGGAGAAGCAAGCGTGTCGTTAGCTCCTCTGGGTCCCCTGCATATTTTTAGTAAGCATCCAGGTCACCAGGCAGAGCTGGGAGGACAGCATGGTGGATACCGTGGGCACATTAAACTCAAGACGTGATGTTTGGAAATCTTGGGAAGTATGTGGTCATGATTTTCTTTATCTCTTGCAAGTTGAGTCTAGATTTTAATAATAATCAAAATGGGGCTTGAGCTGAATCTTTATACATATAACCTAGTTCAAAGCTCTTTCAAATGTCGTTTGACCTTCCCCCAAAGCCCAGGGGGCATTGTTATTCTTCCTTTCCAGAGGAGGAAAGTGCATACAGAAAGAATGGGCGCCCACAAACGTGACTCATTTTCCATGTGGAACCCAGCAGGGCCTCACGTTCCTGGTTCTGCTGTGTGGGTGCAGGAACGGTCAAGACAGTCACCAGGTTTAATACCTTCCCGCTGTGCGGCCCTGCTCTGCCGTATCAGGTCCTGTTCCAGCACCCACACCCCCAACAGCAGCCTGGTCCTTCCCTAGTGTCCCTGGGAGACGGGTCTGAGCATGGTTAAGTGTCGTGAACAGGGCAGGTACTCACGTCGCTCTCTATTAAGGAATTCCTCAGGGCCAGCACCATGTCTTTGTCATCGGTGACGGACAGCTTACAACCCTTGAGGAACTCTCGGTCCAGCTTGTATTCAAACTGTCACAGGAGAAAGGCAGAGGGAGATGGGGAAGGGGGGTAGGCACAGGAGAAAGCCAGTCTTTGACCAAACCCATAAGGAGGCCGCCTCTTAAAGAGGGCTTGCTACAGAACGGGGGCAGAGGCCTCTGGCCCCTCACTTCCTGCTGAGCTCCTCCTTTCCAGCCCCGAGGCTTAGACCAAGACCCCCAAGCCCACTCGCCTCCAGCCCCACCCCAGCCTCGCTCAGGTCTCCGAGCCATTGGAGCCAGACCCAGACTGTGAGGCCAGGTCTGCTTCCTGAGCCCACCTTCCACTCGCACAACCCCTGTCCTTGGATCTCAAATGGGCTAGGTTAACACACTCCATGGTGGTTATCATGACTAATTATTGATTTTCTGTCTGAGTGGGTGTAATGACTGTGGCCCAGGCTGATGTGTCTCCTCTATCTCACATCGCTTTGCTGCAGGGAGGACTTGGCGGCCTGGAGGAAGTCGGGTCGGTCAGGGATCCACCTCCAGTGGGCTTTGTTGGCTTCATACAGCTTCTTGTAGTCCAGCTGTTTTTAATGAGAGGAAAACGAGTCGCATCAGTCAGGAGGCTGAGTTCCTGACCACACACATGGCACTGAGGGACTCACCTTGCATTTTAACGTACAACAAGTCCTGGTTCTTTAGGCAAGAGAGAGCCCCAATGAAAATTTCTCTACAATTTATGCAGCTGGTCAGCCACTCAGGAGGTTATCTTGTGGGACCCTTTGTCCTCAATAGGGGCTAAAATTTTTAAAGACCTCTGGGGGGAAAGATTCTACAATCTTTCCAGCTCTGCCAGCGCAGCTTAGTCATCTTCAGAGCACTTGAGCACTTTTAACTTCTAACTTAATTCAGGCTTAAAACAATATTAAACATATATAGTACATTCTTTTGTGCCAGGCACTTTTCTTAGTGCTTTATAATTATTAACTTATTTCATCTTTGCAAGAACTGCATGCAGTTGACAGATGAGGAACTGCCTAGAAAGGTTAGTAACCTGTCCACTACAGGCATTTCAGTTTGCTGGCCCTAACAAACATATGTTCTCTCTGGCACTAGTGGGCACTAGTTGGGTTGTAATGGTTTCATTTTATAACCATACATATATGGCTTAGGCTAACTCATGACAGCACAAAGTGGTTAAATTTTTTTTTTGTCCATAAAGAACAGGCCCTAGGGTGTGGGGCAGGAGGAGAATATGGAGGGTGGAGGGAAGGAAAGATACTGAGATACTTTCTAAAATGCAAATTTCATTTCAGAATTGAGTCTCACATTTCTCAGCCACCTAGCATCAAGGCAGAGCAGGTGTAATGACTGTGGCCCAGGCTGGCCACCCTTGCTCTTCCCCAATGACCTCGGTGAGAACCAGAGGCAGCATGGAAATTTCAGCGTCCTTATGCTCGCTCCTAGCACCTAACTCTTGATCCGGACTCAATCTCTGGAAGCGATGTGAGAGATCCTATGTTCCGATGAAGCTGATGAATCCCCGTGAGGCTAGGGGAAGTTTTTGGAACTTACGTTGGTGTTGACTTTGTAGGCATCCTTGGCTGCTTTGATGTGAACAGCATCTGGCTTAATGGTGCAGTTGGACTTGTTTCTTTGGTAAACTTCTTTGTATTTCAGCTGTGGGAGGCAACACAATGACCAGGTTACTTTTTATAGCAGTCTACTTAGATACTTAAAAAAATAAGAATGAAAACCGTGTTTATAGTTAGTACACACTGCTCCATGAATCTGTGGGTAGAAAGGTTGTGGCCATGCAGACATGTGTGTTCCTGTCTCAGATTTTAAAACCAGCTCCCAGGACACACTGAGCGTGCTCATTAGTGTCACGGTGTCACTCACGTCCCCTGAGGTTGTGCTGGAAGGGCCAGCTGCACAGCTTTCCCTGTATGTTCTCCCTTTTCCAAATCAGAAAATTCCAAGTTCAGAACATCTTGAAAACTGCTGACGGAAACGAAGCTTCTCCCACCCAGATGGAATGAGTCTTGCCCTCCTTCTGTACCCCTCACAGCTCCAGCTGTTATCACCTCATGTTGTAATTATTTGCTTAACTGTCTATTCTTTCCATTAAGCTGAACTCCTCCAACGGCAAAGACTGTATGTCATTCATCATTGTTCCTAGTGTCAGGCACATTTGTTCCTGGTGTCAGGCATATAGAAACCCAATAAATGTTTGATGAGTGAATGAACGGATGGATGGATGGATGCAGTCATCACTATCATCACTGTTAGAGCCACATCTGGCCAGTTTGGGCATACGAGGCTTTGAATGAGAGGGAGAGTGTCAGGGAAGGCTTAGTCTCAGGGCCCAACAGGTGGTTTCCCCATCCAGGCCCAGAAGTTCTAGCTTCACCCAATTCTGCTCCTTGTAAATTTCAGGGCCCTGGAGCCTCACTTATTGTTGCTGAGGGATCCTCATTCATTGTTGCTGAGGGATCCCAGGTGTTAAAGTGGTTAAATCTGAAGTCAGACTGTTCTAAGGAAGCCTAGTAGCATTACTAAATTTGCTTGATCCCAATTTTCTGCACTCCACCACACACATAAATCAATATCTTTAGGGGAAAGACATGGAAATTCATATTTTACATCCATATCTCAGGTTATTGTTATAATTAGAAAATGTGGGAGAATGGACACCAAAATGCTTCCTTTTTCTACAGTGAAAGGGGAAAGGCTGCTCTGCATAAAGAATTGACCTAACAGATGTTTATGAATACCTAGCTGTCCATGTTTGAAATGCCAATGCTTAGGTTATCATGAAAAAAAACGAAAAATTTTTATATGCATTTCTGCCTTCATACACAGTACACAAATGTATTTAACAGTTTTTCATGGCAGCTCAGGTCAGCATTGTGAACACATTTATTCATCTATCAGGGAATTCCTGAGCACCAGGCGAGGTCAAGGCTGTGGGTAAGGATGCATGTACGCCACAGCTGCCTTTAATATTCTCTCTGGTGCAGGATAGCCATGGACTTCCTTATTTATTTATTTATTTATTTATTTATTTATTTATTAACAATCATGATAGTTTTCAACCACATAATCTATCTATATATATGGAAATTTATGAATACAATTTCTCCTCAAATTCAGAATATTTGAATTTAATGGCTACCTTGTTCCTCTTAGCCAAGATAAAGTGTACAGAGTATTCATAGCATTTATGGCATATTGCATTTTTCAAAATGGTCTCTACAACATCTCTCCTCTCCTCCCCCCCACCTCCCCCCTTCTACAATGAAGTCCTGCCATTTGTTCATCCAGAGGTGGCACCTATCTCTTCACTCGGTGAATCTGGGTATCCACTGTGCCAATAAAATACAGCACAAGAGTCTCTTGTTAGTTCTAGGAGTAGCCCTTAACTGGTCTGGAAGCTTCTATTCCAGTCTCTTGGAACCCACCCACTGTGCGGTGAGCTGTCCAAACCACACGGAGGTGGAGTGGGGGGTGGGGGAACTGTCTATGCAAAAGCAGAGCTCCAGCCTAGAACCATCATCAATGACCAGCCATGGGAGTGAGCCTTCTTGAGGTGCTGGCCCACCTGAGCCTCAGCTGTCTGCCAGCAGCATGTGGGATAGAAGATCCACTCGACTGTGCCCACTCAGCTCACAGAATCCCGAGACGGGGGGGAGGGGGGGGGGGGGGGGGGGGGGGGGGGGGGGGGAGATATTGTTGTTTTAAGTCGCTAAGTTTTAGGGAGATTGTTACACAGAAATAGATAACTGAACCAGGGTTTGTTAGGTCACATTAGAGAGCCCAAGATGAAAAGACTGGAAAGCCATTCTGATACTTACATCACTGACTTCATCTTTGACCTTCCGGACGTGCAGCAGCATGGGCGTGTCGTGGATTGTGGTGTAGCCTCTGGGCTTGGCCTTGTTGTATTCCAATTTGTAAAGTATCTAAAGGAGATGAAAAAGCAGGAAGAGACAATGTTATACATCTCCATTTACAGTGCAATGTGATGTGACATTATAAGTGCAAAGGGCTTTTGTGTGTGTATAAAGATGAGTGAATTCTATAAATTCAAGAGGTGCTTTTATGTTTTCTGCCAAGGCCTTGCCAAGGTGCTTCTAAAATGGGGTGTCTCCCAATTTGGTTGGAACAGTTCTATGTGGTAAAAGAAGTTCTGAGCATAGCAGGACATTTCACACCCATGCCTCACTCCCACTGAGTGGCGGAAGAGTCTTCTAGACATTGTGACAGTCTAGACCAGCGTTTTTCAACCACTGTTCCTGGTGTGCCGTAGGTGCAGACAAGACAAGAATTTTATAATTTTTCACTATTTTGTTTACTTAATATTTCATAATAAAGTAATTATAAAATACTTTCTTTGTGTTTATTTGATTCCTATTCAAGAGAATTACTTTATATATAGTCAATACAGGCACAGAGTTAAATTTTTTAACATTTTCTAATGGTGGTGTGCCTTGTGATTTTTTTCATGAAACAAGTGTGCCTTTGCCCAAAAAAGGTTGAAAAACACTGGTCTAGACTACCCTCTGCGTTTGCAAATGCGTCCTGAGTTTGAGAACCTGTTCAGTGTTTCTTGTACTTACATCACTGATTTGTTTGTTGACTTTTGTAGTACGCAGGTGTTCCGGAGTATCCACAATTGAGGTAAATTTGTCCTTAGTTTTTTCATACTTTTTCCTGTACTTGATCTAAATTGTGCAATAGAAGAACAAGTTAATGCTAAGAAGTGGAAGAGAGGGCTTTCAGGAATCTAATTTTCCTCTTGAGAGAGTCCTACAGCAAATAGTAGGATTATTATACAAGCCATTGATATGGGGGGAATGGGGTCATGCTTTCTCTTTAAATCCTAATTGAAAACATTTAATACAAATCTGTATTTGATAGCAAGCTTGCATTGGAGTGAGCAAACAATAACAATAAGTGATGATTCCCATACATTTTATACGTGCAGAAACTGAGGCCCAGATGGGGTAAAAGTAAGGGTACATGTAGAGTGAATCTCAGAGCAAGAACCAGACCCTTAATCTCTAGACTCCAACAAGTAATGATTCACTCACACTATAGGGTGGAGCAAAAAGTAGGTTTAAGTTGTTCATATGAAAAATAATACCATAATTAGATTTCAGTTGTAAGTATGGAAGATAACCCAATAATATAAGAATAAATTGTTTCCCATACTAACAACTGTAACCCTACTTTTGCCCCATCCTATATGCTGCATTGAATATGCATGACCTCTTAAGGTATGTTTCCATATCAAAGATGAAATAAATGTAAAATAAAAAAACCAAGTATATAGAGTTTAAAGTATTTATCATTTTAGAAAAGACATTCATTTTTGTAATTTTCAAGTCATGATTTTTTTTCATGCACATAAGCTGTTTCAAGCAGCACAGACACAGAGAGCACAGCAATAACTCATGCACAACTATATGATGGTCATATTAGGACAAAAAAAAAAGTGGCAGGCAAATAGGATATTCCTAAGGAGACCTCATCACCCTCATTTCATATGCTGATGATGTCACACTGAAGTGATAAAACAAGTTCCTATACAAGAATTGATTAAAAACTTTTTTTGTATGAGGACAATGGCATCTTATTAACATGGTATCTGGTAGTTAAGCAATCGTCACCATTTTTTGCTGCTTCAAATTTACCTTTCAGCACATGATGGAAAGGCGGTGGTGGTGTGCTTCTACTGACCTTGTGGGAAGGTAATGTTATCAGCAACGCTGTTAACAAGTATGTGAGAGGGCAGATGTGCCGGAAATAACCTAGCAAATTCAGCTTCAAACTCAAGAAGGGACATGACTATGCACAATTGTAAAAGAGCAGTACTGTCATCCTCATCTGTCCTAAATGGTACACTTGTAGTGATCATTGAACAACAGCCAAATTAGATTTAAAAAATTACATATTTAGACCTTCTAAATGCTGTTGAATCTATTTAATATACTCAATCTCTCAGGAATCTATTTGGGGAGGGAGCAAAAATTGGAAAATATAAGTTAAGGTTATACCAACTTGGAAATAAAGTTTGGAAAAGTCTCAGCTAATTTTACTAGGAGTCCCCTAGGTGTCATATAATATGCAGATGGCGTCATCACAGTGGTGGCCACACCCGGTGTTCATTTACAAGGAATGAACATTTGTGCAGTTTTATCACGTGAAACCATGGGCAGGGGCAGGGAAAGAAAGTCAAGGAAAGCATAAAGGCGAATGCCCCCAAGACTTCTTCCCATCACATCCGAAATTACCTGGCTCCACATGTATGAGTTGTAGAGGGCAGTCAACATATCTGGACGCAGAATTTCATTACATCCTCGCTTCAGAAGCATCTTGGCACTAGATTTATATTTTCTCTGTTCATGCAAAGAGCAGTGAAGCACAAAAGAGACATAAGAACATGGCTCTATATCCCCATCACATCTGAGTGAAGAGATGTAGGCAGACACACTTTATGTGCTCACATATACGTGTGGGTGAAGACACCAAATATATTACCAAATGCCAAGCAGAGTGACTACACGTCTGCAGTTGACCATCCATCATCCTTGATGGGGAATGGGGAATGAATGACATGAGAAATGCTTTATAAAAAAAGGACATCATTGGAGTAGGAAAATATGGCTGGGAGTTTTGTCTCTTTTCCTTCCATTAATTTGCTTCTTTGTTTTGCAACTCAATTTGCAATTTACAACTGCAGGCTAAAAACAGGGCTGCCAGAGGAATAAAGGGTCACTGCAGCACATGTGAGCACACAGAGCATGGACTGGCACACTCAAATAGCTCCCGGGCTCTTTGGGTGGCAGACAGATACTGTGAAACAGAACATCCCAATATCATAGGCAGAACCTATGACATCCTTGCAGCAGACAGGACAACATCTCATGAGAAACCTGGAGCACTGCCTGGGCTGGCCAACCAGCCCCATCACAGTACCTGACTGATCTGGTCGCCTGCGATCTTAGCCAGCAGATGTCTAGGCTCATCGACTACCAGGTGGTATTTATCTTTCCGCTGCTCATAATCAGCTCTGTATTTTTTCTGCTCGGACATCAGATCAAATTATAGCAAGAGTACAACTTCAAGGCTACACAGAAATGTCCCCAGATAAACACTCCAGAGGACCAGAAATATCTCATTTTGGGAGGTGGGCACCCAAGCTTCCAGGATAAACACAGGGAGGCAAAGAGAGTTAAGTAAGGGAAGATTGCCTGGAGAGGGCTGGGGTGTGGGATTTATGACACCAAACTGGAGTACCTTGTGCCTACACATTTTCCATCTCTACATAGGATGCCATTAGCAATGTTAGGATTTATGGCACCTTAAATTGTATTTAGGATAAGGCATGGTAATCGACAGGTCTACAATCTAAGGCTGTGAGAATCAAAAGGAATATTCGTGAAAAATTCTAAAGGTGTTCTAATGCTAGTTAGTTTATTTAATTATAAAAAAGCCCTGAAAATCCTTTGTGAGTGTGACAAATAGAAATAAAATATATCAAGACTGTATGCTAGGAATCTACTAACAGTAATTCTTCAGAGTTGTTCCACCTGGAAATCTACTGAAAATGAACAAAGTCAAATTAAAAAGAAAAAAAAAGTCATATATTAAAATAAATATACCATTAGTTACATTTCCATTTTTAGATACATTTTACTAATTTTCTAACATTGTGCATGAATTCATGTAAATCTGCGGCATATCCAAAGATAGGAAATTAAATATAAAACCATCCAAACATTTAAGTTAATCAATAGCTTGGTTATTTCAGTCACTTTAAGCTAAATTTAACTTAAATTGTTGCAAAGATAGTTCTAGAAAAGACTGGGTAGAATATAAAAGAATATTTTGGGGACAAATGGCTACTTCTTTGCACCAATATATGAGTAAACAATGGCAATGCAATTGAATGCCAAATCACAACAATCCCTTCAAGGGTGGTTTTTCCAGCCACTGCCATCTCTGTACAGCCATGGTAGAGATGATAAATTGAACTTCTGTCTCTCCCGATTCTACACAGTATCCTGTTTTAGGGAGTTCGGCGGATAGTCAACAAAATCCTTTGCCTCCTTGCTGTCATCGCCCAAAGGGCTGTGCTGCTGTGTGCTAGCGGGAACAGAGTGGTGATGGCTGTGGGGCCCTCCCATCTCGCAGCACAATCCCTTCACTTGCTCTTACTCATGCTTTTGGCAGAGCCCATCAGAGGGTGACTTTATAATAGTCTTTCCAGATCTTTATCTCGACACTTTTCTGTCATTTTACTTATTGGGTTGCAATCTGATATAGACTTCTGAAGGGAACAGCATAGGGTTAATTGGGTCAGGTCATACATACCTCATTCGCCAACTGAGTTGCGTACTTGAAATGCCTATTGATTGGACAATCGTTTTCATACTTGAAATGTGACTTTGTCCTTTCAAATATCTCCTTATACTTGTACTAGAGAAAACAGAATGTGGTTAATTGATAGCAGGCTGTGATTATCTTAAGAATGAGACATGCCTTTTATTTTATCATACAATTGTGATAATTTCCTTATAGAGTTAACAATTACTAAATACTTACTCTGTCTCCCAAGGCAATAAAGGATATATCTACCCAGATTCCTTGAAAACTCACTCCAAAACATATATATTTACTGAATGGATGACAAACAGATCTATTTTCCAAATTAGGCAAAAATCCAAATCAGTTCCTTCTTTGTTCCTATATATTATAGTGATTATTATTTTATTTTGAAGGTATTACCATATGCAGTTGAAGGCAGTTTTTTAGTCCATTAATTTGAAATAGTTTTTGGTAATTAATCAGATAATCATAGTATTTAGGGCAGGGATGGGCTAACATTTAGAGCATCACTTATTTTTAAATGATCCCATGAACTAAGAGGTTTTTGAAAAAAATAACTTAAAATAATTGTAAACAAAGAATGTGTGACAGAATGAATGTGGACCAGAAAGTCTAAAATATTAACTATCTGGCTGGTTGAAGAAAAGTTTGCTGATTCCTATTTTAAAGTTCAAAGGAAGCTAATCCAACAGCTTTGTTTTGGAAATAGGAAAAGGAGACCATAAGAAACAGTTATTTGAATCCATTAAAGTGGGATTATTCGAATCCATTTGTGGATTCGAATAATCCCACTTTAATCCCGACATAGTTCAGTGGTTGAGCATGTATGAACTAAAAGGTCCGGGTTTGATTCCTGATCAGGGCACATGCTTGGGTTGTGGGCTCAATTCCTAATGTGGGGTGTTCAGGAGGCAGCCAATCAATGATTCTCTCTCATTACTGATGTTTCTATTTCTCCCATCTCCCTTCCTCTCTGAAATCAATAAAAAAATATTTTTTAAAAAGAATCCCACTTTATATACCGCCTTGCTAACTCTAATAGGATGAATTACCCAGAGACATTAATAGTGAGAGAATTCTGGCTAAGTATGAGTTGTTCTGAAATGAGCATTTATCAAATTCAAATAAATTATATACTAAATGATGACTATAGTCAATGAAGTGAGCATTAAAAAATTTGAGATATGCCATTTTTGCAGAGCCCATCAGACGGTGGACAGTTCAGTATGTATTCCAACTACAGGGACTAAAAGCGAAGATCAGGGTGGAAATATGAAAAAGCTATATGCTCAGTGCTAATTCTCTCTGTGAGCACTGAAATACGCTAAACAGATGTGGCCATCATCCTTGAGGAATCATACCTTGCTGTAGAGAGTCTTGTTCTGTCCAGCCAGAGTGAAGTCGGGGGTATCATAGGCATAGCAACCAATTCCTTTAAGCCAGGTCAGATCTTCTTTGTATTTTACCTGGGAGAAGAACATCATCAAAGAGTTTTAAGAACCTATCTCCAAATAGCAGTAGGTTAGGATCTATACAACTGGAACAAATACAAGCTCTTACCACTGAGACATATAGGGTAGTAAAGTATCAAAACAATTATTTAAGATAAGTTTCCAATAAAACTTTTTTCTGCTTATTTTATGGTGTATTATATGGAAATTTTTATTTTTCATAGTAATTAAAACAATTCAAATGTAACAGGCGTACTTTCCTAGAGATTATATCGTGAACTTGGCAGATGTATTTTCCTATTGAAAGCTGACATTTCTTTCTAAGTGAGCATTGTTACCTGTCTTGAATGCTTCATGAATTGTCTCTTCAATTGACCAGAAATAGGTTATTGCTTAGATGAAGTATATCACTTCCAGCCATGTAATATGATATAATACATTTGGGAGAAAAATTAGGTTTATAAATTGGAATATTTTTTTCTCTCCCAAGTTGAAGTTCACTCACTTATCAATGAGTTTTATGATTTAAACATCCATGCATAAGAACCAACATTGAGTCACATGTTTAATCGGTTTTAGTGCAGTGTTTGACTTCCTAAGTCACAAGGACATACGAATTATAAAAATGGAAGACTTAAAGACTCACATCACTGACTGCATCAGCAACTGCCCGGTGATGGAACTGCTCTGGGCTATCAGGAATGGACCTCCAGATTCCCAGCTGGCTCATGTAGTTCTCCTTGTATTTCACCTGTGGGAAAAACACAAAGACAGGTATAACATCTGACCCAACATTAATGTAAAAAAATAGTCTATTTATTTCCAGAGAGTATCAGGGAAGGGAGGATATTTTCTTGTTTGTTTATTTGTTTGGTTTTTAATCCTCACCCAAGGATATTTTTCCGTTGATTTTTAGAGAGAGTGGAAGAGAAAGAGAAGACAGAGAAATAGTGATGTGAGAGAAGCACATCGATGGGTTGCCTCCTGCACGAGCCCCGACAAAGGCATAGGCTGGGAAAGAGCCTGCAACCGAGGTATGTGCCCTTGACCAGAATCGAACCCAGGACCCTTCAGTCCACAGGCCGATGCTTTATCCACTGAGGCAAACCAGCTAGAGCAAGGGAGGATTTTTTAAAAACTGATGGTGGCTCATCGAGCCTCATGCAAGAAGCTATATGGAGGGACGTACTTTACTGATGTCATCTGTGACTCTGCGATGGTACACAATGTCCAGAGCATCCTTCACGGTGTGGTATTTCCCTTTGGTCTTTTCAAATGTTTCTTTGTAGCGTAGCTGGAAAGAAAAACACACACATGGATTATGAAAAACTACCCAGTTTAATAATTGAAGTCTTGTAAACATGAGGTTCCTCTCAGGTTTTCCCATGAATAAATTTAGGAGAGATTTAAAAACTAATGTCACATCCTGGCAGAGAAAAAGGACACGAGGAGGAACCTAATAAAATCTGAATAAAGTAGTATAGAGTTTAGTGAATAATGTATCAATATTGACTCATTGGGTATGACAAATGTATGATGGTAATGTAAGATGTTAACAACAGGGGAAACTAGGTGTAGTTTAATTTCATTGTCACAATTCTTATCCTCATTCCACATATAAGAAAACAGTCTCAGAAAAAATTAGGTAAGGTATACAGAGTCAATCAGCAAGCAAACGACAGTATCAAGATTTTAACCATGTTTGGCTGACTCCAAGAACATGACTTTATCGGCAAAAAACCATTAGTTGTCAAGCATTCCCTAGGAAATGCTACCAAAGACTCACAAGAAAAGCCCACATTCTTCCAAGAAGAGCAGTGAGAAGGGTCATAGGCTTTTTGCATTACTCTTAGCTACTACTTTGCCTAACTGGTATTTGTTTGTGCCTATTTTTTTTTTATAAAGTTTTTTAGATACGTTGTTTCTTTTTTTCCTGCTCCTTGTGTGGGTCAGGACCTTGAACTATGGATATGACTAATCTTTTCTGTTTCCTCAGATACCTCAACCTCCACTGTCCCTACCACAGCAGCAGACAGAGGAAGGGATGCATACATCACTGGCGTTCCAGTAAGCCTTCTTGGCTCTGATGAGGACTGGTGTGTCTGGAATTGGGGTGTACTTGTCCTTCATCTTTTCATACTGAGTCTTGTACTTGTTCTAAGAAATAAAGATAGGAGAGAGAGACAACATTAAGTTCAAGTGTCTTCATCCTTCACCATCCACAACCATGTCACAGATCCACCCTAGGCACACAGTGTATTGTCTCGTTAGCAGAATGGCCCCGCCTCCTGTTCTTGGTGCTGCTGAGCACCACTTATAGACGTGAGCTCTCCTATCAGAGGCAGTGGGTGAGGGATTTAGCGAGCTTTTTTCCTTTGGCCCAGTGCCTCCATGCCAAATTCTCAGCCTACCTCGCTGACCAGGTCCTTCACGTCTTTGGCATGCTTCAAAGCTGTGGTCTGGTTTCCAGCGTGGTGATGGGGTCTCTCTTTGGTGGCAAGTTCAACATATAGATACTAAATAATCAGAACAGGGATCAGATGTTATAGAGATAAAACATTTTTTTTTAAATTTATCATTTAGTCTTCTCTATTCAGCAGGCGTGCGCCTGTCGTCCTGTTTTTTGTTTGTTTGTTATATGTGTTTCTGTTCATTTGTTTCTCTCTATGTCTCACATCTGGAAACACATTTGCACTCCAGTTGTCTAATAACCTTATTGCTGAGTACAATTTAACCAAATCCATATAATAAAGAATGCAGATAGAAGAAGAAGAGGATTCTGACAGAGCCTTCAACATATTTTCCCCCCATTTTTTTGCCTGAATGCAAGAAATATAATTTTATTTGTCTGTGGAAAATACATAGGTCCTATAGAATAAGTCAAGCAACTTGTTTTCACTGCCTGTAGTCCACAGACTATTCATCCAATAACAAAAGTTGAATAGAATGAGAAAAGAAGACATGGCATTTACCTGCTCATGTAAAACAAACCATGGTTAGGATGAACCAGACAAACACTGCCTCTTGAAATTAATGGGCATGCAATTGCATCAAGGACAACTTATGCTACAGACCAGAAGTGGTTAGACACACACAACCGCCCCCTGTGAAGCCAGTGTGGCAGGTTCATGAATCTTTCTTTATTAACTTTACCTGACTCTGAAGCTTCTGCCCTTGCTTGGCTCTTAGAAGATCAGGTGTATCAGGAATCGAAGTGAAGATTGATTTCTGCTTCTTGCCTTTAGCTCTGTACACCAGCTGGAGACAAAATAGTCATCACCATCATTTCTGCTCTGTAGACAGTTCTCGCAGATGCCTTTATTACTTATTTCATGGAAGAAGCAGGGGTCATCCCACTACAACAATCTGTTTCTTTCCGATAAACCAATATTTTGTTTACCTCCCTGGGCTTTCTTTACGTTTTCTCCTCTTTTATCAAAATACTCTGTAGCTTGTCCAAAATTCACGCCTCTGGTGTGATCCTGGTTTCTTCTTACCAGTTCCAACAGTTATCCCTTCCTTTCCATGGCCTTCAACACTCCAGTTTCCCCAGCCCTCTCCCTTCATCTGCAAACAGACTCAAGTCTCTCCCTTCATTTTCCAGCCTCTACCACTGACCTTGTTCCTCTTTTTTACAATCAAGCAGACTATGCATTTGGTGGTTCCCCCCCCCCCTCCCTTTCTCGAACAGTTTAATAGCAAATAAACAAAGAAAGGTACCACACTTAGCAGATACAAAATGACTTTTTGTCCATATGTCGGTGTAATTAAAACAAAGTTAGGTTCCCTATTGGGACAAAAGGAAAAACACACACAAAAGGAGATTCTTTTTAAATGCATATTCTCTTGTTCCAAACTTGTAACTTTTTTTTTAAATTCACTATACAAATTCTGTGATCAGGTCAGAAAAGTGACAAGGGCTCTTCTTGCCTTTTTTTAAAAAAAAACATTAAAGTAAAATCCATAATTTTCTACATGGTACAATGTAAGCTGAGGCAAAGTGAGATCAGTTGACTTGCTTAGACGTGGTGGGCACTCTGTAATTAAGGCAGAAAGGAGATCTCTGCCTCTTGTAGTTGCCTGATAAATGCTCTCTAGAGGAACACACCCTTACCTCACTCAGATGTGTCTTCAGTTCTTGCACTGTTCTGTATTCTGGAGTGTCAAGCACCACTTTGTATTTGTCTCGCATCTTCCTTGCATTATCAGTGTACAGGTAATTAGACTAATAACCAAAAACAGAATGAAAATAAAAGTTGAGTCATTCAAGAAACTGCATGTTGTGGTAACACATTGTCTTTCAAATGGCCGATGTGTGCCAGTCAAGCTGAGCCTCCACGTGCCCTGGAGGCCTTCCCAGGCAGGGACAAAAACCATTGTCATCTACCTAAGCTCATTGCCTTGTTAGGAGTCATGGTCATGACTTGATCAAGTGGGTTAATGTCAAATTTCCCCTTAAAAGTAGCTGTAGGCAGAGATTTTCTGCCCAGCTCCTTGAAGCTGAGTAGGGGTCGCCACGTGTTGTGAAGACGGGTGGGCACTCACCCAGAGCTTCCGCAGGTGCCGGGAGCGGACCATGTCAGGAGTGTCCATCAGGAAGCAGCCAATTCCCTTCAGGACCTGCAAGTCCTCTTTGTATTTAATCTGTGTGGCCAAAATAGAAAATATAGCTGGTCAGGGGCAAATAAAAATCAAGAAAAAATAAGTCAGAGTAGTAAAAAAAAAAAAAAAAAATATATATATATATATATATATATATATATATATATATATATATATATTTTACTGATATATCTTTCATTTTGATTCAACACATCCACCTTGGTACTCTTAGTGTGTTTGCATGTAAGTAAATAACAGATTTTGAAATTTAAATCTCTAACCCTGATCTGAGGAGAGGCCTCAGCTATTATTTTATGACTGCATTGATGGGAGAGGGGATTAGATGGAATAAAGTGGTCTTTTAGGAGAAGGAAACATCCATAGAAGAAAAAGAAACAAATGGTAGTAGGAAGTTGCTTAAGGGGGTGGGAGCAGGGATGAGCAGGAAAAGATATTAAACATGAGCTGAAACAGAGGCCACCTAGAGAGTGAAGAGTTGGTAACAATTTAGGGTTGCATGAAGAATGGCGGCCAGCAATTCTTGCATTTCCCAAGTGGTCCTCCTGCTACTGTTTTCAAAGCTAGTAGTAAAATGTGGGGTCCTGCCTCCATACTATTTCACCTCCAAGCCGTACATTCAGTTGAGAGGTACTTAGAGGAAAAGACTGCTGGCCGGCTTCACTGCTGAAAGAAGCCATCCTCTCCTAACAGTGTTCCAGAAAGACCCCATGAGATGCTTACGTCACTGGTGATGTCTCCAACATAGCGGCAATGGAGCACTTGGGGTGTGTATGGCAGTGAGATCATGTGACCCTGCATCTTGAAGAAGTCTGATTTGTAGATCAGCTAAAGAAAAAAGTGTCCAGAAAAACTCATATTAGTGACTGAATGACTGAACGTCACCCCTGGGTTCCCTCGCCTGTCTTCTCTCCTAAAACAATACCCACCTCACTGACAGCCTCCTGTGTCTTCTTGACCTGGCGAAGCTCAGGTGTGTCGGGGGTTGTGTGGATCTTATCTTTGAGTTTGTGGTACAGTTGTCGATACAGCCTCTACATTGGAAGAAACACCATTTCAGGTGGTCAGTGTGGATACTGACTGATCAATAAGCAAATATTAATATTTTCTCCACAGAATCCGAATTCACAGTACCTCGCTGGTAACATTGTTGACCCTCCGGACATTGACAAATGGAACATCATTGGGGCCAAGTGTATACCCATTTGCCTTGAGGTGTTCATAAACTTCCTTGTACTTGAACTGCAAAAGCAAAGTCAGAATGAGATTACGGATGGGTAAACAAACCGAAAAGAGCTGTCACTTGCATTTGAAAATTAGCCTCTAAGCATTAAGTATAAGGAAAAGTCATTGACAAAATTTCAATAATAGAATCTAGAAAATTATTTTGTTGGCTAGTAAAACTAGATCCAGAAAGGAATAAAATTAGATGTTGCCTAGATGAAATCTGTTTGTATGTAGTCATGCAAAATGAAAAGAAAAAAAAAACCTATATTTTTAGCCACAATATGGCTAGTAAATTAGGAAATGCAAAGAAAAAATAAAAGACTAAAGACTGGTGAATGGTTTTACAGATTGACATTGGACTCTCACTGGCCAGCAGATTTGATACAGGGAACTATGAATGGCAACATGGAAGGGAGAGCTTATTCTCCAGCTGATGGCTTATTCTTGGGTCTGGTTTGAAGGTCACAGTCACTGGCATAGACTCAATTTCCCTAGGCCTTGTCTTTGGGTAAATGGTATGCAGTCCCAAGCTGGCACTTTTGAAAAGTGGAGAAGGTGGATGACTGAGCTAACTCCAGGGCAAGGTACAGGTAGAGGGAAGCTATCTATCCCTCTGAGCTTTCTATGGAATGGTACAGAGGGCAAATAGTGAGGCAAGTACCAGGGCCAGCAGCCCCACAAAAAGTTTTTTCTATTCAAAGAAATATACAGGGATGTTATATCTTTTTCTTTTCTTAAATATATTTTTATTGATTTCAGAAAGGAAGGGAGAGGGAGAAAGAGATAGAAATATCAATGATGAGAAAGAATCATTGATCCGCTGCCTCTTGCATGCCCCCTACTGGGAATTGAGCCCACAACCGGGCCATGTGTCCTTGACTGGAATTGAATCCAGGACCCTTTAGTCTGCAGGCTGATGCCCTATCTACTGAGCCGAACTGGCTAGGGCTGTTATATCTTTTTCAATGACACACTGCAGAAGACAATACTGATGCCACACATCAGTAGTGAAGGTATGATTTAAATTTCCAGTACGTGGCTTGGGATTGTCTAGGATGCTCTGTGCTAAGGCTAGCAGGAGTAGAAGCATCCTGCAGCCATGAACCCGGAGCCAAGGTAACTGAATCTCGCAGATGTAATCCCACAGGAATCCTATGCTAATGCACTGAACTGTGCACACACTGATAACCTAAAGAAGCCAGCCAGTTCACAGCGCCCCAGGGAAATGTGCTGTCTCCCCTGCTCTGCTCTTATCACTGTATCATGTTGAACCTGTGGGGTGGGGCTGGGGGGATGAGAACAGGCTATTCATAAATATTAGTGCCCCCTCTCACTTCAGACCCCATCTCAACGAGGAGGAGAGCACTCACATAACTGCTCATGTACTGGGTGTCCTTGGAGTGTTTGAAGTGCGGAGTGTCGACCGGAAGCCTGTATCCAGTAGCCAGGGAGCGCTTGCCCGCATCTCGGTACAGATTCTGCCGAATGAGGAAGAAGGTTAAATGACACCTACATCTAATAAACGATCTAAGTTAAACAAGTCACATCCTGTTCATGTTAGGTTTTCAATTACATACTTTAAGTACTATGCTTACTGAATTAATTTCAGAAAGAAATTAAATAAGCTCTAAGAGGCAATTTATCAAATCACTCTTATTGTTTTTTTTTTTTTAGAAGAGAGCAATGAATGCAGAGATTTATAGAAATTAATCCTTCTATGCTTCTTAACATATGCCCAGTTGACTGCATGCTAATTAGCAAGAATTTGGGTTCAGTAGAGAAAAGAGTCTACCAAGTGCCACCTCTGTTCTTCACCACACTCTCAGGTGATAGTCAAGTTGCCACCAATCTTGAACACAGTCATAATTGTGAAGCACATAATTATAAAGCATATCTCTCTCCCCCGACTCACTGCTTCCTCTCTCCCGCTAAACACAGCATTAATGTCAGACTATGAAGCGAGCAGGATGCTAATATTCCTGGCAGAAGGTGGAAGGAGTTTCTGTCTCTCAGAGAAACTATAAGAATAAGAACAGTATTTAAAATATTAAAAACCTAATTATTCCTAACGGTCAACATAGGAGCATAGCACCATCAGGTAACACAGACTGGAGATCTTACACGTGGAGTGGAGTCTACATTTTTTTCCTTGTCTGAGTTTCAACAGAAATTTCTAGCTTTATCTCTTATTGTTAATAATCTTTCATGATCATATGCCTTGTCTTTCTCATCTTGGTTTTAAGCTTTTTGAGAGCAGAAATAGTAGGTTGGCCCTCTTCCTTGTAACCTGTAAACATTGCTCCCAAAACGCCCACTGTATGTTTAGAAAGAGCTGGCCAGCCAAGAAGGAAGACAGGCTATGCACTGTTTTTTTTGTTTTTTCATAGCTCATGCGTTTGGAAGAGCATGTACAGTATGGAACAGCATTTACAATGTACAAGGTCAGGCTGAGAAGATGCCCATGCTGAGGGGCTTCGGCAGAGGCCAATGACTCGGCCTCTGTAAGCTGCAGCCAGGACACCCGCCAGGCACTTCGTAGAGTTCTCCCAGCTCACCTCACTCTGGAGCTTGTATGCATGAAGAGCCCGGTCCAGATCCACGGTTTTTGTAGTTGGAGCCACTTTGCCTCGGACACTGTGCACGTAGTCGTAGTGGTAGACAGCCTGGGGCAGAGAGAAAGTGCACGGACTCAGACAGACTCTGGCAGCATTGTTAGGAAGAAGCAACGTAAAAGGAAACCCAAGTTTCTGTTTCTTTCTCTATTTTTTTTTTTTAAAGGCAGGGTAGCTTGTGTCCCTATGCCTAAAGAATTCTATCTGATATGTGACTGTGCCTTGTCCAATAAGACCAGAGCCAGGGTGTGGCCCCAGACTGAGAAATAAGTGGAAGGGTTGGCTCAGACATTAGCAGAGGAAGAGAGGCCATTTTAGCACTACAAGTTCAAAAATAATAGGTCCCAATGTTCTAAGTCACTGGTGGGATGATTTTATTTATTAACCCGTGAAGTCAATTAAAAAAAAAAAAAGCAGCATTGTGCTTGGTCTTCCTGCTCTATAGCAGGCACCGTAGTGGGTACTTTTCATCCATTTTCTCATTGTACAGATAAGGATGCTGAGACTTGGAGGACTAAATGCTCTTCCCAAGCCTCATTGATTGGTAGAGGCTGGACTCCTTCTAACTTCAGAGTCTGCTTCCTTCTCATTCTACTTAATTAGTTTGCTCTAATTTATTAGAACATCTAGACTTGCTCTTGATACAAAGAATCAAAAAGCATTTTGGAAGCTTTAAAACAACAAGCATCGTATAGACTTAGGTCACTTACAACCCCACCCCAGGGAGTTACCTGAACCCGTTAGGTTTTAGGAAACAAGAGCAGAATCTTTTTTTATTTTTCAACTAGAGTTTGCGTTCAATATTATTTTATATTAGTTTCCAGTGGAGAGCAGAATCTAAGTACTTCCTTCCCCAGGGAGAAAAAGCCAGGTACTGCCCAGGCGTGGTGTTTGCCACATCTGCTTGAATGGCGGCCCCTGTCTTTATCACTGGCCACTGTCACAGCCCCAACGGGCACTTACGTCACTTATTTGTTTCCTGCTTTGGACAGCCTGGACGTAGACTGGCGTATCCATGACCAAGTTGTAGTCATTCCTTGTCTTCTTCACGTGAGCTTGGTACTTGATCTGCCAAGAGAAAGAAAATAAGCCTGTGTTACACCATTCATGATATCGGAAATTGCTGGTTTTCACCGAAGTTTTGGTTGTTGTTGTGTTTTGTTTTGTTTTTTAACTCCTGGCATTTACATTCACCAGCATTTATTCACTAGACCAGGCTGTGTTTAAAGTTTATGACAGTCAGCGTGATCAATGCTTATGGTCATTTGGGACTTTTAGGTGTTTTGACAATTGCTTTTCTAGTAATATTTATTTTTTTTACTAAAATCTTGAATACAGTATTGATCTTCCTAGCAAATCCTCTCTTTGCCAGTAGATCCCATCTGTAGCATCACAAACTCCTAACAAATTATATTTTCCTAAAATGACAATTACGTGCTCATTCACATATACAAAATAGCCCAAAAGGTAGAGAGAAGAGCCACATGCACCTTCTCCTCCAGAGAACAATGGGATAGCTCAACTGCATTGTTGAATAGGAATGCCATATGCACTCCTGAGAAATGGTTGCTTTCAATGGCTTAGCATTTTCTCTAGCTCAGCCATCCTTACCATCACTTAAGACACAGCTGACCTGTGACAATGTTCCTAGTTTACATACTCTTGCCTTGACGCTAGACTATGAAAAGAAGAAAACACATAAAAAAACAAAACAAAACAAAAAACAAAAACAAAAAAATCAAGGCAAACTCACATCATTGCGCAGATCATAAGCGTGCTTGGCGTGGAGAATTTCAGGAGTGTCCCAGACATAGCAACCGATGCCTTTCAACCAGTTGAGGTCATCCTTGTACACAATCTACAGAATTGAAACAGATGAAGGGGATTGGCAAAATAAAACTTGACCATAATTTTAACACCAAAGACAAGGGGATCCCTCTGGACTGAGGTTGATTTTTGTGGATTGAGAAGCAAACGTAGTGAGTCCAAGGGGCCATGGAAACATTGGCACACAGAGCCCTGCTTCCAGTGGTACCTTTGAGTTCCAATGGGACCCATGGGTATATAGGAAAGTAGTGTTAGGGGAGGCTGGGCATATAGGGAAGCAATCCTGGGAGGAGGCTGAGGTAAAGAAGTAGGTGAGTATGCTTCTCTTTAGATTGGGAGTCAGGGGCCAGGAGGGTGGGCCTTCATGAGCAATGTACTTACATCGCTGATCTGATCTGTGACTTTCCTGACATGACTGTTGACTTGCAGGTCGGGATGGCAAATCCACTCATGGAGGTGTAGGCGGTAATCAATTTCACTGACTTTCTTCTGAGTATCCTTAGCAGTAACCAACTCTACCATGTCGGGCACAATGTTGATTTTCATCTTGTTCTTTTCATAAACTGACTTGTACAGGCGCTGTGAAGTTAAAGCGACATGCCACTTACACAGGAAATTGTGCACAGAATCATGGCAATATATGACCTTCAAATATGCCTTCTAATACACTTCTTACACACCTGAGAAGTCATGGTGACCAGTTTACAGTAATCAGTTGGGGGAAGGGCAGGGACTGGAATTTCCTGACACTTTCTACAGATTTGTGTGGGCTGGAGATAGAGCTTGGGCTGAAATAGCCCCTAGCTCTTTCATATGTACTCAATCAGAGCCATATGCACTGTTTAATAGAAGCAGTTCTTATTTACAATAGATGACTCTATTACTTGGCTTCAGTTTGAAGTAAGGCCTTTGAGATTACTTACATCAATGTTATATTTGCCAACTCTGAGGCATCGTGCTGTATTTGGGTCATCATCAACACTTCTTGGTAAGGTATAAAGAGCTTTGAACTTTTCATATTCTTCCCGGTATTTGATCTATAGTGATAAAGCACAAAGAAAGAAACATCATTTGGGAGAATAATGCATCCATATTGTCATAAGAGCATGAGACTGAATAAGAAGATCTCATCTCTGAGATCCAGCGAACATGGGTCATCACTTCTCCGAGACCCTTTCCTCATCTGTGCATGGTCATACCTGTCCAAGTTTCCTGAGGCTTAATCCAGACTATAGCTGAAAGTACTTTCTAAACTGTAGAAAGCGATACAACTGTAGTTACTGTTTGCCAATACTAGTACTGCTGCTACAACTCACTCATTTAAAAGATTATGTAATTTTAAAATAATCTCTTGTCCTGGCCGGTGTGGCTCAGCTGGTTGAGCGTCATCCTATGTACCAAAAAGCCACCAGTTTGACTCCCAGTCAGGGCACATGCCTGGGTTGTGGGCTCAATGCGAGTAGGAGGCATGCAGGAATCAGGAGATAGATATTTCTTCTCTCTCATTGATGTTTTTCTTTCTCCCTCTCCTTTCCTTCCTCTTTCTTGAATCAATAAAAACATATAAAATAAGCTCTTTTGTAATGTGACTTTGTTTTTCTTAATCATAAATGAGAGGAAAGATGAGTTCAGGAATTTCTTTATTTTTAATAATTGACAAACCTGATGCTTAAGAGACACAATCTTTGACTTTCACTTTGTACAAGGGTTTCCACATATACAGTGCAATCAACTTATACAGAAAATCCAACTTTTAGTTTGTAAGTTGTATTGCCTATTAATTAATGCTGTATGACTTCCTGAACTAGGAGGCAAGGCCCTACAGAGACTAAGCTATCTCCTAGCACACAATCAAACAGCAATTCCCTCACAGCTCAGAACCCCGCGTCTCAGTGCAACAACAGGAGACAGGAGTATTGGTGTTAGCATTCTTGCAAATCTCTTCCTTGACTAGAAACCAATCAGAATTTTTTAGAACATTAGTTCACATATTCCTTACAGCTAACCCATTCCTCAATTATAAAGAAGGTAGTATTCAAAGGCACCTTTAAGAAAAAAACAAAAACCTGCTGTTCAAATCCTTCTTTTAATGGGTTAATTTCTCAGTGTCCCACCTTGTTCCAAAAACAAGTTGCCAAGAATCCTGCCTCTGTAATTTTTCCATGACAAAAACGAATGGATGAATGAATAAGCCTCTGCTAAGTTCTCTAAACTACTATCTACAAAGCTTCTTTTCTGAAGTGGAGAGAGAGAGAGAGAGAGAGAGAGAGAGAGAGAGAGAGAGAGAGAGAGAGAGAGAGAATGAATTTGTGTTGACTTGCAATATAAAATGAATTTCTCACTGTGGGTCTTGATAAAGAAAAGTTATGAGAAAAACTGGTCTAAAATGTTACATAAAATGTTCACAATTAAGAGAAAAAGTTTCTAAAGAGATAAAGTTCCTGAAAGAGAACTAGGTTTATTAGAACAGCAATGAAGGTTACGGGAAATTTCATAATAAAACGTTTTACTTAAGAACATTTTAGGCATAAAGAGTTAAAAGTCACAAGACTTTATACGATATTTAAACAGCCCACGTAACTTAGAAATTTTTTTTTTACTATCATGTCTATACCTAAGAAAAGCTGTGCTTTAAAAAAGTAGAATTTCAAAAGTTTTAAACTTTTATATATTTTATGGTTATGAAGATAATGATTTACTTTTTAAATCCTTTATTCCAGAATGGTGTAATGAACAGTTATACCATTCACTGGTTTATTTTTGTACTACAATCCACATAATTCTATTGGAAGAAAGCCTATTATTCTGTATGGCATATTTTGCCTTCTGTCTATCCCCACTCCTGAAACAGTATATCCAGCTAGGTCATTTGCAGGCAACCAGCCTAAAAGGCCACAGCTGTTCCTTAATACAGGTGTTTGTGATTCTCTCTAGACTTCAGGGCCCTTGAGAAGAAGAAATACTAGTAAGTGCCCAGCGTCTGTGATGGCTGAGCGCCTGGAATTATTTGCTGGTGACATACTCCTATGGAAGTGCTGGGAATACTGGGCAACATGTGTTTCAGCCAAAAAGATCCCGGGGGTGGTGAGCTGGAGAGGGCAGGAAGTGGGTGGAAAGCCTATCACACGTGCAGTGACTTACATTGCTGGACAGGTCCTTCTGGTTCTTGGCATGTGTCAGGGACATGGCGGTGGAAGGCAGGATGTAGCTGGTGGCTTTCACCTTTTCCCAGGCCTCCTTGTACAGGTTCTGCGGGGAGTTAAAAACCTTCTTGTGAATATGGAAAAATACACTCTGGAAAGCTTCTGAGTAGTAGATTTCCCTGTTTCTGTCCTTCTAGGACATGTCCTAGCAACCTCCAGATCTTCTCACTCTGGAGGATCCAAGTGCCCCTAAGTGAGTAACTGGTTTAATGCCATGACAATAATTTCGTAGCCCATTATTTTGTTCTCTAGCATAGCACCTATCACAGTTTGATAGTTACCAGAGTTTTTGATGCCATATTCATTCCCCATAGGTCTAAGAATTTCTGGCGGGTGAAAACCACTAACATTAAAACACACACACACACACACACACACACACACATTTGTTTATCCTCTCCTACTTTTATGTAGCTAGTGAAAGCTCAAAATACATTTGTTTCCACTCCTACATATTCATTTATCCAGGAGAAATGAAAACTTATGCACACACAAAAACCTATATGCAAATGTATATTGCAGCTTTATTCATAATTGTAAAATCTGGAAACAACTCCAATTCCTTTAACTGTGAATGGATAAACTAACAGTGGGACACTCATGCAATGGAATAGCATTCTGCAATAAAAAAATAAACTACTGATTTATGCAGCAATGTGCATAATACATAAAGTCATTTTGCCAAGAGAATGAAGCCAGGCCAAATGTGTATATACTATATTTTCCATTTACATGACATTCTGTAAAAGTTAAACTTTAGGAATAGCAAACATATCTGAGGATGCCAGGTGAGAAGAGTGGGGCAACAAAAGAGAAATTTGGAAGGGATACAGAATATTTATGTGTCTGGACTGTGGTGGTAAATACATGACTTTGTGTTTATCAAAAGCCACAGTACTATATACCTCAAATAGTAAAATTTACAAATAATAAGGAAGGAGAACTAAAATGGAGTACGAACTGTAACAAATTTTATATATATATATATATATATATATATATATATATATATATATATATATATATATATATATATCTAAGTGATCTAACCATTTGACAGTAGCTATTACACACAATGACCACCAGGGGGAAGATGCTTTGACAGGTAACTATGATGAGCACTGACCACTAGGGGGCAGACACTCAACTCAGGAGCTGCCAAGCTGTGATGACTTGGCAGCTGCGGTTCTGAGGTGACACAGCCGGAACCGGAGAGGAGCGAGCCCGATTCTGGGGTGCATCACCCGAGAACTGCCCCTCTTGCAGTCCGGGACTCCTCAGAGGATGTAGGAGAGCTGATTTGGCCCAATCTTTGCAGGCCAGGCTGAGGGACCCCACAACTGCACGAATCTGAGCACCAGGCCTCCAGTTTTATTATAAATGGGCAACAAGACTACAGTGGTGGAAGTGGGGAAGAAAACAACTAATTTAGGTTATTTTGGAAAATGATATTTTGACAAAGAAAAAATTGAGAAGTAATCAGATTGTAGGAGACTAAGGAGGCATGAAAACTAAATACAAAAAGTGGGATCCTAGATTCTATCTTAAAAATTAAAGGTACATTAATGAAAAAACTGGTAAAATCTAGATAAAGTCTGTAACATTCTAACAATGATAATTTCTTAGTTTTGATCATTATACTACAGAGAAAAAAACTGAGGGAATTCTATGTACTATTCTTGAAATTGTTTTGTAAATCTCAAATTATTTCCAAATGAAGCTTTTATTTTTTATTTTGCTATTTCTTTTTTAATTTTTTTTATTGATTATAGTATCACATAATTGTCCTCATCCTCCCATTCCAAATGAAGCTTTTAAAAAGGTTTGTTGAATTAATCAATTTAGAAGAGTTTAAAAAGGGGTTTGTTTGTTTGTTTGTTTGTTTTTGGTCTATAAGCCACTGGTCACTAGAGAAGCCAGAGGACATGTTCAGGATTAACAAAGAATAGCTCCAACAGTACCTGCCTGCCACATGGAGGAAGTTGCCGAATTTGTGTCAACTGTATGCAATCATGCAATATTCAAATTGGGGCTCATCTAATTGCAACGAAGAGGATTTATGAGTTTTTTTTATTGAAGGTCCAATAAAAAAACAAAAACTGGACAAACCTTTGGGAATAAAATTCCTATCCTTTTATGTTTTTATTGTCTCCAAAGCTGGAGATGGGGGAGGAAGGAGGTAATTCAAATGAGAGAGGAAAGAAAACTCAACTCACATTGCTATAAAGATCCTTGAGATTCTTGGTTCTGTCATAATCCACTGTTTCCAGTATTGTCGTATACTTGTCCTTAGTCTGATGATAATTTTCTTTATATCTCACCTACAGATAAAGAAAGATGGGTTATTCTTTTCTGCTGTTGAAAAGATGTAAAGACAAATGAAGGCTCGTTCTGGAAGGGAGATAAGCAAGACGCACCTCACTGGCATTGATGCCACTCTGAACAGCAGTCACGTAAACGGGTGTGTCTGTGACCAGGCTATAATTCTGCAGATTGTCTTTACTTGCTGCTGAGTATTGTATCTGTGAACAAAAACCAATGTCTCTATGAGGGTAAAAAAGGGGTGTGCAGTCAGATGTAGCAGCTTGTGCCAATTTAGATGTGCCTTATTCTTAGGCTGGGTTTCTGGGTTTCTCCTAACAAAGAGGCGACCCTTGGGTGGTCCTGCAGATTTTGGGTGGCTGTCAAAACTAATAGCTTCTCCTGACAAGCAGTCAGGTCTGGATCTTTTCTGGGCCTCCTTCCTCATTTTGCCGTCTTTCCCATGCCTACACTCCACTCTGAGGGCAGCCCCTCAATTTTTTTCTCTTTCTCTCTCCCTCCCTCCCTCCCTCCCTCCCCCCCCCCCTCTTTCTCTTTTTCACACCAAGCAACTTACATGGTTCCAGTCCCTCAATTTTGACATTCCGCTAGTCTGCTCTATCCAAGCTGAGCCATATGCTAGGAGATTTCCTAAATATCTATGTCTTCACTACAGAACTTACATATCTACGGTCAAAGCATGCATTTGTATTCCACCATCTACACGTTAACCTGATCAACTAAGGTCCTGATGCTTAAGGTAGTTTACTAGGAAACACCTTCCAGACAACGTTCTGTTAGAAACATCTGATGCCTTAAACTACTGAGAGACTCACACTGAGAGGGCCCAGCATGAGAGCAGGCCAGCAGGAGAGGTGTGACTGGGCAGTGGACCTTCGGCTCCCTTTGACCATGCATTGTTAGAACAGTTTTCTCTGCCTGGGCACCAGGACAACCTGGCTAAACCCCACTGAGAGCACCATGAGTTCCATTGGTCCACAGCCAAGGAGTCCTTCTAAGAAGATTGGCTTACCTGACTCTGAAGGTCATACGACTTCTTGGCTTGGAGGATCTGGGGTGTATCCCAGACATAGCATCCAATGCCTTTCAGCCAATTCAAGTCATCTTTATACACATTCTGTAAGAAAGAAGAAATGGCGAAAGCTCTAGGTACTCAATGAATTTGCAGTGGAATGCTTTGATAATTTCTGACCAGCTCTCGGCTGTGCTTGGTGGTCATAGGTTGGACTTCTCAACAGCTGGGAGGTCTTTAAAGCCCTGGCCTAACAAAGCTTAGGAGGAGAACAATAGCTAAGTTTTAGTCTAGTGTTAGACAGACTAAATATTGAACATGGATATCCGTGGCTCAGAAGGAATTCTTACACCAAAAGGTGGCTATTCATGCCACTTTGTGTTGAAAAGCACCAGGGTTTATGAATATAGGGATAATTAAATAATTAATGTGGGGGGAGGGGGACAGGGCAGGCTGGGTGAATCCTGTAATTAAGTTAAGCTGCAGGAAAGTCATACATCACTCAGGATCTCCTGTGCGTTCCGGGCCAGTACAACACTGGGTTCTTCTGGGAGAGACGTCCACTGGTGGAAGTAGTGGCGGTACTCGAGGTCGCTGAGGATGTACTGGCACTTTTTGGCCAGCACGTGGTTCATCATATCATTGGGGATGTGAACATTCGCTTTGGTGTCCTCATAATGTTTTCTGTAGTTCAACTGGAGAAGAATATTTTTTAAAAGACAAAAATAAGAAAGGAAGACGTACATTATCCAGATCAATCTCTTAGAATTTTATTTCCAATATAGATCAGCACCTTTAGAATAGACTAAGGTTAAACAAACATACTATAATAGGTTCTTTGGTAAAAATTTCCCATGATTTTATAACGCAGGATAGATAGTGACCTTATTGTCAAACACAGAACCCTCACTGTGAGTTTGGTAATGAAGGAGGGAGGGAAAGGAGGGTGGAAGACTCAAAATAGGCGAAGACACACACGCTAAATGACAGAGGTGGGACAGGACTGATTCATTCCTCCCCACCCACCCCACCCCCAGCTAATCTTGAACCAAAGGGCAGATCAGAAGTAAAGAGCTTTGCCTACCGCACTCCTCATCTTCTGGAAATCCAGGCAGTGAACCACACTGGGGAACTCACTGATTTCTTTTCCAGCCAGGTAGTGGCCCTTCTGCTTCTCAAACGTCTCTTTGTATTTAAGCTGTGAAACAGGTACAACGTTGAGCACCACTGGGATTTTCTAATCAGCCCTCATTCCCCCATGAAGACTCTCAAGTCTCTGAGAGAAAAAAAGTCCTACTGACCTCACTGTTCACATAGTCAGCGTGCTTGGCTCCGACAATGGGGATGTAGCGTTCATCCAAGGTATAGCCGTAGGCCTTGGTTCCCTCCCAGGCCCCTTTATACAGTATCTAGAACAACAACAAAAAAATGCGTGTCGACAAAAGTTTACTTCCTGATGCCACCAAAAAGAAAGTGGTAAAATCAAAGTAAAAGATTTATGTTTAAAGGCAAGGCTTCGATCTCTGTTTAAGCCATTAGTGTATCTACCTAGGAACAAGGTAGAGTCTTTTGGCTTGTTGCAAATGAAATCTACAAACTCTGAGGCATTTTATAGCAGAGGTTACCTATATTTACAGATCTAATAAAAGCAAAAACTAATTTGCTCCTAGAGATTAAACACACAGGCATACTATGTACACACATACATTGTCCTTTAAATTAGCCGAATTAAAATTGGAGGGCAAGTCCTCCATTCCTTGGCTGGAGATGTTTGTACATGACTGCTGAAAAGCTTTTTTTGTCTTTTCTCTGATGGTGGGTGCTCAGTCCTGTGTGCACTAGGAGCTGGTACCGCATGTGTTACACTATTTGTGGGTCTGTTCCTCTCACTTGTATGAACTCTTGAAGAGCTTGTCTCATTTGAGCTTTAGCTCCTCAGTGCCTCTTACAGCACCTGGCACATCACAGTAGCTCAAAATATACCAGGTGAATAAATGCTACACACTCTGAACAATATGCTACTACTTTTAATAAACAAAATTAACACAGTAGGTGTACTAGATTTCCTTTATAAATCCATTTGTTCATAAAATCATCCAAGAAAATGAATACTGACAGGAGCATAAAGTTAGGAACTGAGTTGTGTATCACATAAAATAGAACTTACGGTACTGTAGAGTTTTCCCATGTCTTTGGAGTGGGTGATATATGGTGTCTCCGGAGAAAATATATACTTTCCCTTTATTAATTTATTAAATGTTTCTTTATATTTTATCTAAGGAGAGCAAGCAAAACAAAACAAAACAAAACCTTTGGTTACTATAAATGTAATTTAAAGTTTTATAAAATCTACCTAGTTAGATAATAATCAGTCTACTTTTAGAAATTAAAATGGGCTGGAGATTAAAATTTCAGTCCATTTCAGCTAATATAATTAAATAACTTGGACAAAAATGTGGATATTATCTAAAAGCGAGCACAATTATACACTTACTGGTGGCTTTTAAGACATTTCCTCCCAAAGACTATCTTATAAACCCTCCTCCCTCAATTTTCTTACAAACCAATCTGTTCCATGATAGATAGGCTTCCCAGTCTATGTACCTCATTATACATAGAGCAAACTTACATCACTTTGATTAACTGAGTTAAACTTGGCCAAAACAATCTCTGGAGTATCTTCCACACTTGTAAAATTAGGATAGTTGTCAAGAGCAGCCTTCTTATATTTCACCTGCGGAGACAGAGAGGAAGATGGGTCTTCCCCTATAAAGTACCCATTCCCACAGGGCAGGTAAGGAGGACAGGCAATTAGGTAAGAATAATAGGCTCTGGGTACCTGATTCACCATTTCTTGGTTATTAGTAACCCTCACATGCTCCACTGAATCCAGGGGGATCCAGCCAATGCCTCGGAGCCATTCCAGGTCGGCTTTGTAGACATTCTGAGAACAGGAAGAGAGATACAATGTAGGGGAAATGACCAGACACAGGGTTACAGACAGCAGATTAAAAACAAAGTTTTTTCAGCATTTAAAGGATTTCAATCTTTTGTAGCTGTTGTCTTTTCCACTCAATCATGATTTCATCTGTACACCTGAGCAATAAGTCTTGAACCTCTTACTATGAACCAGGAACCTTCTTCCAGTCAAGCCTGCCTCTACATTTCCCCACTGAGTTCCTGGATTCTCCCATGGCACCCACACGGAATAGTGAGGAGTTGCTAATATGATTCAAGTTCCACAATGGTCTGTCTGCTGAGGCTCAAGTTCAGCACCTGTGTCACAGGCAGTCTTTTCTTTTACTTCCTGTTTCTGTATTGGTAGTGATGAGACCTATGCAGGGTTAGCTCCTTCTTGTGCCTGAGCATCATGTCAATGCATTGTGGTGTTTATGTTCCTACAGACAGCTGGTGTCGGGTAGAGATCTTGATTCAGGCCTCAGTGCAAGGTGGCCTAAGCTATATGATCTACCCTAGCTTTACCACACACCTAATGAGAAATTCTGGGCCCTCATGTGGTTCATCAGTATTATGCATCCATTTTGCTTTGATTCCTTGCAAGCAACTGCTTCATTAATGCCTTGAAGAATGAGATGTTTGGCAAAGCAAGAATGGGGCATTCCCAGGGCCTTAACTATTCTATCATGCAATGTTGTCAGAATCCCAACTCAATTCCCACCCAAGCCGATTATTATTTTAAATCAGTTGATAGTTTTTTATGCAAATATGAGTGAGGAGTTGCTAAGGCAATGGTTCAAAAGCAGCAGATTAAACAAAAAAAACAACAACAACAAAAAACGAGGTTGAAGTTTACTCAGAATGCAGCCAGTAGGTGGTGCTGTCACTCATTCACTGCTCTGATCATGCTCTACTTCATATCTAGCTTCAACTACTCCCGGGAACAAACTAAATATTTATGGCTCCAAGTTCCCGAGAGTGGTGATCCCGGAATGCTACTTACAATTCTCAGGGTATACTGTGTGTTTCTAAGTAATTAAGAATCAAAGGTCACTTACATCACTCTGTAGTTCATAGGCCTTCTTGGCCTGAATCACATCGTTTTGGTCAGGAAGACATGTCCATTGGTGCAGGTAATTACGGTAATCGATATCACTGATGAGGGTCTGCCCTTGCTTGGCAGCCAACACTGACACCGTGTCAGCAGGTATGTTGATCTTGGCCTTTGTTTTATGATAGTCCTCTTTGTACAGTCGATCATTCTGAATCTGGCCCGCATGCTCAAACCAGACTAGGTGAGGGTCATCCCTCATGGTCGGCACACCAACATAATGACCTTTTTGCTTTACATGCTCAGCTTTGTATTTCAGCTGGTGGGGAGAAGCATGGAGATTCATTCCATCAGCTTTGATTAGCACACAGGGCAAAGGGGATGTTGGCCATCAGCCCCCCCCAGCTTTTTGTGTCACAGCCAAACCCCAAGAATAAATAACAAAAAACATTGAAATAGATAAATAAATATTAAAAATATCAAGTAAAAATGGGGGGCGGGGGCAGGGAGGATTTCAATCTGTCTTTCTTGGACCAGCATCTTATATGATGTGGTTTTATCCTGTTATGTGAATAAAGGCACTGATTTTAATCACACAGGGGAAAAAGAGTCACTTGTTTTCTAATTCTGGCAATATTTTATTTGAAGGCCTAGCAATCTTAGGAAAATCAGGGAGAAGAAGGAAAAGTGAAGATGGTGATGGATGTTAGCCAGACTTGTGGTGATCATTCCATGATATGTACAAATACCAAATCATTATGTTGCACACCTAAAACTAACACATATGACATATATATATGTCAATTTTACCACAATAAAAAATAAATTTAAAAAGTAAAGAACTCAAACGATAGCCTTTAAAGAAGCCAGGGATTGGGTGTGTGTGGGAGGGGGATGGGGGGAGGGGGAAGACTCCCAAAGCCCATGGGAAAAGGATCAGAAGGGAGCAGGAGCTCCCACCACCCCTTAGCTTAGCCACAGTGCTATGCCTTAGCATAATCAGCATAATCGGGTTACCTCATGTGCAAGGCCCAGCCTTTGCAAAGTGCACTTATCACAGGATGAATTACCTCGCTCTGAACATCACTAGAATGATGGGCGTGAACAAACGGGACAGCATCCGGAGGCAAAATGTAGCCCGTGGCTTTCTGTTTCTCCCAGCCTTCCTTGTAGAGGTACTGGAAGACAGAGGGCCACACAAAGGGTCACACACAGAGTCAGAGTGAAGGGAGAAGTCGTGTGCAGACAGCTCCATAGTCCCCCCACAGAGTCCCAGGCATCTGAGTACCACCATACCTGGTCCAGAATCCGGGCTGCCTCCTGGGCAGTATGCAGCAGGGGGGTTTCTGTGAGGGTGTACTTTGATTTGGTGTCATTCCAATCTTTCCTGTATTTAATCTGGAAACCAGAGGCAAAGGGCAAATGAATTGATGTTAAGAAAGCATAACCTAAGCAAACTAGCGTCAGTGATCTATCTCAACGATTAAAATCTGTGTCTCAGACGAGGATTGCATGCCGAGTGTGAGTAGGTGGAAAAGCTTTGGAAACGACATCTTCATGACGGGGCAATCTTCGAATGGCAGCCATGTACTTACATCATTTAGGATTTCACCACTTTGTTTCGCTGTCACATAATCCACTCTGTCATCCACAGGAGTAAAGTTCAGACTTTCGATTTTTGTGCGATACTTATTCTGCGGGAAAGAAAAGAGCTTTTAGACAACCGTAGTCACTGGTCCTGTGTGAGCTGAGAAAGATATGCTAAATTTAAGGATCCTTTTCTACTAGACGCATAGAGCACCATATTTGAATGGCATCTTCTTGGCAATTTGGCTTTCTTCTTAGCATTCATCCATCTATTTATTTATTTATTTACTTATTTATTTACTTATTTAAATATTTGTATTGATTTCAGAGAGGAAGCGAGAAGGAGAAAGAGATAGAAACTTCAATGATGAGAAAGAATCACTGATCGGCTGCCTCCTGCATACCCCCTACTGGGGATCGAGCCCTTAACCCAGGCATGTGCTCTTGACTGAAATGGAATCCGGAACCTTTCTGTCTGCAGGCCAGTGCTCTATCCACTGAGCCAAACCAGCTAGGGTCTTAGCATTTATTTTGAACAAAAGACTGGCTTCTTATTTCTCCCACAGGTTTTAAAGTATCAGGTTTGCTTAGCTCCCAAAGTCATGCAATATATCATCATATATATTACATGTATCATAATACTCAATACGTTTTTTTAAAACTAGACAAAGTTCTTTCAAAGTATTTTCCTGTTGCTGAAAATATAAGTTTTTCATATGTACAATTCCAAACATAATGAGTGTGCTGGATATTATATTATGGATTGATCCCATAGTATCATAGCAACAGCACAGGATTATTTTGGGGGAAAGAAAGTATGCCTGGCTCAAATGACAGCAATTGAAATTGTTTAAATTGCTGATAGGTAATGACTAAATTTTGGCTTGTGCATTTTTTTTTAATGCTCACCTGAAAATACATTTAGATAGAAAAAGGGGAGGGGGGAGGAAAGGGGGGAGAGAGAGAGAGAGAGAGAGAGAGAGAGAGAGAGAGAGAGAGAGAGAGAGAGAGAGAGAGATGTGAGAGTGAAACATTGATTGGTTGCTTCCCATATGCATCCTGACCGGAGATCAAACCTGCAGTCTTTTGGCACACAGGATGATGCTTCAATCAACCGAGCCACCCAGCCAGAGCTTGTGTATTTTTTGTTCATTCTCTTAAGAAGTGTAGCAAATGGCAGGATAAAACGTTAGAATACCTCACTGAAGATATCCCCGGCATATTTGGCGTGATTGACAGAAACGGAGTCATTGGGCATCCACCCGATCCCACGCAGCCATTCCAAGTCGGCCTTGTAAATAGCCTGTGAAAAAAGGGGGAGGTAAAGTCAGCCATCCTACACACAAGTCCTGTTTATTCTGTCCTGTCGTCTGATGGAGAAATACAATTCAAGAATGATATACTCAAACAGCCAGCCAGGTGACATGTAAATTAATTAGGAAGCCAGGTGGCAAAAATGGAGTAGCAAACTGAGCGACATATTATCTATTTAAGAGAGTTTAGCTTCCGATCAGCCAGAGGTTATTGTTGTCTGGGCTCACGCACATTCAGAGCTTCCTCCTCTGACTTTTTAAGAGAAATGGAAAATCCTAGATTTATACCCAAAATGTTCTGATCTAAAAATTCTGGCAACTTAATTTAAAAAATTTAAAAACTGTGTCAACTAAAAAAGTATATCTGTACCTACCCCCTGTCCATGGACTGCCACTATTTTATTTGTGATATAAACCTGTTGCTACTTAAATTCTATGGAAATCATATTTTCCGTGTAATTGTCCTTACCCTATAAAATTAAGGACTATATTCACACTACCATTTATTTCTTGACACAAAGTCTAGATCCTTTATGGCTTGGTGAATTTGATACCATAATATCAGGTGTAACTAAAACCAAATTCTTGGCAGTACAAAAACGTGGAGATCTGATCCAAGGACTCAACGACATAAACTTTCTGGGAGCCCTGGCAAAATACGAAAGAGCTCATCCTAAAATGCAGCCCACTCACGTCGCTCTGCAGTTCATAGGCCTTTTTGGCCTGAATCACATCGTTCTGGTCAGGCAGGCATGTCCACTGGTGCAGGCGTTGGCGGTAGTCAATGTCGCTGACCAGAGTCTGGCAGTTTTTAGAATGCAAGATGGAAAGCATATCCACAGGGCTTTGGAACTTAGTCTTCCATTTGGCCCAGCTCAGCCGATACTCCCGTTCATTCTGAAGCTTGCCAGCTATGAGGGCCCACCGGATCCTGTTGTCGTCCTTGGCGGTGAGGGTGCCCACGTAGTGGCCCTTCTGCTTCTCGTGGTCAAGCTTGTATTTATACTGGAGACACAAAAACACAGCAGATGGATCACAGCTCGTACTCCCCATGCACCCAGGGCATTCGCTTACAAGACAGAGACGTTAACCCAGGCCGCACTCACATCACTGGCGATCTCCCTGGAAGCCTTGGCAGACTGGATAGGGATGGCATCCAGCCGCACGTCGCAGCTCATCTTCATTTCGTCCCAGCCCTCGCGGTAAATTTTCTGAGGAGAACAGAGGGTATCACTCCAGGTTCAAATTTACCAATAACTCCCAGGGCTCATGTAGAATTATGATCGGAGGGGTGCCGTTGTGAAGACCCAGAGCCAGTTAAAGAAAAGGGGACAGGTGAGAGAATCATTCTGCTCCGAGGGACTGAAGTATAAAATCGTGTCTGGAGTCCAAGTATCTGAGGTTGACCAGAGTTCTTTCTTTTTAATTTCAATCATAGCCTCCACATAGCTGTAAATGGTTTATGTAAAAGAGTTGCTTCATGGATTGGGATACATTTCAGTTCAGACATGAATGGGCTACTATTGAATTTCTTTATTCAATCATTTAACTTATTTAATTTTAAAATTCAATTCAATTTTGTAATCTTCAAAAGTAGAAACTTTTTAAATTTGTGAGGCTTTCTCCCAATGTGGTTTCTTAGATTTTATGTGATTGATGATGCATATTGTTTGGGAATGTTAGATGCTCCCGCTGAAGTACAATTGAGTATTAATAGCCATTTTTTAAAGAAAAATGTAGTGTCTTTTTGTTTGTAAAGAGAAGTTAATTAAGAGACTGGTTTATAGATAACTTTATAAAGACTACACTTTCCGGGATCATTTCTTTTATTTATTTATTTTTAAAATATATTTTATTGATTTTTTTACAGAGAGAAAGAGAAAGGGATAGAGTTAGAAACATGGATGAGAGAGAATCATCAATCAGCTGCCTCTTGCACACTCCCTACTGGGGATGTGCCCGCAACCAAGGTACATGCCCTTGACCAGAATCGAACCTGGGACCTTTCATTTCTTAGACTGACACTCTGTCCACTGAGCCAAACCGGTTTCGGCTCTGGGATCATTTCTATAATTCATTACAGAGAACTTTAAAAATATATGTTTATATTTAAATAGGCACAGTCTGTAGTGACAATGTCACAAAGACTCAAGATAACAGCAATTTAAATGTGTAATTTAGAAAACATACCAATCAGTATGGGATCTTGAACAGTGAAGAAAGGAGAGGTGAATTTTAATTATTGATAAATTCATGGCCTTTGCATATCTGAACTATGACCATGAAGAGTTCCACTGGTGATATTGTAGCACGAACTCAATGACTCTAAACACAACGGAGTCTGTTGCAGTACTTACATTGCTCACATTGAGCGCATTGGCTCTGGCGAGATTAATTTCTGGAGTATCTGGCATTATGTGGATCGAAGTTTTATCCTTGTCCCAAACTTCTCTGTACTTTGGCTAAGGAAAGAACCGATAACAAAAAAGTTATTTCATAATTTGTAATTTTGCTGGTTCCAATGTGCAACTTTTAATTTTTCTGATCCAAAACATTTTCATATCTAGTCTTTTCACATAGATTACTCAAATTTGATATACAATCTGTATTACTGTATTAAAACCTTTTATTAATACTTTGAGTTTGGGTTTAAAATTACAATAGAAAGTAATAATAGAGCAATTCTGTCAACATTACTTATTAAAATATTCACTATCATCAATATTATGCTTATTAGATTATCAGGTTAATGATAATTTTTTTCCTTTTCTTTTTTTTGTTTTGTTAATCCTCAACTGAGGATATATATATTTTAAAAATATATTTTATTGGTTTTTCACAGAGAGGAAGAGAGAGGGACAGAGAATTAGAAACATCGATGAGAGAGAAACATCGATCAGCCGCCTCCTGCACACTCCCTAGGTAGTACATGCCCTTGACTAGAATCGAACCTGGGACCTTTCAGTCCACAGGCCGACGCTCTATCCACTGAGCCAAACTGGTCTTGGCTAGGATATTTTTCCATTGATTTTTAGGGAGAGTGGTAGAGAGAGGGAAAGACAGGGAGAACATCGATGTGAGGGAAGAGCCTCACAGGGCCTGGGCAATGATTTCATTTATTTATAATATGAACGTAATTTTATTACAGAGAAAATAGTACTTACAATACTAATATTTTCAGCATTTGACTTAGCAAGAACAACTTCCGGTGTGTCGACGATGCTTGTGTACTTGAGATTCACCACTGGTGTCCTGTAGACACTGTCTCGTAGGATCTCCTGGGCATTTTTGACTCTCAGTACTTCGGGAGACCCATCCGGCATCCAGCCAATGCCACGCAACCACTCCAAGTCAGCCTTGTAGATAACCTGAGAAAGAAAACAAAGTCAGCTGGAAACAGGCTTTTTAAAAAATTAGTAAAGTAGGCATGCAATTTTGTATGTTACCTTTTATCTTCCACAAACAGCAATAAAAAATGAGTACTCTACTGACAAATGTAACTTCCCGCATACACAGTAGTGCTTTGTTCTGCCTTTCCTCTGTGGCAGGGGGTCCGTGTTTGGGTGCATGTGCACATTTTTAAAGGCAGAAAGAAGTAGAAAGAGCTCCCTGTTTGGGGGATGCATGGAAAATTTTTGAATAATATTAGATAATCATCCTACTATTCAATGTGGAATTTAAAGCAAGAATAATGGTCTCTTTAGTAAGTTCTCCACAAAGCAACCAGAATGATCTTTTCAAAGTTCGAAATTCAAATCTGCTGTCACCAAATACCCTCATCCTGCGACTTCCCATTGGTCTTAGGATAAAGATCAAAACCCCTAACATGGACTGGAAGGCAAGGGATGATCTAGCACCAGTCCCAACTGTTCTCCCAGCCCCATCTTACGTGTGCTTCCCTTCCACCTGTGCATTCTGATCAAACCGGCCTTCTTTCAGTTTGTGGTTTGCATATGGCCCCCTATGCATATGTTGCTCATTCTGCAGGAACATCCTCTGTGTCCTCCTCACAGCCACCTCCTACTCTTCCTTCGGAGCCACTAAGTCAGCACTTCCTTAGGCCTTCCCACCTCTCAGGAGCCAGAGGTCACTCCTCGGCCACCTCACCATTTGCTGACAGTCTCCAATTAACACCTATTTCTTTGTTATCATGTGAGTTCCTAAAGTCAGGAACTTGGTCTCATTTCTTCTTTATTTGCAATTGTATCTTCAGTGCTTAGCGCAACACTTGGCACCTAATGTGTCTAATATTTAAAAAAAAAGACAATTAAGAATTTAATCCCTACCCTAGCTTCACAATTCTGATCTCAATTGTTGTGCTTTTTTTTTTTTCCAAGATAGCAAGCACCTCCCTTTGAATTGGGATTTTCATGTTCTTGATTATCTAAACCTGTTTCCCTAGACATAGGTAAGTGGTAAACCATATCGAGTTGCTTTATGTTAAGCACCATTTATTAATTTTATAAAAAACCATGGTGTTCTTCAGAAATGTTATCTTAATAACTAGGTAATAAGATACAAATACTTAGGCAAAAAAGGTAGTAAGAGGATTGAAAAAGGTAGGAAACTGCCTACCTACATGAAGAATGACATACCCAGAATTCAGAAGAAAGGGTTCTCAAATAAGATTATATACATATTTTGAAATTTCCCTCCCTCATTCTCTAAGAACCTGATTGCTATGAATGCCTCAGCTCACTAAGGTGGGTCAGGTTAGTGAACAGACTGCCTTTCTTGAGAAAACGGTCTACATTCACCAGGTGGCAATTCATTGCAAGTGATGGGTGTACATCCTGCAGGAAACTCATTCATTATGAGAAAGCATATTTTGAAGCTTAGGGGAACCAAGTTCACATAATTAAAAAAAAAAAAAAAAGGTATTCCTTCTATAGAAAAAATAAATAGCCCAAGGGAATCATCATTTCCAAAACACTGTATGGGCATAAAATATGAGTAAATCTAAAAGCACTTCAGGTAAAGTAATGAAGCACCAGGCTGTGAAGAACACCAAGTTAAGGGACACCAGTGAGTCTGGAGCATGCTGCTAATCTTTGGAATTAATTTTACGGAAAATAGCCTGTCCTTCATCAATGCATAGTTGAAGGACCAAGACAGCCCCTAATAAACCACAAACACTGCCCATGTTCACACGTTTATAGAAAAATTATGAAAATAAAAACAGCAAAAAAACGAGAACGTTCTGAATAAACCCAACAGTAAGGTAGACACTTAATAAGCTTATGTAGGGGGTTATGTTTTCCCACGCACTGGAAGGAGCGGTCAGGCAGAGCCGTGGAAGGTTTCCTTCCTGGGGACAGCTCACCCCTCAGGCCCCGGCCCCGGTGCGCCCCTCACAGGCACACACTTACGTCACTCTGCAGGTCATATGCGTTCCTGGCATGGATCACATCGTTCTGGTCAGGAAAGCAAGACCACTGGTGTAGGTACTGGCGATAGTCCACATTGCTTGCTAATGCCTGGCCTTCTTTGGCAGCGCTGATGGACACCATGTCCCCCGGGATGGAGATCTTAGCCTTGTGGTCGTTGTAGGCCTTTTTGTACAGCCTGTCATTCTGCATCTTTAATACATTTGCTGCCCAAACCAATTTAGGGTCTTCCTTGGCATTGCCACATCCAATGTAGTGGCCTTTCTGTTTCTCATAAGCATTCTTATACAGATACTATTGGGTGTGAACAAAAGAAAGAACAGTTGTTTTTTCCAAGTTCAATTCATCTCTAGGCAGTCAGTTCAAAATAGCTCCATTCCCTTAGATTCCTCTCTTTGGGGCACTGCAAGCACCTCTAGGCAAGAACATTGTGAGCACTTCTAAGGCAAGAAGTGTGCTTCTGGGTGACCCTCCAATACAGGCTTGTCCAGTGTTTCCCAAACTTCAGCCAAGGTTTGGCACCCTCACATGTTTTGCCACAAACATGTACCAAATGTACTTCATATTGAAGTCAATTTGATCCTTTGTTTAAATAAATTTATTTTTTAAAGTGTAAACTCACTTAAATTGTTATTTTAAATCTTATAATTCTATCTAAATGGGACAAAATCAGTATTATTTCCAGCACACATGGAAACACATATATAACCACTTAAAAATGCTTGTTTATGTATTGCATAATATATCACTTTGAGAAACAACAGAATTATTTTCATCCATAAATCTCTAAGTGTTAGTGAATTAGCTTATATTGAGAAGACATTAAAAATAAAATGAAAATCTGTGCTTAGACATAAGAAGAGCAGAACTAAGCAGAGATCATGAAGAGCATCAACTCGTTGTAAAGTTGTTCTTAAATTTGAGATTTTAAAACAAGACACTAATAACAATGACCTCCACTTTACTTAAATATAATTCCTGGGAAAATAAAGATTAGTATGGCATTAACCCCTGTGTGCCTCCTAATGTTTATCAAATCTGGGCAAGGAGGGGCTCTTACATCGCTGGCGATATCCCTGGAAGCCTTGGCATGCTGGATCCCAATGGCATCTGCTCGCAGGTCATAGCCGGTCATCTTGACATCTTCCCAAGCTTGCTGGTAGTGTTTCTGCAATTGGAGATTGCAATGCCACAGTCAGTCTGAAGAGGGAGCTACTGAGCAACATGCTAACAGTTACACTGAACACTAATCTCCCCTAGAGCTGTATAAAATAGTCTGGTTTCATATTGAACTTATGTTCCAATCGCTTTTTCATGAAATTTAGTAAAGTTATCTCGAATAACTTTTTTTAAAGAAGGTAATTTAGGAAACAGGAAATCATGTTAAAATGAGAAAAAATATTATTTGGCTTTTAAAAGGAAAATCACTGATAGGCCACTAAAAAGAGAGCTAAGTATTATTATACACGCATTGATACTTTTATGTTGTGTTTTGGCAAAATCACTGCATTTTTTTACTTCCAACAAAGATAAAGACACGCGCGTGTGCTCGTGCTCTCTCACGCACACACACACACACACACACACTAGCTTATAGTCTAGAAATAAAAGGAATGGCAGGGAACCGCCTTTTGCTAAATTCTTTCTGGAGCATATTGCCTAAAGGTTCAGTTAGGCAAGAGAGCATTGTATAAAAGAAATGGCTGTGTAGGGCCTTACATTGCTGATCTGCAGGGCGTTGATCTTGGACTGCAGCATCGCTGGAGTGTCGGCTGGCACATTCACATTAGTCTTCTCTTTGTCCCAGGCTTCACGATATAAAGGCTGGTAAAAATGAAAAACGAAGGATGCTTGACGAATAAATAAATCAATTACCATGTGAATAAAATTACAATTAAAAATTCTCTTTGAAGGTTTTCTCATATAAATATAGATCGCATTTTGTTTTTATTTAGGAAGTGCCAATAGTGACTTCAACAAGAGGAATACACTCATGTGTAATATAATATAAATGTAAATGAGTCAGAAACATGGTAGTAAAATAATCCTTTCACATTTATTCACAGGTAATTATCAGGCAGTAAACCTGCATCGCAGGTAACTATGATATTCCACATTGCTAATAAAGTCTTGGCTTGCTTAAGTAAAATAACTTTAATAATGTCTAACGTTGCTACCCCTGGACTTTTCAACTTATTTTATGATTGAATACAAAAAAAGATGTCAGTTTTGTAATCATGGTATTAACTGGTTGGCCAGTATTATAGGCAAGGTCTTAAAATGTGTTCAAAGTATACATCAGAGTCTGTGAAACATGAAGATACCCACTACACTTATATTGAGCAAAGAGTTATCTAAGCAAATGAAATGTGGATACTGTTAATCGACTGACTATATAAAATTCTATCTGGATATATGTATCTTCAGGATTCTGATGCTGGTATTGAGAAGGCTAACCCCTATTTTGTAAAACTACTGTTTGGAATTCTCTGGTATTTTTAGAAGGCCTCTTATTCTAAACAAACAAACAAACAAACAAACAAATAAATAAATTACTTTGCTTTCTAGCCTGCTTTAGCCTGCTTGAATAATGAGGAAGATAAACTTAGCTGTCTGACTTCGTAGGCCAGAGACTAGATGTGCCCATATTCTCAATGTCATGCCTGGTGCATTTTTTAAATGGATAGAATTGTGCTGTTTTCAAGGCCAGCAGCGAGATAGCCACTAAGTGCACATAAGGCTGGCTCTTTAATAAAAAGGGAAGTTCTGCTTGTAGCTTTGCTTAGAATTTGAATTCATTTTCTCTAAACCCACTGTGGTGAATAAAATGTAACTCTAAACTCTCTAAGCATTGCTTGATTTATTCTGGTTCTCTGTAACAGTATTAGCAGTTTAAAATTCACAGCTCACCTCGCTGATCTGTAGAGCATTTGTCTTTGCCAGAACGACTTCAGGTGTATCAACAATGCTGGTGAATTTGAGGCTCTCAGGCTTTGTACGATACAGCTTTTCATTGAGGAGATCTTGGGCATTCTTCACTCTCACCACGTCCACAGAACCCTCTGTCAACCATCCGATACCCTTCAACCATTCCAGGTCTGATTTGTACACATTCTACATGAAGGAGAGGATCACAGAGTGCAGAAAAGTCAAATTTGTAGTAGAGCACAATGCCAACAAACCACACACAAGATCTCTATTTAAACCAGCTGGGTGTCCAATCCCACAAAACTCAAGGATCAGCATTAAATGTTAACATTTGGGTGTGATCACACATCTCTGGGAGAGGTCCACAGGATCTATCCTGCATGAATTGGAGCAGGGTTGACAAGTGGCATTTGGGAAATGAGAGACTGCAATGGCATAAAATGCAAAGCTGAGTTTTTGTGCTCAGCACTTGAAATCTGCCTTTTATGTAACACTGGGGGAAAAGTCCTTAGATGCATGTTTAATGAGAAAAAATACATATGTATCAACATTTTTCTCTGTATATGAAAACACAATATAAATATGTATTTTCCTATATGCGCCAGATAAGCCTGAAAAGCAAAATTTTCTTATGATTAACCTGTTTCTGAAACAGATAATGTATCACAAATGTACTGGATCGGAACAACGGGGACTGAAATGTTTTATCTAATTACATAGAATAGCAGAGTGATTTTCATCTTGATGGATAAGGCCTTGTTGCATAAGAAGGAATCCTCTATAAGATTAAAAAATACTCAGAAAAACTCTACTACCATGAAACGTACACACGATGTTAGGTTCTTTCTATGAAGATTACCAGTTAAATTCTGTCCCCGGGGAATACACCGTGATTACACCCCCAGGCACACATCTCCCCAAGCGTCTAGTGGTAACATACGCACATCGCTCTGCAGTTCGTAGGCTTTCTTGGCCTGGATCACATCATTCTGATCTGGCAGGCATGTCCACTGGTGCAAATAATTGCGATAATCCACGTCGCTGACCAGGACCTGGCATTTCTTGGCTTGAACAATGGACATCATGTCCAAGGGTGTATTGTAAATTCCTTTGGACTTCTCATAAGCTTTCCTATACTCGCGGTCACTCTGGATCTTGGCAGCATGGATAGACCATACCAATTTGGGGTCGTCTTGTAGGCTGCGGAAACCCACGTGGTGGCCCAGTTGCTTACGGTAACCTTCTTTGTATTTGTACTAAAGTGGTGGAAAAAACACAGATAAAAAGACATATGAAAATAATGTGTTAGAGAACTTTCCATGGCAGGTTTCAGAATATTTCCTTTTAAAAAATATATTTTATTGATTTTTTTTATAGAGAGGAAGGGAGAGGGATAGAGAGTTTGAAACATCAATAAGAGAGAAACATTGATTAGCTGCCTCCTGCACACTCCCCACTGGGGATGTGCCCACAACCAAGATACATGCCCTTGATTGGAATCGAACCTGGGACCTTTCAGTTCACAGGCTGACACTCTATAAGCTGAGCCAAACCAGCCAGGGCAGAGAATATTTTCTTAATGTAAATTGGCTTGACATTGGGAGTAATTATGTACATCAGTTCACTTTAAAGAAATCAGAAAGGGCTGCTTAAATGGCTTTATAGAGGATGTGAGTAAATCAGGAGGGGCAGTATGGTGAACAAGAGTAATAAAAAAAAATAATAGCTAACATTTACTGAGCCAGACTCTACTATGAGTGCTTCAAATGTATTAGGTTGATGTATCTGATACTGTTGATTTTTTTAGTTAAAAATAGTTGACAGTAGCAATTATAAGTTCATTTAATCCTCACAACATCTTTATGTGGTAGTACCATGATTATCACACTAGAGGCTGAGTGCACAAAATTTGTGCACTGGAAGGGCGGGGGCCCTCAGCCTGGCCTGCACCCTCAGGGACTCTATTGCTTACTGCCCACCTGCTCACTGCTCCTTAGCACTGCTGTAAACCCTGCTCTGGCTGAGCAGCACTCCCCCTGGTGGTCAGTGCGCATCATAGTGACCTGTCATTTTGTCTTTCCATCGATTTGCATATTAAGTTTTTATTATATAGGATATTTCAAATGGGGGTGGGGGGGGAGAGCACAGTAAAGGTAACCATTGTCTCCAGATAGAACAATGGAATTGTTCATTTAATTCTCACAACATATTGGGTCGGCAGCTAAGTAATTGCGGGTTTCACACATATATGGCTTCAGTTGAATTTTTAGGTTTGTAGACGTAGTACAAATGTAAAACACATTTTGTTATTTGATAGTTGGCTATTCAGCTGTTAATCAGTAAAAAAAGTTTTTTGATCTGTTTTGTAGTTTTCGTTTGGTGTTCGTTGAAAAATGGAAAATCAAAAGGAACATTTTCGTCATATTTTGCTTTTTTATTTCCGCAAAGGGAAAAACGCATCACAAGCTCATAAAAAGTTATGTGCTGTTTATGGTGACGAAGCCTTAAAAGAACGGCAGTGTCAAAATTGGTTTGCCAAATTTTGTTCTGGTGATTTTTCACTCAAAGATGAAAAACGCTCTGGTTGTCCAGTTGAAGTTGATGACGCCCTAATCAAAGCAATAATCAATTCGGACTGTCACAGTACAACACGTGAGATTGCAGAGAAGCTTCATGTATCACATACATGCATTGAAAATCACTTAAAACAACTTGGCTATGTTCAAAAACTCGATACATGGGTTCCTCACGAACTGAAAGAATCACAGTTAACGCAACGCATTAGCAGCTGCGATTTGCTAAAGAAACGTAATGAAAATAATCCATTTTTAAAACGACTGATAACTGGTGATGAAAAATGGGTTGTTTACAACAATATCAAGCGGAAAAGATCGTGGAGCAGGCCAGGTGAACCAACTCAAACAACATCAAAAGCTGATATTCATCAAAAGAAGGTTTTGTTACCAGTTTGGTGGGATTACAAAAAAATTGTCTACTTTGAACTCTTACCACCCAACCGAACGATCAATTCTGATGTCTACATTGAACAACTAATGAAATTAAACAATGCAGTTGAAGAAAAGCGGCCCGAATTGACAAATCGAAAAGGTGTTGTATTCCATCATGACAATGCAAGGCCACACACATCTTTGGTCACTCGGCAAAAATTAATGGAGCTTGGTTGGGATGTTTTGCCACATCCACCATATAGTCCTGACCTTGCACCATCTGATTACTTTTTGTTTCGATCTTTACAAAACTCTTTGAATGGTACAAATTTCAATAATGATGATGATGTCAAATCGTACCTGATTCAGTTTTTTGCTAATAAAAACCAGAAGTTTTTTGAACGTGGGATTATGATGCTTTCTGAAAGATGGCAAAAGGTCATTGATCAAAATGGGCAATACATTACAGAATAAAGTTATTTAGTTCCATGAAAAAATTGTCTTTGATTTTCTTTAAAAAATCCGCAATTACTTAGCTGCCGACCCAATATAAATTCATTTAATCCTCACAACATCTTTATGTGGTAGTAATATGATTATCACATATTTCAAATGGGGGGGGGGGGCGCACAGTAAGGATAACATTGTCCCCATGTGGAACATTGTCCCCTGGCAGGTGGAAATATTAGATCAGATGGTCCCCCAAGAGCACTGAAGGTACTTCAAGTAGGAAAAAAATCATGTGTGATTTAGGAGACAGACAAGATGTACTAGTATGTTTCAGGAATGGAAAGCAATGATTCTGTTTTGAATCAGAAGATAACAGTAAGGGACCCATGGATAAGAGTTTATGGTCCACACTTGTCCTAAATGTTTTAGGACTTGAGTTAGATAGCTTCTCTTTCCTATGTTTAGATCTGATAGGCAAATTTAGACAAAAGGGAGATAGAAAGGGAATAAAGCAGATGCTATGCTCAGGTATAGTTCTTAGAGATAAAAAGGAGGAAGAAGATAGAAAGAAACAGCTGGATACATGAAATAAAAAATGGAGAAGAATGGGGAGAAAGGGAACAAAGATGGCTTAAAGATTTGGAACTGGGATGAGGCGAGGGGCACAAACTTGATAGGATAATTGTTTTGACCATTAGTAAGTTTTAGAAGTACTATTAAATGAACTTCAAAAGGTTACTAAGAGCATTATACATAAGCCTCCACGATAAAAATCTTGTTTATAAAATGTGATTTCCTGCTAAGTCTTCTTGTTTGACACTTTCACCTGTGATTTATATTTATGGAGAATGTCATAAATATTTCGGGAGTAAAAATCACATCGTATCGGTTCCTGAATTTTCCCCAAGAATTTCACACAGACCCTTCGTATTTTTCTTCTTCTTAGAAACAACTTAGAAGTTATTTACACATATATCTCGTTTATGCTTACCTTAATGCTTTTTTGTCCCACTTTAATGTTTTTTAAAATAATGTCTTTAGTGTAAGACAAAACATCATCATTTGTATAAATCTTTAAAAAACACTCAAATTCTTGAAAAATACTCTATTTGTTGCATGGAGGAGGAGAACCACCAGGAAACAAGGAACCGTACCTCACTGGCAATTTCCCTGGAGGCTTTGGCATGCTTGATCTCAATGGCATCTGCTCTTATGTCATAGCCTTTCTGCTTGGCCTCATTCCAGTCTTTCTGGTAGAGTTTCTATTGAGAGGAAAAAACAGGTATGTTTACAAGAAATGAAAATAAGGGAATATACTCAAAGGGGTTATATGAGTCATAAGGCTTAATGTCAATGATGGCAACATAAGAACAGAACCTATCACTTCTGAGCTCTTCTCTTGGTTATTTACTTAATGGAGTGCAGGATACTTCCGATTAAATTTTCAAAGGTAAACATCTAAGCCTAGCAGCTAAACACCTAAATCTAAACATCTGAATCCAAACGAATATTTGAATATCTGCATTCATCACAATATGGCCCGCATCTGAAGACATCTCATTACACAGCAGATGAAAACTAAGAATTAACGGTGAACCTTCTTCACAAGGAAACATATGAAACTGATTAGATTTTCTTCCTAATGTTGTCCTTTGACTTTTTAGAGGTCTCTGCTAACTATGTGACAGATATATCATACATAGCCTGCACTTTGCATATAATTAAATGTTGTCGTTTGGCTTTTCTTATGGCATTTAAATGTCAAACAAGAAAGTTCTGGATCAATCAAAAACTTAATAAAGGCAATAGAAAAAAAGATAATTGAGACTGTTACCTCTTAAGAGGCATTTAACCAGGGATTTCATTATTCTCAAATGAGACACAATGAAACTGAGCTGTAAACATGAGGTACAGGACAGTGATTTCAAGGTTGAAAGAAGTACACCAATAAGATTCAGGCATCCCACACGTTGCAGTCCAGGGACTCAACCATGTATCTAAACTAACATTTAAAAGATAATTTCCATTCATATTGCCTTGGGAGAGTGGTAGCTAGAAAGTGTCGAGCACCAAAGTCATAAATATTTCTAAGACACTAATTCTTCAATTATAACACCCTCCATAGCAGGCAGATTGACATTTCGTATCCATGCCACTTACATTGCTGATTTGCAAGGCATTGAGTTGGGCCTGCAGCATAACTGGAGTGTCAGAAGGAATGCTGATGTTGGTTTTGTCTTTATTCCAGGCCTCTTGATACAGTTTCTGTGGAGAGAAGGGAAATTTTATTTCAATATTTCATAGAGAATGGAGATCTGAGACATAAAGTCTAAGTGACCATATAACCTGGAAAAATGTGGTGGTTAATTTTATGTGTCAACTTGCCTAAACCACAGTATCCAGGTATTTGGTCAAACATTATTCCAGATGTTCTGTGAAGGTATTTTAAGATGATATTAACATCTGAGCAGTCTTTGGGTAAAGCAGACTACCCTCCAAATTGTAGGTGGGCTTTGTACAGTCAAAGGCCTTACTAGAAACAAGTCTGACCTCCCTGAGCAAGAAGGAACTCTGCCTGACCATGCCTTTGGGCTTGAACTGCAGCTCCTTCCTACCTCCAGCCTGCTGGCCCACCCTGCAAATGTTGGACTTGCCGGCTCCACAACAGAGCCAATTCCTTACAACCAATCTCTTTCCTACACACCCTATTGCTTCTGCTTTTCAGGAGAACCCTGATGAATACAATCTTACACCGTTTAATATGCAGCACTGTGCCACAGGTTTTAGTCTTTCACAGAACTTAAATAATTGTTTTCCTGGCTCACAATGGAATAACACTTTTCTAATTTTAGTGCTTCCAAATGTGTGGCAGGGGTCAGACACGCTGGCATGTGTCAGTGTTCTGCTTTGCATGCACCCTCACTGAACTAGTCAAGAGACTCTTGGAGGTGCTCCCATCACCACAGTCTTTGAAGAGGACAGCCCACCTGTCCTCTGTGGCTGGCCTCATTTGATAACTAAGCCCACAAAAGGAAAGCCTGAGATAAGAAGGTTCTTACCTCACTAATTTGCAGAGAATTGGCTTTTGCCAGGACAACTTCTGGAGTGTCAGTAATGCAAGTGAATTTCAAGGCATCTGGACGTGTCCGATAGAGTCTCTCATTCACCAGGTCTTGAGCACCTTTCACCCTGGTCATTTCTACCGAGCCTTCTGGCATCCAGCCGATGCCACGCAGCCACTCCAGGTCTGCCTTATACACACTCTACAAGGGGTTAGAACAAAATGTTGTCCCCATGTTATTAAACAATGTGAATGGTGCCCTCCCCCCTGAGGTTGTGCACAGCCCATGGATCTGTCCACAGGAAATGACAGCACAATTACTAAATCTACATCCTCCCATCCCACCTTTCCCAGCGTTCACATTACATACATCACTCTGCAGCTCATAGGCCCTCTTGGCTTGGATAATGTCGTTTTGATCAGGTAAGCATGTCCAGTGATGCAGGATATTCCGGTAGTCAATGTCACTGACTAGGGTCTGACATTTCTTGGCCAGCAAGATTCCTAACATATCCACTGGGGAACTGAACTTGGTCTTGAATTTTTCAAAGTCCTTCTTGTACTCTCTTTCACTTTGAATCTTCCCTGCATTTATGGCGCACATAATTTTGGGGTCATCTTCAATGCTCTGGGCTCCAATGTGGTGGCCTTTCTGTTTTTCATATGCTTCTTTGTATTTGTACTAAAATGTTAGAAATACAGGTTTAAAATTTCAGTTCTGTTACCATATACACACTGACAATTACAACATGAACATCCAATAACACAAGGATAAGGATTTTACTTTGCAAATATTTTGGCACCTCTGTATAACTTTAAACTAATGTCTTATGCTATCGTTACACTAATAACTGCAAGTGTAATCATATGTCTTCATTGGTGGAACCCTTTCCTTCATCGAGTCTAACTGTGATTCCAAAATGTATTTTTCTTCTCTCTGACAACAAAGGGAAAGGTCTTAGAATGTAGCAAACAGTCTTGGAGGAATACATGTGGAAGCAGTTACAAAGTGGGGCCCGCCAGCTGCACTAGAGTTGTTCAGCCCTGTGAGACCAAGGGGGTCAGATCGAGGGAGGGCACTTACGTCACTGGCAATATCCCTGGAGGCCTTGGCGCTTTTGATGGAAATAGCATCAGCTCTCAGGTCATAGTCTTTCATCTTTGATTCATCCCAGCCCTTGGTGTAAAGTTTCTATGTGGAGGATAATACACAATGGAAAAATAAAAGGGTTATAGGAAGTTACTAGGCTTATTCCAGAAAGGAAGGTGGTAAGATAGAAAAAAGTGTTTTAATTACTCCTAGAGAAGCTTAAACAAGAACCAGAAAATCTCTTACTTGGCTGATATTGACAGAATTGCTTTTGGCCAGCAAGATTTCTGGGGTGTCTGGCATCACATGGATGGAAGTTTTGTCAGCATCCCAAGCTTCTGTATATAAATGCTATGAGGGAAGTAAAGGAAGACCCATTTTTTTTTTTTTAAAGGCAGTACATTACAGCTATTATCAAGCTTAACTCACTTAAGTAAAATAGCCTATTTAAGGTTATTTGGAGGTGAAGGAAGCAAAAGTGTAGTGAGAAGAGTCAAACATGGCAATATTTAAACAGCCATATGATTGTTTTACAACTAATATGAAACAACATAATGGTCTCAATAATTAATTCTTTTCATCCAATAAAACTCAAGCTTACTCATAGTAGATGGAGCATAGTGATACAGAAGAAATCCTTAGACTTCAGAGTCAATCCCAAGTTCAAACACCACTCTACTATGTCCAAGCTATGTGATCTTGAAAAAGGCATTTAATGCCTCATATTCCTCATTTCTTGGAAGGAGATAATCTTATCTTTTTTATTGAGAATTTTTTGAAGATTAACAATAACATATAAAGTGCATCAGTCATAGTAGGCACTCAACACATTTTATATTTTCTATTGCTGTTATCACTGTAGTTACTGCTGATGGGTGTGGTATAGAACTTCTGGAGCTTTAATACCCCTAATTCTGCAGTTCACTGAGAGCCACCTTCACCTTCTTCACTGAGCAAACACTCAATATCACCACCTGAATGTTTGGAAGATGTCCAGGCAGCTGTGGGAGAATTTAGATAAGTTGAATTCCACCTAATATTAGCCCCATCTCAATAAACAGGTTGCTAGAAATCTGGAAAAAAAGAACTGACCATCTATCTGATGTAACAAAACTGAACGCAACAATAGCAGCTCACTTTTCAAAAACGGATTTCTACAACCTAAGAAGAAAGAATAAACCAAGCAACTAATTTGAGTTGTGTATAAACATTGGTACTTGTATAAACACGGTGTGTTTCCCAGACTTTAGAACAAAAGGCTAAATGTTATATATTTCTCACTTTATGAGCTACATTCATGAGAGGTATGACTCAGGTAACTGGAAAGAGCTGAAGACTAACCTTGCTCATTGTCAGGGCATTGCTCTTTGCCAGGACAATTTCTGGGGTATCTGTAATGCATGTGAATTTGAGCTTATCTGCTGGCAGGCGGTACTTCCTGTCACTCAGGATTTCTCCAGCTCTCTTCACCTTTTCGACCTCTACAGAGCCAATGGGCACCCATCCAATGCCTCGCAGCCACTCAAGATCAGCCTTGTAAATAGCCTGAAAATGAAATAAAGTAAAATATTTATAAAAGTTACTTAGACAACTTGGTGTCTGACACTGACTTAGCATCTACAGAGGATGTATAATTCTGAATCTTACTTGTGTAAATTTCTGGGAAGACCCTCTGTACCACACTGTACAGAGGAGCTACTTAAACACTTTGTTCCAGAAGGTAACCTTGTTTTAAAAACCCTGAAATCGCTATAATAATATGTGATTTCATTGATACAAAAGCATTTTAAGGAAATTACTGTCCACCTCCTGATACAAAGAGCTTATTTTCTGATTTAATTGCCCATATTTCCTTGTGTGGGACTAATAGAACACAGTTTGTTCTGATCTATTTGGACATTGGCCTTCACAGCCAGTCCTATAATCTAAAGAAAGGATGACCACATGTTGAATTAATGTGCTTTCTGGGAACAACAAAAAGGGTGTCTTTTTTCATATAATTCTGTATACATGCTTCTAAGACAAAGAGTACATATGTTTTTACTCTTATTTATCTTATTTTCAGTCCTCTTTTCTGTCATAATTCAAGTAAAATAAGATATTTCATCTTTCAGTTTTAGTCTTTGAATTTAAATAAATGCTTGAAGGATAATTTTTTTTCATTATTAAGGGTAAAAATCCTTTTTATTTTTATGGACATTTTGAGAAACTCTCTTTTTACAATGGCACTAATTTATCATTCTTTTGAAAGTGACTACTTATGAGAGCCTGATTTAAAAAACAATAAGGAGCTACTAAACCAATAAGGTAGCATTTAAGTGCTCAGGACAATTTACTAGTTGACAACAAAAGTACCTGACATATTCCTAGGAAACCACTGTTTTCAGTTTCTTGGGTAAATTATCTCAATGTATAATTCATTCCTAAACTTTCTTTTACAAGTTATAATAAATATTTCCTGTAAATTAATTAGTTAGAAAAAGGTAATGCAATCAATTCATTTGGAAAATTAGGTTGAGTTAAACTAGAACATCAATGAACTTAGTTAGAAAAAAAAAATAAAAAAAAAAAAATATATATATATATATATTTCATTACCCTTTAATGGAAATATAGCATTTCTTTCAATTATGAGTTTAGTCGAGAAGTCATAGTAGTAGTGACACTTCATGGGATTAGGTTGGCAATAGAAATCACAAATATTTTCATTTCCAATTACAATTGTGCAGACATCTTGAAATATTTATGATTATCAGTTTTTTGAAATTAAGCTAGTTACTCACTGCTAGATATTTTCATTTAATGTGTTAATAAAAATCCATATATATATATATATATGCATACATATATATACAAGCACATATGTATGTATATATATTTTAAATTTATACATTTTATGACATTGTCCTAAGAACTTGTCCATAGGTCTCATCAGATTTTGCCAACAAATTCCATGGCACACAAGAAGTTAGACCTCTTTAGGTTTTAAAACACATTCTGAATAATAGTAGACCTACTCACATCACTCTGAAGGTCATAGGCCTTCCGAGCCTGAATGACATCGTTCTGGTCGGGCAGACAGGTCCACTCATGCAGGGGATGCTTGTAGTCTATGTCGCTTACAAGGATCTGGCACTTCTTGGCCAGCACCACCCCCAGCATGTCCACGGGGCTGCTGAACCTGGTCTTCGACTTCTCAAAGTCCTTCTTGTACTCCCTGTCGCTCTGGATCTTGGCCACATGCATGGACCACATCATCTTGGGGTCATCTTTGATGTTCCGGGCTCCAATGTGGTGGCCGAGCTGCTTACGATAGCCTTCTTTGTACTTGTACTGAAAAAAAGAAAAGGGATTTGAGTCCAATGATAAGAACATCTCATTTATATCACATTTCATAATTTCATACACAAATTGCTGTATTTATTTTGATCTTTGCTACCATTAATGTGAGAGAGAAAGGTAAATATTACCAAACTCATCTTATACAATAGAAACCTAAAACTTAAAGAGATTAATTTATTCAAGGTAACTTCATAAGTGGGAGGCAGAGTTCAGTCTAGAATGGAGTAGCTTCTGGTTCCTAATATTTCCCCCTTTTTCTTAAACAATACTACCTATTTTACATTGGAATGCTTAACAGGTAAAGGTAAAACATCTTGCATAATCTAAAAAAGCATTTACTTAATTTAAAGATGTGGCTATTTTTTTTTTCTAAAAAAAATGCTTTGATGCTTAGACTATGTTAGAATATCTTCCTTGTAATTAGAATTTATGGTGAATTCCTTGATTGAGTATATGGGCCACATTTAGATAGTTTCACCAGAAAATGCCTCTCTTATTAGCCTGTTAATGTCATTGAACTTTCACTGTGAGAAAGTCATGCCTTGGGTCAACACTCTGCCTACTTTTAAAATTCAAGAATAACATCTTATGGTCCATTTTGCCATGAGATGATCACAGTATGGGCTTTTTCAGTTTAATAGCAAGAAAAAGTTTAAGTAATTGAAGGAATGAAGCATAAATCTAAAGCTTGGGGTCCTCCTGGAAGAAGGAAAACCTGGATTTGAGTTCTAAGCAGCCCTGGAACATAACGAGGGCACTGGACACCCTCCCTAGTTGTTTCTCATGAGAAAGCAAGAACCAGAGAGAAGAGAAAAGTGGGTACTGAGAAAAAGCTTTGCTTACTTCTCAATTTATTCTTGTAACCAGTTAGGGGCCTCTGGTAGGAAAACTTCACTGAAAGTTAATTTGTATAAACTAAAACTCTAAAATCCATCATCAAGTCTTCTTTTAATGCCAGAATAAATGGATTGTAGTAGAAAAGTGATCACATTTATGTTGGTTGATTTGCATGTGCTATCTATTTTTTCTAAACAAATATCTGGGCCAACTGCTGCTCAATTTCTGACACTAAAAAATATGAATTCATTTTTTAGTATGCATAAAACATTTACTTTTTAAGAAAATCTCTCTCTCTTTAATTGATTACTAGGTATAATGGACATAGTATCTTGTGCTTTTCTTTGCAACTGTGTACATTGGGAAATCACTAAATGAAATTGAGAAGTGTAGAGACAACAACAATTCTGTCAAGAAAAACCACAAAAGTTCCCATTTATGAATGCCTTTGAATAAAAAATGCCTCTTCTAAAAACATCAACTTACCTCACTGGCAATATCTCTTGAAGCCTTGGCTGCTTGGATTGGAATGGCATCCACACGCAAGTCATAGCCTTCCTTCCTGGACTCTTCCAAAGCAAGTTTATAGAGTTTCTGCAGAAAAGAGAGTCATTAAAGCACTCCTCCTTTCATAAAAAGGAAAACTGTTAATTGTTAAACTTTCTCCACCCTCATTTAAACTACAGGAACAAATCCACAAAGTGAAGTATTAGGGTGGGTTTGTACAAAATTTGGTTTTATAGGCACTTAAAGTTTTTAAGGCACATGCTAAACTTTGGAATTCTATTGATGGGCAAATTTCAAAAATTTGGGATTGCCAAAATTTTGTCTTGTCACACAAACACACGCTAAGAAACCTATTTACTATCACTATCATAAAACAAAAGAAAGGCCATTTTAATATTTAAAAAGGAGAAAAATAAGGAAAGTATTTTAAAACTAAATATATTTGGACACAGACAAAACTGAATGCCTTGTCCTTTTTCTTCCTCACTTTGATGTGGATTATCATTATAGACTGTGATCTATTTGTAGAGTTTCAGAATCATTGGCTGGATGAAAATGTTGTTTATGAATGAAACACCTGGAAAAATGCTTGCAAATAACATTAAATGGTAACCAGAACATTAATAAAACAGCAAAAACAATAATTAGAAATTGAGTTCTAAGCCAGTGTCTGCCTGATAAATAGTTGTTGAACTAAATAATGACTTGATACCCACATTGTCATATAGGATTGAGGAGTATAATTCCTATTGGAATATTCCTCTATAAGCATTCCATTCCCTATATTACTATAGGGCTGGCCTACTTTGTAGATCTAATATATAGTCCAAAATTGAATCAAGGGAGAACTATCTCTTACTGGCAATGTTAGTTTGGGGTATATATAATAAACTAGTCAAAAGAGCTCATTAAGAAGACAGTTACAATAGTTCATTTTTGCCTTTCTGTTCATTATAAAAGCAATAGTTTACTCACATCACTGTAGTTTATTCTGTTAAGCTTGGCTAGCATGATTTCTGGAGTGTCAGGCATGACATGGATTGTTTTCTTATCGTTGTCCCAGGCTTCAGTATATAAGCGCTATGGAAAAAAAAAAAGATGCGGAAAAATTATTTTGGAGTTCACAGATACTTCTTTGATTATGTGCCAGTCATCTCTCCTCTATATATATAAAGTAGAAACAAAATTACTAAAGTTACATACAGGCATATCTTTTATGTAGATAAATTAGTATTTCTAAGAGTATTTATCTCACTATTTTGTTCACTCAGTTTTTTGTTTCTTTAAAAAAAAGTTATGAAAGTATAATTGGATTGCAGCATTTAAAATCTCTAGTATTTGTAATCTGTAATTATAGCACATTGCATTTTTAACGTAAGTTTAATATAAGTAACTATGATATTACAATGGAAAAGTAATTTTTAAAAGTATCATAAACCCTATGGGAATTTTTAAAATGTAGTAATATGTCAGCATTTGTAACTTGTTCTAAGGGGAATTTTGGTATCTAACAGGGAGGAGTGAAGACTCACCTTATTCATGTTTATAGCATTGCTCTTTGCCAGCACCTGCTCCGGGGTGTCAGTGATGCTGGTAAATTTCAGGGTATCTGGACGCTGACGGTAGATATTATCACTCAGTATCTCTGTGGCCCTCTTGGCTTTAACAACTTCCAAGGAGCCAATTGGAACCCAGCCAATGCCTTTCATCCATTCAAGGTCTGCCTTATACAAATTCTGCAAATCAACAGATTAAAAACCCACTTTCATTAATTAATGTTTCAGATTCACAGACACAAAATGGCTCATACTAGAGAAAATAGGAACTACTGATGAACAGATAAGGCTCCCAGCACAGTCAATCACTCATTCACAAACATTAGTGAATCCAGAGTATATTTTTTTCCTAAGTATCTTTTTGTACAGAGGATTATACCAAGAACTAGGAAAGATTTTTTATATATAATAAAAGACACAGTCATGTTTCTGAGTGTATTACAATTTTTTTACACAAGATAGTATATTAGATTTTTTCCAAATTACTTCTTTTATTTTATTCTCAATAGGACATGCTAATTGTTAATAAAATTAGATTATTGTTTTCTTAAGAACCAAGTTTATTTTATATTTTATTGAATTTATTGGGGTGGCATTGGTTCACAAAACCATACAGGCTTCAAGTATACAACTCAACAAAACATCATTAAAAAGATAAGAATGCCTTAGCATTTTCCTGTCAGTAGATATAAAATATGAATGTTTTAAAAAATAATTTAATGTAATATACTTTTGTTTCCTAATTCTCCCCACACTACCCTCCATTGACATATACATACATTTCTGCCACTTCTGCAAAAAATAAAAAAAAAGTGTAGCTAAATATTTTTTGAGGATTAAGTTTTATCTAACTCAGACAAAGGGAGCCTAAATTACCAGGAAGAAATATATCTGTATAAAATTGATAATATATACTTTATTTCCTCTTTTACCTATAACGTTTGGGGAAGAAAAATTGTGGAATAATTTGTAGTGCTACCAATGGGAAACTGTTTTGGAGCATTCAGTTGTCTACTGTTTAAAAATATGCAAACATATTCCAGTCCCTTGGTACTAGTCAGAACCCACGGACATGCTTCAGATCTGCTTTTCACATGCACAACCAGCATCAGGAGTACTCACATCGCTCTGGAGGTCATAAGCTTTCCGAGCGTGGATGACGTCATTCTGGTCGGGCAGGCACGTCCACTCATGAAGGAGATGTTTATAGTCCACATCACTGACCAAGGTCTGACATTTCTTGGCCAAAACGATGCCCAGCATGTCCACAGGGCTGCTGTATCTGGTCTTGTACTTCTCAAATTCTTTCTTGTACTCACGGCTGCTCAGCACTTTGGCAATGTGTAGGGACCACATCATCTTGGGGTCGTCATGGATTGCTCGGGCACCAATGTGGTGACCCAGTTGCTTACGATAAGCTTCTTTGTATTTGTACTGAAAGAGAGAACCAGTAACAGAGGAGGGGGCTTGATGAGCTGTTTTCCCTGCTGTTCTTGCTGTGGGGATGCTTTTCTGTGGAACCCTTAAGACACTCGGTGTGTTTCACCATGTGATGCCACACATTGGGGCGTGCTGACTCCCAAGGAAGAGGTTGGTGTGCCTATTCTCATACTCCCACAGTACAACTCCCCAATGACTCCTTTACATCATGCTAAAAATTACTTGTTGGCAAAAAACTGATTAAATGTGAACATTGAAAAGCTGAGCTCAATTAGAGTGACAGTGTCTCAGAAGTCGGTCATGTGGGTGGGTACATCTGGGATGTGTTTACATGGTTCATTACTTTTATTTTCCTAAGGCATGCTGAGAAATTTACTTTGCACAAATAATCTGGAGGTGGGGGGTGTAGTTTAAAACCAGGCAATTTTTGTTGTTTGATGGATATAGAGTTTCAGTTTTGCAAGATGAAGAAGTGAGAACATACTTAACACTACTGAACTGTACACTGGATAATGGGGTTATGCGTTGCTTTATCATGCTAAAAAGTGAAAAACCTTAAAAAAATGGACAATGTTGTTACTCTTGGATCAATTTCTAGGTTGTCAATAAATCTGATATTTTTATTTTTGGGGTAAAGGAATATTGATTTTGTGGACCACCCAGCAGGAAAATTTATAGCTTTCTTTCTATTTTATGTCCTTCTTCAAGTCATAAGGAGAATTCAATTAAACTTACTTCTTTCCTGGGGTTTTTGCCTTGGGTGTATCCTGAGGAGAGCTCAATACATGTCCATCTAACTAATCAAAGCAGTAAGTGACAAGAATCAAAGGAACCACATTCCAAACCCAGGCTTTGTTCTGTGATGCTTGTGACCTTGGGCGGGTTACCTACTGTCTCAAAGCCTCCATGTATTTGCCTACAGAATAAAGGTGGCTAAGATGGATGATGACTGAAGAGACTTCTGGCCGTGTTCCTATACTGTGATGCCCATGTAGAGACTGGCCTGTTGGAAACAAAGGTAGGGACTTCATCAGCTCTTACATCACTGGCGATGTCCCTGGAGGCCTTGGCAGCTACAATAGAAATGGCGTCACTTCTCAAGTCATAGCCTTCTTTCTTGGCTTCTTCCATGGCCTGGCGATAGAGGCTCTGAGAAGAGAAGAAATACCTTTTAGATACAGCACTCTAAAAATGTGTTTTTGCCAAAGGAAGACTACCTTTGGATGCAGAACTGCACTAGTATATTCTGCTTTGAATATATTTTAAAAAGATATAAGCATGCCTCTTCTTTATAGATACATTGTAGTAGGCAAAAGTAATCAATATGGATAAAACAATGACTATGGCTAAGTCTTGAAAATGAGTACTTAAATTTTCCAGTGTGCTCAAATGGAAGAAAAGTCTGCTTTCCCACTCTCTTATTAAAAAATGAAGACACACACATACACACACACACACACACACACACAATCAAGATTTTTCCTGAATAAACCAGATAATTGTTCTTGGTCAAGAACAACTGGCAAGAAGCTGTTTCTACAACAGTATTTCTGGACTGCAAAGATATATGATGACAAATTTAGCCAGAGATAATGCATAAAAATGTATTTTACTGTTTCGAACAATTCCAAAATGGATAAGTCTAAGAATTCTCTGTCAGTTCTTGTAAATAAACAAATAAACTTCAAGTTATTTTGAGCATGTTAAAAATTTAATTTTCATGGTGACTTGAGTGTGAAGGAAAAAATTAAAGTTACTAAGCAAGTATTTTGTACCAGGCTCCACACTGGGTATATTATATATATGACCTTATTTAGTCATCACAGAAATTCTTCAAGATAGGCACTTTTATATTGTTTTACAGATGAGTAACTGAGGAAAAATTTACAGAACAAATTTGTAGCAAGTACTAATCTGATAAGAGTAATAAATATTTTTAATTAAAATTACAGTTTGTTTTAACCATTAATAGTTGTCTTTGAGAGTTTTCCCCCCTTTCTGGAGAAATTTTTGTATTTATCCATTTCTCTATCTATCTATCTATCTATCTATCTATCTATTTTTTAAATTCAGTAATACATATATTTAGGGTAAACTAATGGGCATAAAAATAAAATTATTTGAACCACATGAGAATTAAATCTATAATTCTGACCTTCTTACTACACCAGCAAAGATCAATGTGGTCAGATCAAGGAAATAAAGTAAATAGTCTTACCTCACTATAATTTATTTTATTTTGTCTTGCCAACATAATTTCAGGTGTATCAGGCATGATATGGATTTGGGTCTTGTCTTTGTCCCAGGCTTCTGTGTATAAGCGCTGTGAAAGATAAAAAGGTTAATGAGTTAGAAACATATGCTAGCTGTAAACAGGAGTTTGCAATTTAGAGATCATGACAAAGATGAAAGCCAGCATCCTCACTATCTGTGCTGTGCGCTTTAGTATACCATACTGTTCAGTCGCTTTAATATTACAAGATATACACTGAGTAGCCAGATTATTATGCTATCTGAACGCATAATAATCTGGCCACTCAGTGTGTGTGTGTGTGTGTGTGTGTGTGTGTGTGTGTGTGTGTATGTATATATACCTATTAGAGGCCCAGTGCATGAATTTGTGCATATGTGGGATATGTCCAGCCTGTCCAGGAGAAGGGGACATGGGTGATTGTCTAGCCTGCCTGCTGGTCAAAATTCTGATTAAAGGGACAATTTGCATATTAACATTTTATTATATAGGATATACACTGAGTAACCAGATTATTATGCACTCAGAGATCATAATAATCTGGCCATTCAGTGTATATTATCTAACACTAAATATAAATGTAGACTAAGATATGACCAGTAAACATGTGTGTTTCATTTCAAGATCACTTCCATTCCAATTAAATGAAAGCAAATATTTCCAAGCATATATGCACATCCATATGCACTGTGGCTATACAAACAAATCCTTCCTGTAGTTTTGTTGTTTGTTTGTTTATTAACTGCAAGTGTACCTGGATTAGCCATCTCCAGATTTCTTATTTTATAAATGTTTTGGAGATGTGCATTTGACTTGTTTGTTCTATATTTACCTAGACGAGAACCCGACAAGAAAGAGACCTTCATACAAAACCATGTACAACTCTCACAGACTTCAAACAGTTTGCGCACCAAACAGCTGTCCTGTTTTTAATTCTGGCTATTTCATAAGAGACCTCAAAGCAGACATTCCCACATATATTTTTGAAATCCTAATGTAATTGAATAGAGAACCCAACCAAATCACTATATATGGATGGCAATGGAATAAAACAAAGAAGATGAGTTAGTTATCAACATCTAAGAGCATAGAGCCCTGTTTTACTTTTCCCCAAACTGGGGGCTCACCTTGTTCATGGTGATGGCATTGTTCTTTGCCAGCACCTGCTCCAGGGAGTCAGTCACACTGGTGAATTTCTGCTTGTCTGGAGGCTGGCGGTAGAGGTTGTCACTCAGGATCTCTGCAGCTCTCTTGCACTTGACCACATCCAGAGACCCGATGGGGACCCAGCCAATGCCTCTCATCCACTGGAGATCTGACTTGTACATGTTCTGGTGAGATAAACACAAAGGGCAAGTATTACTCAAGCTGTTATGACACTTGATTTGGAAAACAAAAGAAAAAGACTGGAAACCTTGGATAGCCAGACTCCATGTCTATGTCTTTTAAAATCTAAAGGCCAATTGGATAGAGCTTCATGTATTATGGTCTCTTTAAAAGAAAAGGCACAATTAATGAGGGGTGAGAGGAAAAGCATTATTCTTTCTGAGATCTTTGTCTAATTCCTAGATCACTATCTATGTATTACTACAATTATTTTCAACCTTTTAAATCTCATGGCACACAAAAACTAATTACTAAAATCCTATGGCACATGAAAAAATGTTATATTTTTTGCTGATCCAAAAAAAGGTATTTTAAAAAAAATATATTTTATTGATTTTTTACAGAGAGGAAGGGAGAGAGATAGAGAGCTAGAAACATCGATGAGAGAGAAACATCGACTAGCTGCCTCTTGCACACCCCCTACCGGGGATGTGCCCGCAACCAACGTACATGCCTCTGACTGAAATCGAACCTGGGACCCTTCAGTCCGCAGACTGACATTCTACCACTGAGCCAAACCGGTTTCGGCCAAAAAAAGGTATTATTTTGACTCATTCACACCAGACGGCCATTGTTGTGTTGGCTGTTGTCAATTTTAATTCGACAATTGAAGGGGAAAAAGGTCACTTCTCCTAACTAGTCAGGTATCGCATGTTTTAAAAATTCTTGCAGCACGATAGTTGAATATCCACTGTATCACTATCTTGAGGTTGGTCACCATTGATATTGAATGGGTCTCAGTACTCACGTCGCTCTGGATTTCATAGGCCTGCCGAGCGTGGATGACGTCGTTCTGGTCGGGCAGGCACGTCCACTGGTGCAGGTAGTTCTTGTAGTCCACGTCGCTGACCAAGGTCTGGCACTTCTTGGCCAGCACCACCCCCAGCATGTCCACGGGGCTGCTGAACCTGGTCTTCGACTTCTCAAAGTCCTTCTTGTACTCCCTGTCGCTCTGGATCTTGGCCACATGCATGGACCACATCATCTTGGGGTCGTCCTTGATGTCCCGGGCTCCAATGTGGTGGCCCAGCTGCTTGCGGTAACCATCTTTGTATTTGTACTGAAATAAAAGCAGTGATTTTTAAAATAAAATAAATAGAAAGGGCTAAAGGTTTCATTATCTTAAAAGTTTATTATTCAGAGAAATGGAATCATCTGAATATCAACTTATCTCCTTATCCTAAACTCTGATTAGACTTCACAATACTCTAATGGGAAGCTATGCCTATAGTTTGCAGACATTAAGTCCCTAAAGCAAAAGAAGCAACACATTTAGGAAGAATCAGTCAGATTTATATACTGCCTTTTCTTCATCTTGGGCCAGGGAAACCAGAAATTTTACATATGATTTTGAGAACGCTACTCCTGAGTACACAGGTACCAATTCACCCTCCAAACCACCTGTTACCCCTCCCAAACCCGGCTCTGCTGACTTTTATTTGACTCCCTGAAATGGACTGGCTTGGGTTTTCTACCCAGTGTATCCGGCTCTGTCAGATGATAACTTTGGCTGAGATTTGTTGGGATTCCTCAATTAAGAAATCAGATTCTGTAACTACAAGAAAGCATATTGTGGGAAGTGCTGACTCTGGATATTTTCTCTCCACCTCAAATTGTTACTCACATCGCTGACGATGTCTCTGGAGGCCTTGGCTGCCACAATTGGGATGGCATCGCTTCGCAAGTCGTAGCCTTTCTTCTTTGCTTCTTCATTGGCGAGTTTATACAGAGTCTACAGAAAGAAAGTCAAGGTTAAAGCAAGAGGCTTGAGAGCAACCACTTGGAGATTTCAAGTGACAAACTGTATCATTTTAAAAAGGACAGGTTCTGGAAACAATTTAAAATTCTAGCAATATTGAAAGTAAACAAATCATATCTTACCAAAAAACTAAATAACGTTAGAAACAAATGAGATATATCAATGGATAATAACATTGACATATTAATATATTAATCTATTATAATGCATAAAAAATTAATATATAATATGTATATTTATATTATATATTATGCATAACAACAGAATAATATAATCTAGTAATATATTAATAGATCAATGGATAAAACATCAATCTATACATATTTTGAAATTAAAAAGAAATTACAGAGTATCTTTAATTTATTTGTTTATAATATATACTTATATAGTTTTACTTATTTCTTTATAACTTAACATTTTTTGATAATCATATAATATTTTATCATTTTTAGAGAAAAATGAGAAAAAAATTGAAGTACAGTTTAAAAGGTAGATAACTTGACCATCATCACAACTTTGATTCTAAATTTTAGCTTTATCATGTTCGTAACACATGCACCTATGACATTGCATTTTACTTAAAAAAACACACAGTAAAACACTGCTTTTCATGCCTGAGGCTTTCTTTCTATAAAAGGAGCTCAATTATTTTTATCTCTGGCCTTACTCCTTTCCCGGTGCCTTTACTCTCTGCCGCTGCAGAGCTGTGGTGATTTACTGATTTATTTGACTATAGGGCTGGGATAATTGGGTATGCCCAGCTCAGTCCTAAGCTGTTCCCTCTAGGAACAAGCTCAGTGCTCTTCTCCATATCCCTGGGCTCTAAGCGGGACCTCACCCTGAGTGGGATGGAGCTGATTGTTTTGCTACAGGGTGGCCTGAGCCTGGATGAGGAACCCAGTTCCTCAGTTCAGTGAGCAGACTGCCTCTCCTACAAATGTGTCCTTGAGTCTAACTTTAGTAGTAACAAAGGTGAGATTTTAGTTTCTTAAAGATTTTGTACTCTTTAGTTTTCCTTCTCAATTTTACTGAGGATCCAGGTGGGGAAGAGGTGCATATTAGCAGAGCCTCCTTAACACACTGCCAGATTTAGCAAATAAAAAGATAGTATGACCAGTTGAACTTGAATTTCAGATAAGCAGTAAATACTTTAGAATAAATATTGAGCCAGTGTTTTATCTGGCTATCCTACCTCTAGCAATGCCAAACATACTACTCAGTCCCACTACCTCACACTAGCATTGGCCATACGCTGAAAAGGCAATGTGACTTTAGTTTGCCTGTGGTGTCCTATAGCAACCCAGATCTCAACGGTCGGATGGGCTGACTATTCATATCACAGAGCTGCATGAACCATGATAGCCGAGCACCTCCATAAAAGTAATGAAGCAACAAAGTAAGTGTCGAACCACAGTACTTTGCTCCTACCTCACTGTAGTTGAGTTGGTTCTGCTTTGCCAACAGGATCTCCGGGGTGTCCGGCATTACATGAATTTGAGTCTTGTCTTTGTCCCAGGCCTCTGTATATAAACGCTATCAAAGAAGATATTGATGGAAAACAATTTAAAACAAGAATCACAAATTGTCAACTTGCAACAAGATTACTATCGATCTAATTAAGAAAAATAAACTGGACTGGAATATAAGATATTCAATTGGAGGTTTGAGTCTTAATGCTGATTATCAAGTTGTAAAATGAGAATAGCAGAAATCATTTAAAGGCTTTTCAGTATGCAATTTAGGAGGTAAATGTGACTGCACACTTTCATGGATAATACAACCCCACTAGTGATTAAAGTATAATAGCATCTTTTGCATCCTGAAGAAGGTTGGCACCTGGGGCTCACCTTGTTCATAGTGATGGCGTTGTTCTTTGCCAGCACCTGCTCCAGGGAGTCAGTCACGCTGGTGAATTTCTGCTTGTCTGGAGGCTGGCGGTAGAGGTTGTCACTCAGGATCTCTGCGGCTCTCTTGCACTTAACCACATCCAGAGACCCGATGGGGACCCAGCCAATGCCTCTCATCCACTGGAGATCTGACTTGTACATGTTCTGGGAAGATAAAAAAAAGCAGAAATTCTTCACTAAGACCAAAAGATTTAGGGAAAAGATGAAAATGGATTCAGTGATAAAGTGCCATTCTGGTTGTTATTGTTTTTCACAGAAAACAAGCTCACTGTATTAGGCAGACAAAAAGAGGAACTATGTTAAAAATGACCCCCAAAACTGTTGCCTATCCATAAAAAAAAGTGGTCAAATATTTCAGCTTGGTAGGAGAGAAGTGAATCCAAACTATTATCTTCTGTAAGTCAATTTGGTGAATGCTATTGCAATGTTGCAATGTCCATGTACACAGGAAAAGAGTGCCAACCAGAGTAAATAAATGTTAGTCCTCACCAAATCAAATGGTCTGCACCTACTAAAAGCCATACTGTAAGAATATTGATGACTTGTTGAAATGTCAGTAATGCAATATTAAGTAAAATAATAGCATGTAAATTATGTAGATATATTGTCTGGATAAATTATAAAAGCGGGTGTGGACTTTTTCAGTGGTTGGATTATGCTGGATTATTATTGCCTTCTGTGGATTTTTTCTTATATTTCAAAATATCTGTAATGCTCTTTTTTTTTTTTAAGAGAGAAGTTAAAGTATGATGATGATTTAGAATCCCTGAAGGCCATGGCAGAAATTGGACAGTTGTCACGGTGTCCAAGATTCAGGGCAATAAGGGACCATTTGATTGGTCCAGGGCCCAGTCTATTCCCTACCAAGTTCTCAGGAAGGGAAACATTAACTTCTTTCCAGAATCATCTTTTCATATTTTTATTTCTCACTTTACTTTAAATCATTTTTTTCCCTGCTAAAGATTTTTATAAAGAGCAATGAACTCTTTACAGAGAACAGACTGATGGTTGCCACGGGGGCGGAAGGGCTGGGGACTGGGTGAAGAGATTAAGAAGTACAGATTGGTAGCTACAAAATAGTCACAGGGATATAAACTACAACAGAGGGAATATACTCAGTAATATTGTAATAACTATGTATGGTGCCAGGTGGGTACTGGAAATTTCGGGGAAAGACTGTAAAGTATATGATTGCTTAATCACTAGGTTGTACACCAGAAACCAATACAAAATAATATTCATGTAAACTGCAATTGAAAAAAATAAATAAAAAATAAAAATATTTATTTTAAAAATTGTGTGTACCTATTACATATTTACAACTATATCACAACAGAAGGATTGGATCTTTGCCCGACTCATTAGAAGGATTTTACCTGTAACAACAATAAAGTAGAAAAAAAGACTGATCCTTTACAGTCTAGACAAGAAGCCTATTGGAATTGTCCTGTGCTGACTAGTTGTCCCCTAAATAACAGCAGGAGGAATGAAAACAATAATATGTATACCTTGGAGGGGCTTTTAATGTTCAAATGCTTCCACATTATTAAGACGGTGTCACAGTGTGAGGGAGGCGATCATGAAAAGAGGTTCAACAGACTGGAAGAATGCAAGCTGTCTGTCACTGCTGTCACTCCATGGAAGGCATGAGCCATTCTAACTGCCTTCCTTTTTGGAAAGAATTTCAAAACACAAGGTTCTGTATGTCGAAAACTACCCAACAGATGTGAGTTTTCACAGGTGGGCTATCCCGTTTCTAAGGACAGCCCATTAATGTATAATTATTATCAATTAGTTTTATTCTCCATAGTCTTCTAATATTTGATGATTCCTTCAAATGTTTATAAAATAGGTGCTGCAGGAAATGTGCTCCTCACACTTTGCTTGAGATGGTGTACCTGCTTCTCTTAGGGCCAGCTTCTGTCACTGCCATGTGACCCTCCACAAAGAGCCAGGCCAGGAGGAGAAAGGGTCACTGAAATGATCCCATAGCTTGCAGGCTCAGTGATTTTTTTTTTATTTTAATTTCATAAGAATAACATTTAGTGGCGTAGCAGGCATGAGGATTCCATCAATTACAATGCCATTTGCTTTGTAAGGAGAGCTAAAAACCAATTTCAGGGTAATTAAAAGAAAAAGAAAAAGAATGTGTTGTTGCCCCCTTAAAAGAATAAAAGAAAATGTCTCCCTCTGGTGGACCCTGAGTTCTAACATTGCTTAATTCCGGTTTTACTTTTCTAAGATCAAATCCAGTTTATAAACTCACCTCCTTATAAATCCTATTAACGTATTCACAATAAAGCCATAAAACTATAGACTGATTCAGATATCAAATATCACTTAAAAAAAATCCTAGTTTGATAGGCCATCGATTGTATACAAAGAATAATTTTTGTATAGTTGGTTTCTGCACACAACTCTGTTACAGATGGTGTACTCACGTCGCTCTGGATTTCATAGGCCTGCCGAGCGTGGATGACGTCGTTCTGGTCGGGCAGGCACGTCCACTGGTGCAGGTAGTTCTTGTAGTCCACGTCGCTGACCAAGGTCTGGCACTTCTTGGCCAGCACCACCCCCAGCATGTCCACGGGGCTGCTGAACCTGGTCTTCGACTTCTCAAAGTCCTTCTTGTACTCCCTGTCGCTCTGGATCTTGGCCACGTGCATGGACCACATCATCTTGGGGTCGTCCTTGATGTCCCGGGCTCCAATGTGGTGGCCCAGCTGCTTGCGGTAACCATCTTTGTATTTGTACTGAGATGAAAATGGACAAATCAGGTTTTTATGGTAAACCCTTAGAGGCCCCAAGACTATGCATAATCATCTTGCTTACATTTTAGTTGTAAGTTGATTTTTGCTAGTAAACACTAACTCAAGCTAGGATCCTGACCATTACCCTAGAAGTTTACAAAAGCAGTTCAATAGATGTAATCAGTATAATTGCAGTGCATGCCCTAAATCCGTGGTAGCATACTGTGGCTCTCGAGCCACATGCATCTCTTTGGCCCCTTGAATGTGCCTTTTCCACAAAATACCACGGCCTGGGTGAGTCTATTTTGAAAAAGTGGCATTAGAAGAAGTTTAAGTTTAAAAAATTTGGCTCTCAAAAGAAATGTCAGTTGTTGTACTGTTGATATTTGGCTCTGTTGACTAATGAGTTTGCCGACTACTGCCCTAAATCACGTATAGCCTGGTAATAAGAAATAGTTCTGGAGGCAATATGTGCACACAGTAGAGAGAGGTTACCTGTGAAAGTGGGGGAAGGGCCACTTGGACCTTGGAGAAATGGATCTTATGCGCTAGCAGCGTGTCAGGAAAGAGATGCCCTTGGTGACATGATGTGTTTACTGAGCAATGACATGACTGTCTGGTTCCTGCAAGGGTAGTACTCTAGGTCAAGGGCTATCTGCAGCAGCAACTAGGAGAATTTATTATTTTATAATGGATCCATGCATTCTTTGGTGATGGCAAATGTATGGCATCACCTTGAAAACTGGTTATTCTAGTAAAGTTGTAGCAGGCCAGCTGGGTAGAGTGTGCTCCTAACATGGGCCAAACATGTTTTTATTAGTCTATGTTCAATGGTTTTATCTTGAAATCTGAGCCAATTATCTAAAATATATGCTTCTAGCCTTAAATAAAGCTGAGAAAGTAGAGATGAGTCAGCAGGAGGCAATATGGTACAGTGAAAAGAAATGAGGTTGTCTGGAGTTTCAACTCCGTCATCCATGAAGAGTTTAACTTTAGACAAGTTGCTTAAGCAATCCACAAAATGGGGATAATGACAATAGGGTTTATAGTCCTAAGGCAATTATGAACAGTAAGTAAAATAATAAAAGAAAAGCTCTTAGCAGAGTTATCAATACTTTGGGTTATTATTTATTATTATTTATTTATTATTATTTATTATTTCATTATTTATTATTATTGGCATAAATCCATTTGTAGGGGAAGTCCAAGATACACCAACTAAAGTGAGTCATTCACATGGCTTTCCAATAGAAAGGACCATATTCCTGAATTTGGGCCTGTATTTTAGAGCAGTGTCCTGTTCCTCAAGAATTTCCTTAGGCACCAGGAAAGGATGCTGACTTTATTCTGTGAGGTGTGAGCTACAGAGCCAGGTGCTGGTTCTGATCAACTGCCTTCTTTTTATAATCCTGTGAGAGTGAGTTGTAAGGCAAGCATCACATGCAGTTTAAAAATATTGTATGTTAAAATGTTACATAAAGCCAAACCCAATTCTCATGGAGAGAACTTAACGTTTTTGACTTACATTTCGTATAAGCACTGTGATAATTTTTACATAAGAATTTCCAAGCCTGCAGCTACACTCTGACCATTTCACATGGATGCACCCATCCCTCTTCTTTGTGGACCAGAGTTAACTATGTCCTAAAGGTTACAAACTCCTCTTATGAAGATCACATTTTTCATTTGCCTCAAAATTAGGTGTGTTTTTTTTTTTTTTTTTAAATCCCCACACAAACTCATCAGGGTGTATTTTCAAAGGGCTAGAAATGTTCTTTGTAAAGTTTTAGTTCAGTGAAAATGTCACTTCTAATGGGTCAGATACTTGGGTGAAACAGACAACTCACATCGCTGGCAATGTCCCTGGAGGCCTTGGCTGCCACGATCGGGATGGCGTCAACTCGCAAGTCATAGCCTTTCTTCTTTGCCTCTTCATTGGCGAGTTTATACAGACTCTAAATTTAGGAAAAAAAATTAATAAATAAATTTTAAAAAATCAGTTGGATGTTGACACTCATATCAAAGAACTGATGGGGGAATTGAAATAATTCACTATGTTTTACCCAGGTAGGTGCCTATAATAACCTTGCTTTTGAGAGATCTAAGCCTTCTGCATTTTTAGCTTTTGGTAACAATGAAGAACTAGTTATATAAGCACTAAAATTATAGGTTGCACACCCCCAGAATAAAATGACTTAAGATGGCAGCTAACCTATCTAAATTCTTTAAATTATATTTTGCAGAAGAGTAATATACTGCTGATTTACACTGTCAAAGAAACACCATTTTCTTTGCTGGCAGTACAAAGCTCAGAGAAATAACTAATATAGTCTCAGAAAGAATCTTAGAGCCACAAACACCTCCACAGGCTTAAACAAAGAGGCTCAATATAAGAAGAGATTGCAGAGAGATAAATGTCGATCTTTGAACTGAGATTTAAATTGCCAACTGTGTACATGCAGGATAGGGGAAACTCAGCCTAAGCCCATGTAAGATGTCTTAAGGTTTCAGCTGATCCCAAATTCTCTATGCACGGCAGGGACAACTGCTGCCAGCGTGCCCTGAGACACATGGTGCAGAGATGGAGGTCAAATGTCTAAAAAAAAAAAAAAAAAAAAAAATAGGACATCAACTGTAGTCTACACTGATCATCCCTCACTTGCAGAATTTTGTTTGTTCTGAGAGTCATGTTCTAACAGAGATGTCATGGGAGCAACGTCCAGGCACTTGGGATGTTTGGATTAGACGAGAACCTGGGGTGAGGTGGCAGGGGAAGTACCATGTTGCTATCGGCCTCTCCATGGAGTTGGCACAGATTGGTTCTGCATAGCCTCACAGGACTATATGTGTCTGCAGAGAGAAATCTTTGAGTCAATACATCAGAAGCACCTTCTAAGGGAATTTTCCAGAACAAATGGGTTGACTTATGAGATAAACTTCTTTTCACTGAGAACAGTTAAGCAAAACAGGATGACAACCTATCGGGCGGGGACTCCTGTACTAGGAGAGGCTGACCTCTCAGCCTAAGCATAGGTGCTTCTGTGATTACATGCCCTGTGCTCACAGAAGGTGAAAAGAAAATGGGCTTGCTAACATGTACACTGCCAGGTCCTCTCTGCCTCTGTTTCTCTCTTTCTCTGTGTTATTTGGTACTACTACTGTTATATTTGTTCTTGACTAAAAAATCTTAAATTTTGATCCTAAACTATAATTTAGGAAAAAATATATTACATAGGGAAATATGTTTAGCACGGCTATTCAGCACAAGGATAAAATAAGTGTATATTTGGTCTATTGCTAAATTCATAACTTAAAAAAAATTAATAATAAGAAAAGGTCTAATTTAATCTTACAGTTATTGCTGAAATCATTAGTTCTTATAATTTGTACTTCCTAAAATGTAATCTGTGTTAGGATGTTTGATGTTTAGGATGGTGACTGAGAAATGCAAGAGTTGCTCTTCACATGGATCAAAAAGAGATCCTTTATAAAGTTGTCCTTTAGTATCACATCCCCGAGGAATAGATGAAGCAAGAAACAGCATGCAAATGTTATGGAATTAGCATCTGCTCCCACCTCACTGTAGTTGATTTTGTTCATTCTTGCCAAAGTAATTTCTGGGGTGTCCGGCATGATGTGGATCTGGGTCTTGTCTTTGTCCCAGGCTTCTGTGTATAAACGCTATCAGAGAAAATACTTAATGTCATCAAGAGGAAAACTCAGTATATAATTAGTAGGAATTTCAGGACCATAAAAACTTTATAAACAAATTAAACAAAAGGCTATGCATTTTTTATATTATGTATTTTATATATATATATTTCTCAAGTGAAGTAATCAGCTCAAAGTAAAATAGATATTTCTAATAATATGAAATACAATTTAACAAAAAGAAATTGAGAGTATCTTTTATGCAAAGATGACTTCCATAAAGCTATGCCATTTTATAAAAAACCATAACACAATTACTAAAGTAAGTGTTAGAAATAACATATCAGATTGATATTTTAGGTAGATATTTTTTGTTGCTCAATGCTCTCTTTCTTTCTTTCCTTGACTATGCTTCTTTTTCTTTAATCCAGCTCTAGAAGTCCTACCTTGATTCCCTGAATTTTGAAGCCTCACCTTGTTCATGGTGATGGCGTTGTTCTTGGCCAACACTTGTTCCAGAGAATCAGTCACACTGGTAAATCTAAACTGGTCTGGATGCTGGCGATAGATTTTATCACTCAAAATTTCAGTTGCCCTTTTGCACTTTTCCACATCCAAAGAGCCAATGGGAACCCAGCCGATGCCTCTCATCCACTGAAGATCTGACTTGTACATATTCTGTGGACATAAATAGTCAATAAATGTTTATCTTCATTGGGAAAAAGTTTTCATCTAAAGCATATGAAAAAAAGTAAGAGCATTCTTGAAAACATAGTAGACAATATTTCTTTTTGGTCTGGAGGGTTAAACAATTAACACAAGAGAAAAGAGATGCTATTCCCCCCTTTACAGGGCTAGTGAATTTGGTGCCACCTATTGCTACCTTCTCTAAGGAGTATGAGTTCAGTGATTTCCCAGCTTCACATGTCTTTATGATGCTCAGGTACTCACGTCGCTCTGGATTTCATAGGCCTGCCGAGCGTGGATGACGTCGTTCTGGTCGGGCAGGCACGTCCACTGGTGCAGGTAGTTCTTGTAGTCCACGTCGCTGACCAAGGTCTGGCACTTCTTGGCCAGCACCACCCCCAGCATGTCCACGGGGCTGCTGTACTTGGTCTTCCACTTTTCAAAGTCCTTCTTGTACTCCCTGTCGCTCTGGATCTTGGCCACATGCATGGACCACATCATCTTGGGGTCGTCCTTGATGTTCCGGGCTCCAATGTGGTGGCCGAGCTGCTTACGATAGCCTTCTTTGTACTTGAACTAGAAGAAGAAAAAAATGCTGATAGTCACCTACTTTAACTTAAGGAAAAACAATTACTAAGGCCACATTTTTCTGTTCTTTAAAAGATAATGATTTGACCTAACTACATAAATATGCATCTTGTAAACCATTTGGAAAATAAAGAATATATATATATTATATAAAAATAAAATAAAAATGAAGACATTATTCTGCCATTCTGTGATAATCACTGAAAAATACTGCTTTTTGTGGTGTGTGTGTGTGTGTGTGTGTGTGTGTGTGTGAGAGAGAGAGAGAGAGAGAGAGAGAATAAGATTAAAATAGGAACCATACTATACGTACATGGATTTGTGCTTGCTTTTTCAATTATCATATAAGGATTTCTCTTCGTCATTAAATATTCTCTATAAATATGAATTTTAATGGTAATAGACATTATACTGGTACATATTAATACTTTTAACCCGTCTGTGATTGTTGAACACTTATATTGAGTTCTGATAGTTACTTCTCATGTTTGGAAATAAATAAAAAATATTTTGAGCAAAGTTATGTTTTAAAGAAAATAAATATCTATAGTCAACCACTAGATGCAGAGCCAAACATATGGTCCATATGAATGGCTGGACTTTGAATAAAATAATGTGTCCCATTTATTCAGCCCTTATATGTTCACTGGTTCATAGGGCATGGGTTAGGTGTTGAAGGAATCCTACAGTAAGTGTGGTTATATATAAGAATACATCATGTGGAAAAGCCAAAAAGATGTCTGAACTATAGTCAAATACCCAGTGCTTTTATTCATCAGGAAACACAATATTTTGAAATGCATGTTTCCATGAACTCAGACATAATGAGGAATTAGCCTTTGTGTCAAGAATTTCATTACCATTATTTTAAACTATTTACTGAGAAAAAGACTGTTAGCAAGAACGTTAACCTCATAGATTAACTGCTCTACCATGTATTCAGGGGGAAAAAAACCTTTCAGCAAAGCTAAGGCGGAGAACTTTCCAGGTGCACTTACTTCACTTGCAATGTCTCTGGAGGCCTTGGCTGCCCTGATGGGAATAGCATCTAGCCGCATATCATAGCCTTTCTTCTTGGCTTCTTCTAGGCCAAGTTTATATAGTTTCTGAAATAGAAATAAATAATCATAAGTTTGACTTATAAAGTGCAGTGCAAGGAAAATGTATCATGCACATAATTATATTGCTTACCTCACTGTAATTTATTTTGTTCTGCTTAGCTAGTAAAACTTCAGGGGTGTCTGGCATAATGTGGATACTGGTTTTATCTTTATCCCAAGCTTCGGTATAGAGGCGCTAAAACAAACAAAAAAAGACAAGACTATTGCAAACCAGTAATGAATAGATACATACAACTAATCTGGTTCACCAGAGAACAGAGAATCTGCTATGTGAGCTGATATTTGTGACACCTTCAGGCCCAGATGTCTCATGTCAGCAAAAGCATAACACTCACTTAAAAAACACACTGTAATACAAAGCAAATAATTGAATATATTTCTTTTATATCGATAGAAACAGATTTCAGTGTTTACATTCACATACGCACACACGCACACACACACGCACACACACACACACACAATTAATACTCCTCCCAAGGAAAAAAAAACTTACATGGTTCATAGTAATAGCATTGTTTTTTGCCAAAACCATCGGCATGGAGTCCATCAGGCTGGTAAACTTGAATTTATCTGGGTGTTGACGGTAAACATGCTCACTCAAAATCTGCATAGCTCTCTTGTTCTTCTCATCCTCAAGAGAACCACTAGGTAACCAGCCAATGCCTTTTAGCCACTGAAGGTCGGCTTTGTACAAATTCTGAAATTATAAGTGACAAATCACTAAACATAATAATATGCCCCTAAAAGTATAGTATAGTATAGTATAGTATAGTATAGTATAGTATAGTATAGTATAGTATACATTTCAATGCTTGTATTCATGGTAAATTAAAATTTTTTGGTACGTCTTGTGAGTCAACAAGATATTCAAATTTGTAGCAATATTTTGAAAACCATTTTAAACAGCAGCATATATAGAAAGATCCAATTCTTCTGGGTCAACAATGTAGAGGCTTCTACCAAAACAATTGAGACTTTGATGGCTCTTTCTTTGATAAGAAAGATAATATTTGGGTGCCTGGATAGAGTGTAGGCATTAGTCCAGGGAAGTTGTATAAACTCAACTCCCTTCACTTTGGGGGAACTTGATACTTAGGAAAGCATATGTGGTGTTTTGTTAGCGAAGCAAAATCTTAGACTCACATCACTCTGGATATCATAGGCCTGCCGAGCGTGGATGACGTCGTTCTGGTCGGGCAGGCACGTCCACTGGTGCAGGTAGTTCTTGTAGTCCACGTCGCTGACCAAGGTCTGGCACTTCTTGGCCAGCACCACCCCCAGCATGTCCACGGGGCTGCTGAACCTGGTCTTCGACTTCTCAAAGTCCTTCTTGTACTCCCTGTCGCTCTGGATCTTGGCCACATGCATGGACCACATCATCTTGGGGTCGTCCTTGATGTCCCGGGCTCCAATGTGGTGGCCCAGCTGCTTGCGAAAGCCTTCCTTGTACTTGTACTAAAGGGGAAAAAATGTGTCATCTTTTTAGAGATTAACTTATATTGCCACCTTTGTGGCAAATTACAAAGCACATTAACTCCAAATATTTCACTAAGCCTAAAGAGCCACAGATGCACGTTCTTTTGATAGGAAAGATTAAAGGCTAAATCCAGTTCAAACTTCATGCATAATAAATAAATCCTTGAGCTATCTTCATCCCACACTGCATCTCGAGTCATTTCACTCTGTTTTAATTGGTTACTCGTTGAAAGATTTTGTTCAATTTAAATTGAAGTTGAGACTGCTTCGAAATGGCACACTGCAATCAAATCAATATAATTGGGATAAAGTCTTACTTCACTGGCAATTTCTCGGGATGCTTTTGCTGCTTTGACTGATATGGCATCAAGGGGCAGATCGTAGCCTTTTTTCTTCAGCTCCTCATAACCCATTCGGTAGAGTTTCTGTCAAAAGATAAAGGTCACTTTAGTAAATGAACAACCGAAGCCTAATGAATCCAAGGTGCTAAATCTTTGAAGAGTTCATGGAAATAGTATCTGTGCTCTAGGATACTCAAATGCAATGGGAAATTATGCCCATGAATTGCTAATGATGCTGTTTTAAACTTCAAAGCTCTTCAATTACCTAGATCAACAAAATCAAATGTCAGCTACTTTCAAATGCTTATGAGAATGATGCAGAAGTAAATTGATAGAGAAATGAAATTAAATACCACTTAGGTGCTGTTTTCCAATTAACTTAAAGTGTTTCATTAGAAGTTTTTGTTAGAAAAGAGCAATATATGAGAAAGTCACTTAATGCCTTTTCATCTAACACCTCTAGTGGGGCAAAAATCATGCCTAGTGAGTTGTCTCTTCTGTATAGCTACAGCACTGGAATATACTAGTAGCATCTATTTCACAGTATAAGATCATCCATCATAGGATTACATCTGTAGGTATAAAATGAAGTCCTTCATAATTTTTTAATGTAAGAGCTTTTGAGGGAACTTTAAATATTGAATTTGAAAAGCTTATGTGAAATGATGTGTTTCTTCAATTCTCTTACATAATTGAGAATGCCATTTAATGCACTTTATCCAGATTGTTTAAAATGCCTATTGATCTTGGATTTGTGTTTATGTATATACTAGAGGCCTCATGCATGGACTTGTGCACTGGTGGGTCCCTCGTCCTGGCCTGCGTTGATCGGGCTGAAATGTGCTCTCCAACATCCCCCAAGGGGTCCCGGATTACGAGAGGGTACAGGCCAGGCCGAGGGACCCCACTGATGCACGAATCTGTGCACTGGGCCTCTAGTATGCATATAAGATCTTTGGTTAATCTCTTCCTGTCCTTCCCTCCCCACTTCCCTCTGAGGTTCATCATTCTGTTCCATGATTCCATGCCTGTGGTTTCTGCTTCTGCACTGAGCATCTGCTCTCTGGCCAGTGTGCATCAGAGCTATTGCCTGTCAGCCGGTCACTTAGGCTTTTATGTATAAAGATATTTTTCTTTTTGAGGCATTTATTTAATACTGTACATTGCTTCATATTAAAGTCTTTCTATTAGACTTTAGAATTTGTCTTTAACATATTTAATTTTTATGTCTAAAAAATTCAGAAAGTTATGCCATGTTGACAATAAAAATAAAAATGAAATTGTCCTGCATGAGTTTTTTTATGCTCATTCATTTGAAATTTCATTGAATTTTGTGTGTGTCAGGCAATATACTAGTGAAGCACTGCAGATCCAATAGTAATTGTCTCTGCCCCCAAGGAGCTCCTATTGATGTGGGGAGAGTGATATAACCCATTATATTATGTAATGATGGACTACAAAGAACAGACGGCACACATTCCCACTCTGCCTGGGATAGGGAGTACCAATTAAGTTGATATTCAAGCTAAAAGCCACTAAATGAGGAATCTAAGTTACATGTAGTTCATTAATGAAAATAATTCAGACATTCTAAATAACTTCCAAGTAAATTTACTGCCTTAGAACCAATTAAAATGAACTTTCTGAAAACACATGCTGAATTGGAAACTCACATCACTTGTGTTGATTAAGTTTGCTTTAGCCAGAATAATGTCAGGTGTATCCGGCATGATGTGGACTTGAGTCTTGTCCTTGTCCCAAGCTTCTCTATAAAGTCTCTAAAAGGAGAAATAAGAGCTTTTCAGTGGTGTTGTTAGATTAGTGAATGACATAGTTAACTTCAAACAGGATTACTGAATTCATCTGAATTAAACCTTATGACTGATAGCATAAGCAGATAGCATACGCAGAAAACAGCTCCAGTATTTCTTGATTTATCTGGGACATAATTGCCTTTCAAAAGAGAGATTATGGATTACCTTTTTGAAGTTACAGATAATCCTGCCTATAAGAAGTCAACCCAAGTAATGGGAGCCTTTGCTAAGATCATCAAATGGAGCAGCAATTCCCCACCTGTCAGACTGTAAAAGTTTCCCTTAGTGTTTCATTGGGAGACTGGCCTTGCTTTCTCAAAAGATGACATAGTCCCAGTGTGTCTAGAAATTATGAGTGGTTTATTATTTACTAGAGGCCTGGTGCATAAAATTCGTGCATGGGAGGGGAGTTGGGGGGTCCCTCAGCCTGGCCTGCACCCTCTCCAATCCAGGACCCCTCAAGGGATGTCTGACTGCTGGTTTAGCCCCAATCCTGCCGTCGAACATCCCTCTAGCAATCCGGGACCACGGATCCTAACTGCTCACCTGCCTGCCTGCCTGATCACCCCTAACCACTTTGTCTGCCTGCCTGATGCCCCTAACTGCTCCCCTATCTGCCTGATCGCCCCTAACTGCTCTCGCTTGCCTGTCTAATCACCCTCTAACTGCTCCCCTGCCAACCTGATTGCCCCCCAACTGCTCCCCTGCCGGCCTAATCGCCCCTTACCTCCTCTGCCTTGGACTCTGCCACTGTGGCTTTGTCTGGAAGATGTCTGGTCTAATTAGCATATTACCATTTTATTAGTATAGTCATACCCCATAATTATTTGGGGGGGGGGGGCAGGATTCCCAAAAACATTTTATATGAGAACTTATAAAAAAACTTTTTACATCCCAGAGATGTAAAAAGATGTAAAAAGAAAGACATCTCTATGTCTTTCTTCAGAGAAGATAAAGGGATCCAAACAAAAATCTTACTGATAAACTAAAACTAAGACGTTAACATTGTCAGAGAATCTTTCTACATACTCATAAATTACAAAGTATAAAACAGTAATAACAGTGAAGAAACTTGGAGATGCCATTTTAAACAAGTGATCAAAGTTTAAATATCAGTAAAGGGACAAATTGATGCCATGTATCTCCTAATATAATGTATAGAAGAGGATACAACAAGTGTTATCCTATAAAAATACAAAACTTGGATCTAATCTAAACCCAAATTAAGGGTGATTCTATAAAATAACTGGTTTGTGCTCTTAGATATCAAGGACTTGCAAAAAAAAATACTAGTGAGGAACAAGTCCACCTTCAAGAAGACTAAAGACATGACAAGTGAATTCAATATGTGGATATTGGATCAGAAAATTTTAAAAATTTTGTCTAATGAACATTAGTGGTAAGATTGAATAAATTCTGTGGACTAGTTTTAAAATTAATTTCCTGATTTGGATCATTGCACTGTGGTTATGTTCTTTTGAATGTTCTTTTTTTCAGGAAATACACAATGAAGTATTTAGTTATATAGTGGCATGGCATGGTGAAGTTTTGAAAGAAAGAGGAAAGTTAGAAAGCAAAAAAAAAAAAGCATTTGTAAAATTATTTATATTATTTTTGCAACTTTTATGTATGCCTGAAATTATTTCAATATAAAAAATTTGAAAGTATCATTGATTCCTTGAACACAGGAATTTCCCTTTGAGGCACGCAGAATGGAGTGTGTGGGGTTGGCATTTTTCTCCTTCCTGAGCATGCTTACTCCAGTCCATATAACCCAGAGAAGCTAATTAAGACCTTCAGGGCAAAAACCAAGCAAGCCTGTGAATTCCCATATGCAATTTTCCTGGTTCTGTGCTAACCTTTCTGATTAAAATCAGAGTTTCTCAACCTGCACTATGAGTGCTGTGTCCTGGGAGATTCTTTGTAGGGGTGTGTCCGAGAAGGGGCTGTCCTATACATTCTGAGATGTTTGCAGCATATCTGTCTTCTATCCACTAGATGCCAGCAGCATGCCACCCTCAAATTGTCACAACCAAAAATGTCTTTAGGTGCTGCCAAATGCCCCTGTGTGACAAAACTGCCCCTGGTTGAGAACCTTTAAGTTGGGCAGGATGTTTAATGGCATGTGTCACTTTTACTCCATGGAAAACTGAGAAAATGCTAATATATCTTTATTCTGAGGTAGAGGTATTGGTCCATTTAAAAGGAGAGACAGCAGGGCCCCTCTCCTGAGACCTGAGGGGAGTAATATCTCAGCATTTCTGTGACCGGGGCACACTGTTGACATGTATGCCCTGAGGCATAGATGTTGATAAATTCCATGACCCAGAGTTTTTCTCTTGGCCACCTTATTAGCTCAGAGCTTTGTAAACAGGAGAAAAAAGAAACTTGCTATTTTCCATAACTTTGTTGCTTTATGAGCCAGATAGTTCGATTAAAATTTCTATCATAAAAAAGCATGAACATTCACAATAAAGCTGACATGTCAGCATTTACTATAAATTTTGGATACCAAAATTGCAAGAGATCTGTGAGAGGTAGAATAGGAAGCAGGGAGCTACACTTTATCAAATGTTTTCTATAAGCTGATTATGAGCTTATATATATTATTTGAAAACTAAGATGTCTGACATGTAAAATATATGACATATTATATATATTTAGATTCTTCTATGACCCAAATGGTTATTATTATGTATTAATTTAAGATTTCTTACCAGTTCCAGAATCTCAGTGCACGTAATTCAACTGATCATAATTTTCAGGGTTATATTTTATTTTATTTTATTTATTATTTTTTTAATATATTTTATTGATTTTTTACAGAGAGGAGGAGAGAGGGATAGAGAGCTAGAAACGTCGATAAGAGAGAAACATCGACCAGCTGCCTCTTGCACACCCCCTACCGGGGATGTGCCTGCAACCAATGTACATGCCCTTGACCGAAATCGAACCTGGAACCCTTCAGTCCGCAGACTGACGCTCTACCACTGAGCCAAACTGGTTTCGGCACAGGGTTATATTTTAGAATTACTCTATACTGTTATCTTTTCTTTATTTTATTCACTAAATATTTATTGAGCACCTAGTATGTGCCAGCTACTGGTGTCAGTGCTAGAGAAGGAAGTTAAAGATGGAATATATATATATATAAATTTTTTTGTATGATTCAGCTAAACAAAATGCATTATAATTATCAGGAAGAAAATAAACTCCTTAGAACATTTCCATTGTATCTATTGTGTGAGGTACTGAGGCTATCTCTCTTATAGACTATACCCCAATAATAGCACACGACAGTAAAATCTGGGGTTTAAATGCACTCAAGTTTCAAAGAAAAAAAAAAGTATGTTTTGTAGTTTTCTCATTACATTTTGAATAAATGAACAAACAAACTTTGGGGCACAAAAATTGATACCAATTTTTACACGATCCAGTGTGGGGATAATTCAAATTAAGCAACTAAATATAAAACATTATGCTGTGTTGTGCTATCTGTGTGATGTGCTGCTATTATATTGAACACCCTCCAAGTATCAGGTACTATAAGTTATTCCATTTATTTCCAAAGAATTATACTCACATCACTCCTATTTTTGGCATTGGCCTTTGCCAGAACTATATCCATGGCATCAGGAATGCTGGTGAACTTGTTTTTGTCTGCAGGCTGGCGATACTTCTTCTCACTGATGATTTCTGAAGCCCGCTTGTTCTTTTCTGCCTCCAAAGAACCCAGGGGACTCCATCCTATGCCTCTCAGCCACTCCAGGTCAGACTTATACAGATTCTGTGAAAAAACAAAGCAAGCCTCAAAAATCCCATCCTCCTCTAGGCCCTTGACTCGAGTCTATGCATTTACAAGCAGATCTGTTTTAGATTTTCAGTAATAATTCCTCTTTCTAGTTTCTGTTTCTCTGCAACTGAATGGCCTCTCCTTTGAGATAGGAAGTCATCTACAGTATAAATGATTAGATTTAATAGAAGCTGACCTCACTCTGTATTTCATAAACTTTTTTAGCTTGGATGACATCATTCTGGTCTGGCAGGCACGTCCACTGGTGCAGGTAGTTCTTGTAGTCCACGTCGCTGACCAAGGCCTGGCACTTTTTGGCCAGCACCACCCCCAGCATGTCCACTGGGCTGGTGTACTTGGTCTTCCACTTCTCAAAGTCCTTTTTGTACTCCCGGTCACTCTGCATTTTGGCTACATTCATGGACAGCACAAGCTTTGGATCATCTTGCAGACTCCGGAATCCAATATGGTGGCCGAGTTGCTTGCGGTAGCCTTGTTTATATTTAAACTGAAATGAGAGGAAACATAAACAGAGGTCAAGTTCAGTTTGCTTTGGTTGTACGTTTGTTTTAGAAAACTGAAATGAGAGAAGTTATGCCTATGTTAAGGTCCCGTAGTCAAAAGTATAAAAACTTAAGTAGAGACTTTCAAAGAAATGTAATGCAATTGAATACCCAGAGAGGTTGCAGTGAGAAATTAATTCCAATACATTGTGTATGCTGACTTTAGGGTAGTGTTTGATAAAGCACTTATGATATCCTTTTGGAATAATGGGAAAGTATGGGCTGAATGGCAAAATTTAGGAAGATTCATGACTTGATAAATGACCTAATAGTCTAGGTTAATTAAGCACCAGGACTTTTAGTGACTCATCGTATGGTTATGTAATATAAATTTGTCCTGTTCAGAATCCATTTCTTAATGCACATATGGCTAAAGACAACTAAATATGTTAGATTAGAAAAATAAATTCTACATGACCTCAACATATTGCCAATGTGGATCAAAATGAACTACATAAAATTAAGAAGGTAAAAGTGAAATCAAATATTTAGATTCAATTGGGAAAATCGCATTAGTACCAGATGAGGATAACAACAATGATAATAGAGATAATAGCAGTGTTTATATAATACTAGATGTTAAGCACATATTACACCTTATGGATGTAGATTCTACTCTCTCGACACCCAGCTTCATGGTTATGTACATTAAAAATAATCAAAAGTTCAAGTTGACTCTAAGCTCTATGTGGGCAATCTGACAAAACTTATAAAAAAGTAGCATCACAGATTCTGTAAAGACACAAAGGCAAGTCAGGAGCTCATTTACTCTTGTCTGGCCTCCTGTAACAGGAAGACAACACCTAGGTTTAGGCACTCTATTTTGATAGGAGTTTTTTAAAAACAGAGTAAGTCACAAGTAGAATAATCAGGAAATTGAAGGAATTATAAAACTAAAATCAAAGGAGAATAAAATAAGAAACTTCAAATGTTTGAAGAGATATCATGTAGCAGAGGAAATAAGCTACTTTGTGGTGTTTCTAGAACACAGAAATAGAGCTGATGGGTAACATACTTAAGTTCCATGTAAAATAATGTATAATAACAATTCCAGATGATTCAATAAGGAAATGGCACAAAAATTCTTATATTTTGAAAGTATTCACAGACTGGATGGCCAAGTGTTAGAGATGGAGAGAAAGCAAGGCATTGAGTGGGTAGATTGGATTAAATAAACTTTAAGTTATCTTCTAACTCTAAATTCTAAGGTTTTAATTTATTAACTATTTGTAAAAATAGCTTTAATTTTCTTAAGTTTTATAGATACAAAACCATTTGAAACCAAAAGGAGATATAATTTCTACAATGTTGGCAAAGTTCACTTATAATTAATTTAATTTTGGGGTAAGATTTCAAGTTTCTAACCATAGATTCACATGGAAAGAAAACATGTACTATCAAATGTTGCATTGTTAGAAAATTATTGATGCATTTCTTTGCCTTTACCTTATGAGAAGTACATAACATTAAATGAAAATGAGTTTGTGTTCTGGGGAACATACAATCATCATTATTGCCATTATTGCTCTAGTTTCTTCACCTTATTGATTCATTTTCATGAGGTATTGACCTTCGAGCCAGAAATTAGGTAATAATACATTATCTAATTAGGTATCCAACACTTCTGGAGTGCCACAGGTTAATTGAACTAGGGAGAATCTTATTTTATATTCCTAGAAATTATTGTTAAATTCTTTCTTTAGAAAATCTTTCTCTACAAACCAATTTCTTGTTTTGTCTGATTTTAAAGGTTTAGATTAAGAGGCTGTGCTTCCCTATGAAATTCTGGTAATTTATTCTCTATAGCGAAGGTCCTCTGATTTTTGCGTGATTAATTTTTGGGATTAACAAAATGAAGCATTAATGATAAAAATATATCCTTATAGAAGTCAGAGTAGCACTTACATCACTAGCAATGTCTCTCGAAGATTTGGCCAGCTGTACAGAAATTGCATCAACTGGGAGATCATAGCCTTTCTTCAGAGCTTCTTCCCATCCAAGTTTATAGAGTTTCTGAAAATTAAAGAAATTATTTAATATTCAGCATATATTAAAACCCCAACAGATTCCTGAAATTTACCTAGAGAATAAATAGAGATCTGGGTAAACCTAACATCGTCTACTTTCTCTCTAAAGATAGGGATAAAAACAAAACAAGCTGTTTTATAAGGCCTTGACTAAGCATCACATGGTCTGGCTTCAGTGTTTATTGGCTCTGAGATACCACACTTCTCCAAGTATAAGTGAGATGGTGTTTTCTGTTCACACACTTATGGGTATAGATCAGATATATCAGGTAACTTTCTTATGGTTTGTACTATATTTTGAACACAGATGTTAAAATAATAAAAAAAAGTCAGGTGACAAAATATTAATTATCTAAGTGATAAAACTAATAGGTGATGAAATGTCTTTTATAAGGTGCAATAAATGAGTTAACCTTTCTGAATCAAATTCATTGAATGGAGGCATGTGTGTGAAAACTGGATAATAATAAAAACAGCTGAAAGCCATCCAGCACTCTGTACCAGGCACCGTGCAGAGAGCCTTATGTGGAATTTCTCACTGGCCATCACAGTAATTCAACGTCATGGGCACTTCGATGGTCCCCGTTTTAGGGATGAGGAAACTAAAGTTTTGATCTAATATTACACAACTTATAAATGGCAAGACCAAAACTCATACCAGTTCTGTTTGATACAACAGTTTCTTTCAATAATTATTTACTGATTCCCTACTCTCTGCCAAACACAGTAGGTACCAAGAAAAGCAAAACAGGTACAGCGCTTGCCTCCATAGAGCATACAGTCGTAACTGAAGCTCTTGCTTTTACCCACATTTTGCAACATCTTTACGCTAGTCAGTTTGTGTCATCCATTTCCCATGCTTTAGCATTTATTTACATCAGTTATTTACCATTACTTCACTTAATAAGTTTAATTAATTTTGAGCCCAATGTTTAGAGACTTTACCTGACTGTATATTGCTTGATTCTGCTTGGCTTGTAAAATATCCGGTGTATCAGGCATCAAATGAATCTTGGTTTTATCTTTGTTCCAATCAACAGTGTATAAGTGCTGGGAAGTTAAAAAAAAAAGGGGGGGGGGAGGAAGGGCATTTGAAATTTGAATAACTTTTAGAACAAACCAGAAAGAAAAAAAAAATGTAGCCGAGTATTTGAATTAAATGAAATTAATTTAGTAACTAAAGTAGCACATAATTCAGAGAAGACACCAAAACCAAACTCAGATTTTAAAACATAACCTTTTAAATGTTTTCTTCTATGATAAATAAAAAGTACTTAAGATGCAATAATTTTAAAAATAATTTCTAACTTAATTAGAAGGGCAGGAGAAATAAAAAGAAGAGGTAGGCAGCAGAAGAAAATGGTGTAGGGGCGCGCTCTGGAACTGCCTGCACTGCTCAGCAGTGGTGAACCAGAATCGAACATCCCAAACAGGAACCAGAGGCTGCTGGCCCCGCCTCCCTCGGGACTGTGTGGAAGGATGGCTGTTTCGTCTACCTTGTTCATGGTAAGCGCGTTCTGTTTGGCAAGAACCATGTCCATGGAGTCAGTCAGCTTCTTAAACTGGAAAGTGCTAGGGTGCTGGCGGTATTTCTGATCACTGGCATACTCAGTTGCTTTCTTGGCCTTCTCCACTTCTAGGGAACCAGCTGGACTCCAGCCAAGCCCTTTGTACCATTCGTTGTAGTCCTGCTTATATTCATTCTATAAAGACAAGAGGCAGACCTACTTTACCTTACCAATTTAGGCACAAAGCGTGGCATAGAAGACTGTGATCCCTTCCCATGTCAGCAATCCATTGCCCAGAAAGGAGAGAGCCTTACGTCACTCTGTATGTGATTCATATTCTTGCTCAGCTGGATGTGCATGGCATCTGGAAGGAGGATATACTTGTGGATCAGATGCTTGTAGTTGGTGTTGGTGATGTTGGCTTGGGCATCCTTGGCGGCCATGACACTGAGCATGTTAGGAGGGGTGTGGTAGCTGGTCTTCGTCTTCTCATAGTTTTTCTTGTACTCCCGATCAGACTGCATCTTAGCCACTTGCATGGAATGGACTAACTTGGGATCGTCCTCAAGACTGCGGAAACCAACCATTTTCCCCCTCTCCTTTTCATAGTTATATTTATATTTATACTGTGAAGAAAATTTGAACATTTATTCAGAGCAATTCGAATCATTCTAGGGTCAGCATTCTGTATTTCATAACAAGTAATACTTGTATAGAATTCTACAGTTCACAAAACATATTTTTTCACATGTATTTGTATAACTTGGTACAACCCTTCCTTACCAGGTAGATAGCAAAGTTACTGCCCCCATTTTATGGAGAAGTAATCTGAGAGCCATAGGTGAGGGACTTATAAGGTCACTAAGGATTAGAAGCCATATTTTATGATGAAACTCCATACTGACTTCCACACATATTCTGCTGTTAGTGTTAAAGAGGTCTACAGTTGGTAGGAGAGGAAAGGAGAGATGGAGAACAGCGATAAAGGAAAGAGAAAGTATAACTGGGGGGTGGCGAAGGAAAGAGTGCTCTGAACTGTGCTTCTCCCACTATCCCCAAATCATTCAGTACTCACTATGGGTGGATTTCTTGAACAACCAAATGAAAGAACTGAGTTTCACAAAACTTATATTATGGCAGTGTGCGCTGGCACACCAGTTCCCCAGGGGAAAAAAACCCTAAGTTGATGTCTTTTTCAATTTCTATGATGTAAATACTCCCACTGTGGCTGATGTCAAGCTACCAACAGTTTAATAACCGTTTTTTGCACAATTCCCGATTATTTAACAATCAGTTGTCATCAGCAACCCCAGAGCACCACTTCATGAGATATCTTGTTAAGAAGACAGATCCTAAGAGGCAAGAACAGTACAAGCCTTTGGATTTCTACAGGCTATAGCCTTGGTGACTTACAGATTTATTTTTCCCCCCCAGAAATATCAGAGAAAACAAAAGAGCAAAACTAAGAGGCATTCACAGAATAGAATGAGGCTATTGTTAGCAGGCACATCCCCACCCCCCATATTCTATTTACTCAGTTTTTCCAGAACTGAGCTGTTATTATTTTGGTAGATTAGAAACCCCAAACCACCCCCACCCCCACCCCCCAGCCAGGTATCTGCTCTCCTTCAAACTTACATCACTTGCAATATCTCTTGAGGCCTTGGCAGCTTTGATAGAAATGGCATCAGTTCTGAGGTCGTAGCCTTTCTTTTTAGACTCTTCCATGGAAAGTTTGTAGAGTTTCTGTAAAGATAGGCAAGGGAATGGTTTTCTTATAAATAGGAAAGTCTAGATTTATTTATTTTTAATAAATCTTTATTGTTCATATTGTTACAAAAGTTCCTCATTTCCCCCCCCTCCACAAGGTTCCCACCTCACCCTCTGCCCTTTCCCCAGCCCCCATTGTCCTCATCCATAGGTGCACAGTTTATGTTCAGTCTCTTCCCACACCCCCCACTTCCCTTTTCCCTGAGAATCATCACAAATAAAAAAAAGCTAAAGGAGTTCATCTCCACCAAACCAGAATTATATGAATTGCTGAAAGGGGTTCTTTAGGAAGAGGAAGAAAATAAAGATAAAAATTATGAACAACAAATATGTAACTATCAAGTGAATCTAAAAACCAAGAGAATTAAAAAACCTGATGAACAATATTAACTGTTGAATATAATAGAATCAGAGGTATGGAAGGGGAGTAGATTTATTTTTCAAAAAGCAAACTAGCATTGTTTTTATTTTTGAACAGAATGTTTCATTGGTGAATCAATGGCTAAATGTTCTCACAAATAACATAACTGTGTATGGAAAAAATCAATTACAAGCTCATACATATCTTCAAGAACCTACCAGAAAAAGAAAAAAGAAAAAAGAAACTACCAGAAAAGGTAAAACTTCTCCATCTCTATTAAGTTATAAAAATGCTTTTTTTAAAAAAAATGTGAGGGGGAGGGCAATGAGGGATAAGGACACATATGTAATACCTTAATCAATAAATAAAAAAATAGGGGGGAAAATTTAAATAGGAAAAAAAAAAGGTGAAAGCCAGTAGATCCTTATTGATGCTTTTTATCAGTAAGAGTCCAGGGATGACTACAAAGCAGCCACATTCTTACATTAAAATTTTTTTCATTGTTTTGCAGTTGATATTTTTATTTATATAATTGTGTGGACTCTACAACCCAAGAAGAAGTCAGCAATTTCAAAGCCCTATGTAATTCAAACAAAGGAAAGAAAAGGAAAAACCTGGCAGAATTAGAGGATTTTTTAGCAACAATGGTTAGGATGAGAAAGGAAGTGAAATAAGTCACCTATGCATTTTCTGACATTAAGTGTTGTACATTTCTTCTTATAAGGCTTGCCCAAATTCTTCAAAATGTGCATCTTCCCTTTCCATTTAACTTTCTCCAGACCCCTTCTTTAGAACCATCTCAAAAGCTTGGTGGATGGGTTCTAAGAATGAAGTCCTAGGACTCTCACTTTTTTTTCTCTTCTCCTGGCCCCCAAGTGCTTCTCTTCTTGCCAAGTACCTTAGTTTGAGAAGGAGGACCTGTCCCCACAAAAAAATGGACCTGCCCTTCAAAGCTCAATTGCTGGGCCTGCGTCCCATCCAGTTTGCAAAGCAAGACAGAGAAAGATTCTCATTTTTGGATTCCCACTCTTACTTTCAAAACATTTACTCTTATAATTAAGGCATATTAATTAATTCATTTTTACTGCTTCAAATAGGCAGGAAAGAAAGATGACAACAGGGGTAATGACACTTACATCGCTCATGTTAACTGCATTTGCCTTTGCCAAAACAATCTGAGGGATATCGGGCATGATGTGGACCTTGGTCTTGTCAGCCTCCCATGCTTGTTTGTAGAGGTGCTAGAGAGTAAAAACAAACAAACAAAGAAAACCCAGTCAAAGTCAATATCTTACAAGGAGCCTTGCTTAGTACATGCATACCATTGTACATAAATATCAAAATTTTATGTATTTTTATTAGCAAGATCTTATTTTTATAAAATTTAAATAAAAAGGTGCGCATTGTCAACAAGATAGAAAAGATGGATGTCCTATTCTCTTACTGCAGATTGCATATGCATTCTAAAATTTTCTAGGCATATTAAAGCCCACATATAGTCCTTTTTAAATATAAATGAGGTCACATATACATGATCTACATCTTGCCTTTTTTACTTGACAATATAGGTTAGAGATCTTTTAAGCTTCTTAAAATAACTTGCTTTATGTAAAGAGCTATCCCATGAGGAAGTGTAATCCAATTGACTTAACCGGTTCTCTACTGACAGCTTTTGATGTGTTGTTTGAAGTCTTCTACTAGTCATGGCACCGTGGTCTTAGTGGCGGACTTAGAATATGTTGCCCCAGCTACTGGCAGACAGCCTCTGGTTGTCACTTGCTGCACACTTTGCTGCCTCATTCAAGAGCTAGGAGCTACTGGTGGAGAAAGATTGCTCTCCTGATTGCCCAGAGAAGGTCCTGGCTTATGACACTGCTATTGCCATATGATCTAGGAGTCTGCTCTGAGCTCATCAAAGCAGCTAGGCAGCAGGATGGGGTGCAAAACCCAGCTGTTATCAGTCAGCCTTCTGATTCAAACTCTCGAACTTCTAGAGGGGACGCTTTTCAAGATTTGCATTATGGGGTAGAACGGTTCATTGAACATTTGGGTGGGGGCATTTATTAAATGGTTTTTTTTGTTTGTTTTTTTACAAGCCCTCTTGCCGAAGCCGGTTTGGCTCAGTGGATAGAGTATCGGCCTGTGGACTGAAAGGTCCCGGGTTCGATTCCGGTCAAGGGCATGTACCTTGGTTGCGGGCATATCCCCAGTGGGGGGTGTGCAGGAGGCAGCTGACCAATGTTTCTCTCTCATAAATGTTTCTAACTCTATCCCTCTCTCTTCCTCTCTGTAAAAAAAAATCAATAAAATATATATTTAAAAAATAAATACAGGCTCTCTTTCAAGGTAAACATTAATTATGACGTTCTAACACTGTCAGGAAAATTTGAAGATTAAATATAAGCTTTGCCTGGCTTCTTTCTGATACAGATGAGAAACACTACGTTATTGACTTACCTCATTCATAATTTTGGCATTATTCTGAGCCAAAACCATGTTCATTGAATCCATCAATGTGGAATACTTCAAAGTGTCCGGGTGTTGGCGGTACTTCTTTTCGCTGATGATCTCCATGGCTTTCTTGTTTTTCTCAGCCTCCAGGGAGCCCAGAGGGAGCCAGCCAACGCCTTTCACGAAGTCATCAAAGTCGGCTTTGTATTGATTCTGCAAAAGAGGAAAAGTTCCAGGAGGAGGAGAAAACAAAACTTCCAGGAACCACGTGTGGGTATTTGATATTCCCTAAGTATATTGAACTTCGACTATTTTTATCCCTAAACTTCATCTTTTATACATTTCCTTGCATGGGAAATTAAAAAATAAGCAATAATATTTTGGTGACTTGTTTTTCTAAATGCCTTCCTGAAGAAAAAGTGCTTAAAAAAAAAAAAAACCAAGTAGATTAATTTACCATGTTACTATTATCTCAAGATTGGTGACTATGCTGGCCCAACTTTCTTACAAAAATTCCTAAGTTCCCTTGGTTAATAGATGACTTACGGAGCCCATTTCTCTCTTTTGCTATGTCTTTGATCAGTTACCACTATTACAATTCTCTCAGGTATATCGGAAACCTCGCTGGTACTTGGCACAAATTTCATATTTCTCCCCTCAACTCTGACATTTTCTTCTACATCTGTGTACTTGGTTACTTTCATTTGGGCACTTAAGTACCTCCTCATATATGTAATATATTTATATGTCACATATACTGTATATATATACATATATATATTTGTTATATCTATTGGGTATATTACATATACATATATATTATACAGATGAGATAATAGTTCACTTTTTATATTTCCAAAGAGAATTACAGGCTTGGGGCCTGCCTTTGGTCCATAACTTAAATTCACTTTCTCCAGCCACCAGATGTCCTCCATAGCTGAAATCTTGGCTCTCTACTATATATGCCTTCCTCACACTCATTCTAATAAGCTGCCCCACCCATCAGCTCCTCAAAAGCTGGACATAGTGAAAAGAATGCTGCTTGGGAGCGTGAGGCAAGAGCTATCACATCATTTGAGGTTCTGCTTTCCCTCGTGCTCCTCTTTCAGGAGCCTTTCATGCTTCTGACTCTTTGTTAGACATACTTCTTTCAACACATTCTTTCTGAAACCAAATTTCATTTGCCATTGCCAAATCCAGCACCCAACAAGGCTCACAGCCATAATGGTAGAAAATAAGACTTTCATTCCTAGAATCAATCCCTTTTTGTTAAAAATAAATAAATAAATTTAACCTAAGGTAAAAAAATGGAACACCTTATTGGGGAATTGCACATGAATTTCTTTCAGGATTTTCAAAATGTCACTACTTATGCTCATTACTGATTTGCTTATTATCCAGAGTAAACGCTCTGCAAATGGCGTGGCTGCCACGTACATTACTTTGAATCTGCATCATGTTTTTGGCCAATTCAAAGCTCATGGCGTCAGGAAGCAGGTTGTAGGTGTGGATCACGTTCCTGTAGTTGGCATTGGTGGCCACTTCCTGAGACTTCTTGGCTGCCACCACACTGAACATGTCCACCGGCGTGTGGAAAGAGGTCTTGGATTTCTCATAGCCCTTCCTGTATTCCCGGTCTGACTGCATCTTGGCCACCTGCATGAAGTGCACCAACTTGGGGTCGTCCTCCAGGCTCCGGAAGCCAATATGCTTCCCTTTGCCTTGTTCATAGGCTTGCTTGTATTTGAACTGTAGAGAGAGAAAAAATAAAACAAAAAACAAACACATGGTGATGAAGCTCGTGGAGAAAAGAGAATATAATAAACTAGATGCCTTCAGCTTTGTCATAGAGTCTTAGAGTTACCCTAAAATTAGAGAGGAGCTCATAGGGGGCAGGGGGCAAAATCTTTTTATTTCAAATTCCGTGCCAGACGTAGGTCCATGGAAAGAAAATGACCTCAGAATTAATGATAGCAACATGGAAATAAGCTGTCTAGGGTGCTTTAGAAAGCAGCTCTTCCCACTCAGTGGTCTGACAGGCAGAAAAGGATGCTGCATCTTTAAATTCTGCAATTTTAAATTCAGGAAAAGCCTCATCAGAGGTCTCCAAGGTAAAATCTGCAGCTGCAGCCCTGTATTTGTTTAGAATTGCCTATAAATGATTAGAATACTTTAAAAGCAACTTATTTTAACAAGACCCAGTCACTTTTTACATTAAATAATGGACAAATGATTAGAGGGTCCTTGGACTGAATGAAGGGATCTGGCTTGTGTGTTACACTGGCCGATGGTCCCACCAACTCTTGGTAGAGCTGACTGCAGCTCCTTGAAAACACACAAACTCTGCTCCGCCTAAGGAAGGCCCAGCGGAAGCACTTACATCACTGGCAATGTCTCTAGAGGCCTTTGCAGCCTTTATTGAGATGGCATCCGGCCTCAAGTCATATCCTTTCTTCTTTTCTTCTTCCCAACCAGCTTTGTACAGTTTCTAAATTATCAAATAGAAAAAAAAAGAAAGAAAAAAAGAAAAAAAGCATCAGCATCTTTTCATTTGGGTTAGAACGGGGATCCTGATTTCTGGCATGTAAAAGACAGACATTCCATAAGCATTAGCTCACTTCTCCTCCCCTACTTTTGTTGTTCATCTACTTACATCACTCATGGTGATTTGGTTCATTTTGGAGAGCAGAATGTCTGGCGTATCGGGCATGACGTGAATGGTGGTCTTGTCTTTGTTCCATTTCTCAATGTAGCGCCTCTGCAACGAGAAGGGCAGGCACGTGACTGAACAGCAGGACCAGTGTGTGGGAGGGGAAGAGACTCACAGCTCCATGGGGAAGAGCTTAACTCTGATGTTGGGAAATGGGTGAGATAGCAGGAGGGGCTGATGAGTCTAGGCACATGCTGAGGACAAAAATGATCACACAAGGAAGACCTTTTCCACTGAAACAACAAATACCATCTTGCCTCAACCTCACATGATGTAGGTTTTGTAGTTTTGTCCCGCCCTCAGCATGGTGTCGACAGCCCCAGGGTCAGTATAACTGAAAATCTCTAGACATGACATAAGTTACAGAATGCCCCTCCTACCACCGCCACCACCAGGACCATCAGAAAGATTAAAATGCAGACAGAGATCATAGAGGCAGTGCCAGGCTCAGGGGCATGAGCACTAGGAGGGTTCTGGGGCTGAGGCCAGCAGGTGAGTTCTTACCTTATCCATAGTCAGTTTGTTATTCTTGTTAAGTTCTTGCTCCATTGTGTCCATGGAGTACGTGAACTTCAGCTTCTCAGGGTGCTGGCGATACTTCTTCTCGCTAAGAATCTCTCCTGCTTTCTTTGCCTTCTCCACTTCTAGGGAATCTATCGGGACCCAGCCAATCCCTTTCATCCAGTTGGTGAAGTCGGATTTGTATAGATTCTTCACAACATAAAAGGAAAATTTGAATTTAGAAAGACTCAGGGCATGGGTTTCTTTGGCTAGATGATTCAATTATTAGCAAAAAGAAGGAAAATAACAGGCTTTTTATTCCCTGTTATCTTCTGGAAAACAATTGATTATAAAAGCTATTACTTTCATGGTGGTTTCTAACAGGAAATCCTGACCCAATAATTCCTTTAAAAATTTAAGTTTCTTAGGGTGAAAGTGAACAGAACTTTGCACTAGAAAACATATAATTCTCATTTGTATTTATTTTTTAAGGATACATCATATATTGAGTCTATTTAAAACATCCAAAGTTCTAAAATATGTATATAATAACCCCCAAAGGAAGCTACATATAGTTCATCTGAGAAAACCCAAATTCTGGAGAGGACCTCTAATTATAGAGTCTAGCCAGGTTTAGGGTGGAGTGAGCGGAATTGCCTATTTCTTGTTCTTCCCTCCTGACAACTAGAAGTGAATAATTCTATGCCAACAATCTGTTGATTGTTACATACATCGCTTTGAATCTGCATCGCGTTCTTAGAATGCTCCACGTTCATGGCGTCGGGCAGCAGAGTGTAGTTGTGGTAGGGTTGTCTGTAGTTGGTGTTGGTAGCAACCTCCTGAGATTTCTTGGCCGCCGTCACACTGAACATATCCAAAGGCGTGTGGTACCGGGTCTTGCTGGCTTCGTAGCCCTTTCTGTATTCACGATCTGACTGCATTTTGGCTACATTCATGTAGTGAACCAGTTTAGGATCATCCTGAAGGCTACGAAATCCAATCTGCTTGCCTTTGGCTTTCTCGTGGGCCTCTTTATATTTGAACTATATGAAAAAGAAGGGCAGACAGAAGTTTGATAGGGTATAATGTAGGAAATACTAAAGTATTAAACTGAATTTACCCAACAAATTAAGCAATAGCTGAATCCATTCTGAATCTAGTGTTTGAGCATTGTTAAATAAACAACTAGCAAAGGATTTCTAATGGATGTGTACTCTGAAGATAATCAAGAATGGAATAATTTTTAGTTTATATCCAGGTTATTCATAAATAGATTCTTTGAATATTTTCAAAGGTTCCTGAAAATTTTACTTATGAAGGATTTGGTAGAGAGAGGAAGGGAGAGGGGATGAGAGAGAACATCGATCTCCTGCTTCCTACATGCCCTACAGGAAATTGAGCCTGAAAGCGAGGCATGTGCCCTGACCAGGAATTGAACTGGTGATCTCTTGGTGCACAGGTTGACACTCAACCAGTGAGCCACACTGGATGGTGTATTTTTTTATTATATGTTTCAAGTGTTACTTTGCATTATCTTATAAAGTCTTTGAGTAATTCTGAGTAAATTTCTGCAATGCTCTTATACAAATTAGTGTATTGGACTATAAGTGATAGAGTTTTTACTATATCTATGTATTATATTAATTCATATAAAATTATAACTTAATTTGTTAAAATGAATTCATTATATAACTAAAATCCTCTCATTTTAATCTATAATTCTTCCTGGGTTTTTATATTTCATCAATTTTTGTGTGGAAATTATAGTATTTAAAAATTATATTCTTGCCCTGGCCTGTTTTCTCGGTGATTAGAGCATTGGCCCTCATACCAAATGGTCACAGGTTCAATTCCCAGTCAAGGGTACACACCTCAGTTGCAGTTGGTCCCCAGCCCTGATCAGTCATGGCAGGTAAGGGAGGCAACCAATAAATTCTCTCTCTTCCCCTCCCTTCCACTCTCTCTAAAAATCAATAGAAAAAAATATCCTCAGATAAGGATTTAAAAAATAAAATAAAAATTGTATTCTTTTAAAACACTTGGAGACATTTCCAATTTAGCGACATTTTAGTATACGAAAGCTTTTTTCCTTGACAAAATAAAAATCAGTTTTCAACTTCATAACAATGAGAGTTCCAAATATTTTACGGTTTTAAAAAAGAATTTTCTTATTTGTAACAACTGTATTGAGTTTTTAAATATTTTAAAGTGGAGCAGTATAAAAGAATCATTGTTACTTAGGATACTAGAAAAGTATTTTAATATCATAACTTTTTTATTTTGCTTCTAATGTAGATCATATAGCCTCCATGTGAAGATTTTGAAAATAAAGAGAAAGTTTACTGCTTTCAAATTAGACTTACATCACTAGCAATGTTTCTTGAACTTTTTGCAGCAACAATTGGAATAGCATCTGTTCTCAAATCATAGCCTTTAGCAAGGGTTTTCTTCCAGTCTGCTTTATAATAAGCCTTGAAGGAAAGACACATTATTTTATTACTTAACAAAATTGAAAGAATGAAACAAGATGCCAAAATCTTTCTTATAAAACATGTCATACTTTACACCTTTCTATTGAGATAATTTGTGGAGTTAGGGCTGTTAGTTCATCTTTTATATATCTGTCAGAGCCTTTTAAAAAACATCAGCAACTACACAGTATGATCTCAACTGCTTTAAAAATGCATATGATGGCGTAACAAAGCAACTGAAATGTAACGCTTTAAAAGTGGAATAACATTTAAAATTTTTCATAATTTTTTATATTTCCAATTTTTCTATAATAAGCATGTAATATTTTGTTTTCTTGTACTTTTTAATAATAAAGCACTTTAATTTACAGAAAGGCATTTAATACTAAAATTAAAATTTCAGATGTAGTAGTATCCAGTTTTAATTGACCTTCATGCTTACATATTACTTATAACAGCAGAGAAAAATTCTAAGTAAACCAAAAGCATAGAAATTAGCACCAAAAAATGTTTATTTTGAGATACTAAAGAGCCTAAAAATTAGGCTCTTTTAAGAAATCAGCACTTTTCTTCAGGTTTGATTATGTTTTTAAATTAGAATTTATCAACAAACAAACAAAAGGAAACAATTCATAAGAGGAAATTTAAACATTACCACCAATTAGGTAGGTATCTAGACTACCTGAGAGAGATGACTATTACATACAAAAAAGAATTTCTAAAGAAAATGATAAACTTTTTCAGAAGTTTTAACAAATAACTGAAACAAAACTTAAATAAAGCAAAATTAACCTTACTACAGACGATGCACTACTGTATTTTTCTATCTTGTCTATTCCATTTCGTTCTATTTTTGTTTAATGGAACACAACCTACTACATTGGTTATACAACTAACTAATGAATCACAGCCCACAGTTTGGAAAAGTCTGCATTAAATGAAATGTTATGGTAGCCTCTAGTTTCATATTCTGTGATAGGAGTCTGATCTGAGGACTGTTGATTGGCTCCTGCACAAGGAGGGTGATCTGCGGACTGCTGATTGGCTCCTGTACACGGAGGGCAAGGAGGGACTGAAGAAAGAGGCAGGCCACTCCAGATTGGTAGGTGCAGGTTAATAAGCAAGGGAGCTTACGTATGAGGTCTGTCTTTGGTGGCCTCATAGATCTCTGCACCCACGGCCAGAATCTTAAACATTTATAGAGACTCTAATAGGGTTTAGCACTCATACCATCCAGGTGGTCTCAACAACACATTGCTCTCTCAAGGCTGTGCCCTTGCCAATGGCTCCCATTGTGGAAACAAGCAGACCGTACATTCCCTGGGTCAGGAGAGGAGGTGAACAGCCTGCAGTTGCCCGGGGCCAGCTAAGGGCCAACTGGCAGTCACATCTTCTCTGTGACCTCCTCTAACAGAAACTCAATAGGGTCCCACTCGGTTTATTCCCCTTAAAATTCTAAGTTCTACAGTTACCCAGAACCGGAAAGGAAAGGCCCCCATTAGCAATGTTAGACTATCACCAGGAGAAATACTCACATCGCTCATGTTGAGGGCGTTGACCTTGGCTTGAATAAACTGTGGTAATTCGGGGTCTATGGTGTACTTGTGCTTCAGTTTCTCCCCCTCCACCTTGTAGTTCAACTGAAAACAAAGGAGGCAGCATGCAAATGTCATTAGCTGACAAAATGTAGGTTTCCTTAAGCACATCCTCCCTTAAAAAGCAAGACTGTCACTGGTGTTTTTTCCATATGGAGGCCTACCCAAGAAATACTGTGGGTTAAGTTCCAGACCACTGCCATCAAGTAAGTATCACATGAGTTTTCTGGTTTCCCAGTGAACATAAAAGTTATATGTACCCTATAGTTTAGTAAGTGTGCAATAGCACTATGTCTAAAAACAAAACAAAACAATGTTTATACCTTAATTGAAAAAGATTTTTATTGCTAAAAAAAAAAAAATGCTAATCATCATCTGAGTCTTCAGTGAGTCGTAATCTTTTTGCTGGTGGAGGGTATTACCTTCCATTTGTAGAAAACATAGTATCTCTGAAGCATAAAAAAAGTACAATAAAATGAGGTATGGTTATATAAGGAAAATACCTAAACTATCATATGGAGGGGTTATTTGTAGTGTAGCCATAGGCTCATTTCACCAATAATTACTGGACATCGCTGTGGGCCAGGTAGGGTGGTAGGTTCTGTGTTTAAAGGGTTGAACAGGGCAGACCTGTATTTTTGGAGCTTAGAGACCAGTAGAAGAGACAGAGAATAAACACATGAATTACAAGATAAGAGTTAGAATTTATGATGTGTTGTAAATAATATAACTTTAGGAAAGGAAGAAGGGTGGTCAGCAAAGGCTCTCTAAGGAGGTAATATTTATGCCCAAATTTGAAAATAAGGGAGGGGTCCAGGCATAAAGAAGAGCCTTCAGGGCCCTGAGTCTGGGAAGGGCGTGGCCTGAGAGGCACTGAAAGCAGCCCTGAGTTACGGGGCTGGAGTGGCCGAGGATGGCCAGAGGTCAGACAGGATGGGGAGCAGGGCCTCCCAAACGAATTAATGTGTTTAGATTTTATTTTCAGTTCAAGAAGTTACTAAGGGGTTTTGAGTATAAGAGAGATGTGATTTGAGCTGAGATGGTCTCTCTGGTTGTAGTGTGTGCCTTGGGCATGGAGTCCAAATACCAGAGGACTGTAGTTGTCCCCAAGGAGATGGGGAGCAGGAACTCGGTTGGTGGCGGCTGAAAGACAGCACGGCCAAGAGAAATTTAGGAGACTGACTCAGCGGAGGGGTTTGAATGTGGTGTTCACACAATGGTGAAGGCATCAGTGGTGAAGCCAGGTTTCTGGCGTGGGTAACAAGGAAGATATTGATGGCATTTATTGACGTGGAAGATAATTACTGAGAGCACAGTTTTCCTAGCTAACTGGAAACAGTGAGAAGTAACACCTCGGTTAGTACAAAAGAAATCAGAGAGTCTCCATTGATTTTAGCACTGAAATAGAATTAATCTTGAAACATCCATGATAGGGTGGGGGCAGGGATTGGCCTGAGAAATGAAATCCACAGATAAGCCTCAAATCTGAGCCAAACAACGCATTCACCACCTCCCAATATCTGGGGCTAAAAACACAGTCCTCCCTTCTTTGCCTTTTACTTTATGCCCCTCTTTCTGGTGGAGATCTTTTAAGAGAACTGAGATTGCCAAATGAAGGGAAGCACTGAGTACTGCAAGTAGCCTCTGACTAAGACGAAGGGTCCAGCGAGACCTGGGCTCAGAGAGGCGACTTGATGCTGAAAGCAAACTGCTTATCTCCTTCCTAGAGGCCTCTCTTGCCTATCACAACATCCAGCTATTGTGCCCAGGGATGAGGACATTATTATCCCCTTTCCCTGTGAAGCCAAGTAGAACTGTTGCAAATCAGAATAAAATACCTTGGTTTGCTATTCAGACCGAGTGACATATAATAATAAGTTCATTCCATATGTCTAATGAATAGCACAGATTCTCCACTTTGGGAAAATAAAGCAGAATGGAAGTCTCCTTCTCCCCTCCCAGTGCTACTTGTGTTCAAGTTCCTAGGTGCTTCAAAAAGTACAACCTTTTGATCAGACCTCTGAAAGCCGCTGACCTGCTAGCACAGATGCCGTCTCACGTATCGAATTAAGAAGGATGTGGTCTGGCTTATCAGGGGGTTATTCATCTACAAACCCTCTGAAGGGAAACCACTTACATCACTCAGCTGCTTTGTGTTGTGCTGAGCCAGAACCATGCCCATGGAATCAGGCACACTTGTGAATTTGATGGTATCTGGGTGCTGTCGATACTTCCTCTCATTTAATGCCTCGCCGGCTTTCTTGGCCTTCTCCACCTCCAGAGAACCAATAGGGATCCATCCAATGCCCTTGAAGAAGGTGTTATAGTCGTCCTTGTACACATTCTGTAAAAGAGCAAGCTCGTATGAGGAGATGTCCCAGAGAACAGTCCAGCACTGGTTCTGACACCCACAATCCTCTGCCAGGGAAATGAATGGTAACCTTTTCAACACGCTCCCATCTGCAGTGGAAGCTAAGCCTATGTCTGTCACAGAGCTTCTCACCCAGAATTTGGTAATAAGAAACAGCGGTGCTGTTGTTTGAGGGCATTATACAACGCAGAGAGAATCTGGGCCACATATTTCCAGGGCTACTGCTGAAAAAAAATATTGTTTCTTTTGACAATAAATTGGCCTTTCCTTTTGATTTCACTGAAAACTCCACAACTTTGAATTTCACCCACACTGTCCACCTAGGCTCTCCCTGATCTCAGCTGGGGGGAGACATTTCCATTGAGCCACAATAAATGAACACCATTCCTTCCCTTCCCAGAGGACGATTCTTATAGACATCTGGATCCTGCGGAAGGAAAAGCCCTGAATATTAAACACCTCCCTCTGCAGCTCCCTGGGAATCATGCTGCAATCACAAAGCCTTCCTGGCTCATTTGAGATGACTCATCACACAGATTTACATGTATGAGAGTGTGACCTTGAGTTAAAAAAAAAAAAGTAAAAAAATAACTTTGCTGAATTCATAAAGAATAAAGAATGCTCCTATTTTGCATTATTCGTATCACCATTGAAGCAAACACCCCGGGAGCCACCATTTCCTCTTGCTGAGAATTAAGGTGGTTTATCTACTTAGTGGAATATGGCTTTCTCTCTGACCCAGAAGTTAACAAAGGCAATGTCAATGGTGACAGTAGGAGTGCAGAAAGCCAGCAAAAGCATAGCTTGTTCACCATGCCTTTGTTAGCCCTTCAATAATGACTATTTATTTTAAGTTACATTACACCCCCCCCCCCCTTCAATATCTTCTTGTATTGTGAAGTCTAGTAAAGTAGGAAGAAAGGATTATCCCTTAAGTAACAGCTTCTCTGGGTCTGCTCTGTTCTACATACTCACATCACTCTGAATTTGATTCGCGTTCCTGGTGTGCTGGACACTCATGGCATCAGGTAGGTATGTGTAATGATGGATCGGTTGTTTATAATTGACGTTGGTCACAACATCCTGGGCCATCTTTGCGGCTGTGATGCTAACCATGTCCCCAGGGGTATGATAGCTGGTTTTGGTGTTCTCATAGTTCTTCCTGTATTCACGATCAGACTGCAGCTTGGCTACGTTCATGTAATGGACCAGCTTGGGATCATCCTGGAGGCTTCTAAAACCCACATGCTTTCCCTTGGCCTTCTCATAAGCTTCCTTGTATTTGTACTGCAGAGGCAGAAGTTGGTTAGCAAAGACCGAGGCAATGATGCTAGTAGGTATAGCAACTCTATTCACACACAAAAGCTCTCAGAACATTGTGACTTTCTGGAAGATTGTACAAAAATGCAAACCATACCCCCCCCCCCCCCACACACACACACACACTCTCCAGAAAGTTCAGAGTGACAGCATTTATTTCCATCACTTCTATGCTACAGTGGGTGTCAGGATATACTCAGGACCAGTTTCTTTTCTTTGTTATCAATCCTATGGATGACTTGCATTTAGATCTTTACTTAAAGCCAACTGAATTTTCACACCTACTCTATCATGACACTTTCCAAATGTAAGACCCGTATCTCTTGGTTTTCCAGCAATGTGAATTCACCAAATCCACTGTATTATTGCACATCACAGATTATTAGAAACTATTGAGAAAACCTCCCATTCTCTGTTCCAATTGGCCTAATAGGTGCACAACAGGTGCAGAAGAAACTCTAAAGATTCTACATGTGAAATGTTTGCACTCGTATCAGCTTGCGGTGGGGTAGGAAATCATTACTGTGATTTTTGTCTCAGGCTGACCTAAACAAAAAACAAAAAACCTCTTCTTTCTAGGGAGCATCAATTTAGATGCTGCACGGGTAAGTAGCTGGGTCTTCACCCACCCAGTCCTCAGCAGCTCCTCTCCCAGCGCACTGCTGAAGCAACTAAGATGAGTAAAGGAACTACATTGAGGGCGGGAACCATTGTGAGCTTTCTGCATGAGTAGATATCTAAAAGCTGTGCTGCCCAAAATCTCTCCCTGCTCGGATCGCCAATGTGGTGTAGACTTAGCTACGCTGTATGTAACAGGTCAAAACCTCAATTTCCACATAAAAGAATCCAAATCCACCTCAACTCTGCAGATATGCAGCTTCTGCTGTTTAAGTACCGATTTATCAACAGGAGTTTGGCAGGCAAAAGGATTGTCAAAGTAATCTCTAGGCATGTTAGGAGCAGCTCTGTGCAAGTGCTTACAAAAAAAGAAGATAATGTCATGCTTTATACTTTCACTTCCTCCTTAACCTAGAAATGCATTTCACAGTGATATGCACATCTTTGAGGAGCTGTTTTCAGTAGCAGCCCTACAAGAAAAAGCTCTAGAATTCTTACTCCCAACTCTCCTGTGGCCTGCACACATGTGTGGCTTCTTTCTTCTCTCCTCAAACCAAGATTGTAGCCTCTGGAATGGTGTGTGACAGTGAAGTGTATGGGGCAGGGGTTGGGGGTGGAGATGGGGGTATGCTTTGTGAAAATGTTTTTCAATCATGGGAAGAAGAATAAGTGTCTGCTGTTTCTGTTATAGGTAAAATGGGCATCAATTACATAATTCAAAATTATATTCTAGAGAAGTGGTTCTTTCCCCCATTGGATTTATAAAACGGTGATTGCCAGCAGGGAGAGGCTGGGGGGAAGCAGAAGAAGGTAAAGGGGGAATAAATGGTGATGGAAGGCACTTGACCTTGGGGTGGCGAACACTCAATACAGTGTACAGACGATGTATTGTGGAACGGTGCACCTGAAACCTGTATAATTTTGTTAACCAGTATCACCCTAATAAATTCAATACAAAAAAATAAAAATAAAATCTGCACATTTTATGGAACATCTTTTCAATTGTCTAAATGCAATTATAATGTAGGCAGGCACCTGAGTGTAATGTGTTAGTGTCAGTCAGGATGTTCTCACTGAAAATAAATGCGGGCTGTCAGGGAAGGTGTCAGGGGGGAGATAATTGGGGGTATTAATCAGGAAGAAAGCCGCTGTCAGGTTTATGACAGCTCTACCAAGTGGGGTCAACTGAAAAGAATCGAAAAACATGGAAAAGTGACAGTTTCTCAAAACAACATTTTGTGGAGAATTTGAATGTCATGAATTCAACATTTTGTTTTCAATGTGACACCATTTAAACAAGCACACATCTGTTTACTTCTTCAAAAGGCAATCACCCAGATTTCACCCTGAATGTGTACTCACATCACTGGCAATGTTTCTTGACGCTTTGGCTGCAGTGATGGGAATAGCGTCTCCCAGCACATTGTTGCCCTTGGCTATTAGATCATGCCAGTCCCGTTTGTAACAGACCTGGGACAGAAGAAGAAACGGGATGTCAGCATGCTGTGTATTCATCCATTGAAGTGATTCCTCAGCAGCTGGAATTGTTTTATTCCTCTGCAGAAGGAAACTAAAAGAAACTCCTAGAACAGTGATTGGCAAACTCATTAGTCAACAGAGCCAAATATCAACAGTACAACGATTGAAATTTCTTTTGAGAGCCAAATTTTTTAAACTTAAACTTCTAACACTACTTCTTCAAAACAGACTCGCCCAGGCCATGGTATTTTGTGGAAGAGCCACACTCAAGGGGCCAAAGAGCTGCATGTGGCTCGTGAGCCACAGTTTGCCAACCACGGTCCTAGAGCAAAATGTCACATTTTATATAGCATAGATTTACTGGGCTCTGCACTAATTATTCACCCACATCTGGTTTGGGCACATACTGAAGAGAGATATAAGAAAAGGGAGTGAGCCCAATTTGTGGATCTAATGAAGGTTCTGGAGACCAGGGTATGTGAGGACCAGCTGGAGAAAATGAAGTTGTTCAGTCTTGTGAAAAGGTCAAGGGAAGATCTAGTGGTAAGATCTAGCAATTTTAGGATTGTTGTTTAAAAAAAGAAAAAGGATTTTCTTTATTCTTACTTCTTTGGAGGGTAATAACCTCCTCCACATGCAAAAATTAGAAAAACTAATTGGAGGTTTAGAGAACTAGATGTTAAGTTCTACATAAAGAAGAATCCTTTATGGTGACTGTCAGGGAAGGAGGGGTGGTAGAAGAGGATATGGGGGGGGGGAGGGAAATGGTGATGGAAGGAGACTTGACTTGGAATGGTGAACACACAATAACAAATACAGAAGCCTATATAATTTTATTAACCAATATCACCCCAATAAATTCAATATGAGAGAGAGAGAGAGAGAGAGAGAGACAGACAGACAGACAGACAGACAGCTGTCTGACACTTTAAAAGGCCAACTCATAGGTACAGAGCCATCATCATGGGCTAAGTTTCAATTGAGGCCATGTGGAAAATTGACCTAAGTAATTGTCAAGGCCCCGCCATACCTTAAAATTCTATTATTTTATCACCAGTTCTGTATTTCACACCCCATCTAAGACCTTACTTACATCACTTATGTTGTAAGCATTGCACTTGGCCTGTAGAAACTGAGGAAGATCAGCACTCATCGTGTATTTATGTTTCACATCTTCTCCTTTAGCTTTGTATAAGATCTGCAACACACAGGCACAAAATCAAAGTGCATCACAAATAGCACAAAAAGGAAAATGCATTAGTTGCATGCTTAAAGGAGTTATACCTAGCACAATCCCCACCATTTCTATTGTGCAAAAGTATCAAAAGCATTTTCCTGTTTTTAAGAAACTCAAGCATCTTGTTGTCTTTAGGAAGAGCCAACAACTCGGTGTATTATAATAGCAAAAAAAATCCTTAAGAGAACAGAAATAATTTACTGCCAAAGATAATGAAAAATAGGTTCAAATGTGAAACTCTAACATGAATTACACCAAAGCCAGAAAAGTTCATCCTTTGCTAGTGGAGCTAATAGCTCTTAAAGTCTTGTGTTGTTTTGGTTTTGGTTTGCTATTTTTTAGAGAGAAAATGATGGTTAGAATGTCTTTCACTTCTGCTTAAAACTTTCCAATTATAATAGTACAAGTAAAAGCATATAATAATTTCCTCATTAAATGAAGTTGCTTATACATAAATCCAGTGTATTCAAAAGATTTACCATTCTGGATTTACCCTAGCTTGTCATTTTAAAGACACATATTATATCCTCCTCTTGGTGATAGAAATGAAAGAAATTGCTTAATTTCTAAAACTAAACTAGAACAGGAATCACAAGTAGATTTTCAGTCTCTCCATTATTATTTATCATAAATATCTCCATTTCCCAGGCATGTCTATGTGGAACTTCATATGTAAACTGGTGTGTATGTATCACAAGTAAAGTCTGAGATGGCTGATAGCTAAGGGAATCCTCAAATACTAATAAATTCTTCTAAGAATCCCAAAGCTATCCTTATTTCCTCAGTAACTGTAGAAACCATTTCTAAGCATTCACATAATCTCATCAATTCTACTTTCTAAACATCGCCTTTCCCATCCCTACTGCCTTCAAGTCCAAGCCTTCAGTTGGGTATCTGTAACAGCTTTCTAATTCATTTTCTTTTTCCAATCTCTCCCTCTCCAATACAGCCTCTGTACTTTTTTTTTTTTATAATATATTTTATTGATTTTCTTACAGAGAGGAAGAGAGAGAGATAGAGAGCTAGAAACATCGATGAGAGAGAAACATCAACCAGCTGCCTCTTGCACCACCCCCACCGGGGATGTGCCCACAACCAATGTACATGCCCTTGACCGGAATCAAACCTGGGACCTTTCAGTCTGCAGACCGGCTCTCTACCGCTGAGCCAAACCAGTTTTGGAGCCTCTGTACTTTTTGTCAGATTTAACACACAGATGTGATAAAGCAACTCCATAAATTAAAAATATTCAATACATCTTGCTACTTACCCCATAATCTCTAGACTATAAGTTGGCATACAAGACCCTCAATGATCAGGTTATAATCCTGAACACTTTACTGTTCTTTCATTCATTGCTTCTTCACTGTCACGCTTTTCCTTCCCGGATTTGCTAGGGAAGCTCTGGTAGGCAGTTACCTCTTCCCTTGTACTTACTGAGCACATGTGTCTCCTGTAGCATTCATCTCTCTGTGTGGCAATGCTGTTCTACCCACGACTTCCTTATACTCTTGTTGTATATTCTTCTTATAGCCTATATCCCACTAATCCTCATCTCCTTAATCTTTGTACCATCATCACATAATACAGTGCCTGGCACTTGGAAGTATTCAAAAACATTCATTCAATGAATTAATGAATATGTGCTTTAATGTCCCATTAGCTCTTCTATTCATCAGTCTTTCCTTTAGGTTTGACTTTAGCCAGATGATATATATGACTTATGAACAGGCAGGCAAACAATGTACTAATCTCCACCAAGACACAAGTAAAAAAAAAGTCTCTATAGTAATTATCTATGGTGAAAGGAGGTGTAAAGTCATATACTCATGTGTATTATTTCCCTGTATTATATATAAACACTAAATATAAGGAACTTAATGTAGAATTGGATATGATAAATTTGCCACAATAAAGTATCTGGAATTTAAGCTTAAAGTTTGTGTGTGTGTGTATGTGTGTGTGTGTGTGTGTGTGTGTGTAGTTGTAGTAATAGTAGAATAGAATTTTTTGCACCATGTCAATTTATCCAATAACACAGTATTTCAAGGTAGTTAAAGAGGAAGAGGTTTCAAGAAGGAAGGTAAAAACCAAGATAAAAGAAAAAGAAAACATCAGTGGTCAAGCTAAAGAGTATTGTAATTAAGGAAAAGATATTAGCTCAGAAGAATTTTTTAAGAAGTGGGCCGATATTTATTTCCTTGAAGCCTCTCTCTGTCTTTTGCACCCCCTGTTTTGTTGTACTCACATCGCTGACTTGCTGTGTGTTCTGTTTTGCCTGGACCATCACTGGGGAGTCCACGATGCTGGTGAATTTGAGGGTGTCTGGATGCTGCCTGTATTTCTTTTCACTCAGGGCATCACCCGCCTTTTTAACCTTTTCCACATCCAGACTCCCAATGGGTATCCAGCCGATGCCCTTCATCCAGGTGTTGTAGTCTTCCTTGTAGACATTCTGTGACAAAGGGAAAAAAGAGGAGTGAGAGCCCCAGGCAAGAGCTTCTCTCTTGCAGGCTCTGACAGTGAAAGGAGATTGTCTTAGGGAATAAATGTCACTTACATTGCTCTGTATTTGCATCATGTTCTTAGACAACTCTAGGTCCATGGCATCAGGCAGGTAGGTGTAATGATGGAGTGGATGCTTATAGTTGGTATTGCTGACAATATCCTGAGCTTTCTTAGCTGCCACAACATTGAACATATCATGGGGTATGTTGAACTTCGTCTTTGTCTTCTCATAGTCATTTTTATATATCCGGTCTGATTGTATCTTGGCTACATTCATGTAATGAACCAGTTTAGGATCATCTTGGAGACTTTGGAAGCCAACCATTTTCCCTTTGGCTTTTTCATAATCTTTTTTGTACTGAACCTATTAGAAACAAAGACGGGCATATTTTAAAATGTATCAATGAAGATTTTACTGAGCAATGAGACCATGGTTTGAAGCAACTGGGCAATTTCAGAAATTTCTTCAATAACCAAACAAGTAGATACTCACTTGTAAGCAGCCAGGTAAAATGAAAATGTTATTTTGAGCCTATTTGATTGTCTATAGCTGCTTCTGCTACCCCAGCAAGATTGAGGTAGGGGTGTTACCACTATTCATATCAATGACAAAGTAAAAATAACTTCCTTCCCACTTAGATACTTGAGAGAGACAAATGAAAAGATAAATACTTCACAATCTCTACCAATGACGTTGGGTTGCTAAAGAAGATCCCCAATAGCTGGCTATTTGATTAGTAGAACTGTAGTGGTGGTAGTAGAATTTTAATGAGTCTGCATATTCAAAGGGAGACCCAGAGCCAGTAATGTGTAAACACTAATTGGCTCTGAATGATAGTGAGAACTGAGCTTCCTTGGGGAGACCTGGGAAACCGAGAAGCAGAGAGGCGAGGGAAGGTTTGTGTGTAGGGCGGAGGCTTGGGGGCAGGGAGACTGGAGGAAGCAGCCCACAGAGGAAGAGGATCAGTGAGAAATTCTGGATGGCAGGGCCTTTAGGACACAGGCATTTATTACTTAACTGTCACGCATTTACCCTGGTGCAATGTCAGTTTCATTTCAGTCAGTGACGTTGTGCTTGGGATTTGGGGGAAATCAAAAGCAAGGGGCTGTGTTCTATCCCTGGATCATGCAGAGCAGAAAGAGAAGGAAGTCCTGGGAAGGAGAATGCAGAAAGCAAGCCAGAGCAATACCATCATAAACAAACCAGGAGACAGGGAATCACAAAACAAAAACCTCAGGGCAACTGCAGCAGTATAGGAAGGGTACCCCACTTCCTACAGGACAACAAGTGGGGGCTTAAGTCCATTGTATTTAAATTTAAGAGCAAAGGGACTTCAGTCCCCAGCTGGGTAAAAGTAAGACTGCAAAAGGAACCAAGTTACTAACTGTAATGGAATCTAAAGACTGACAATTGAAGGCTATAAAAATTGAAGCCGAGTCATCATATGCAAAAGCAACAGGGAACTCATATAAATTAAGCAAGTTTTGAGACAAAATATTACCATTAGAAGGTTGTTATACTTAAATAGTATGCACCTTATCTATTTTCACAAGGAGAATAAAAGTGCATTTGTAAAAAAATATTGACGAGAATTTTTAATTAGGGTGCTTGATTAGAGCTGATCAGATCTGTTTAAGGAACTTCCTTTTCTAAACAGTTTTCAACCAGACTTGCTTCCAGGTGAGGACAGCAGATGTGGCGACTTGGGGATAACAAGTCCACCCCGCCCACAGATCCTGGTTACGCACAGGTGACCCCCAGCCGGACTTACGTCACTCGCCGCCTGCCTGGCAGCCTTGGCGGCCTTGATGGGAATCGCATCAGTTCTCAGGTCGTACCCCTTCTTGCTCATGTCTTTCAAGTCTGCTTTGTACATATTCTGAAAGAAAAATGTCATTGAAGTATAACTCAGCCCACACTTAGAAAAGACTCATCGGCAGCCCGCACTGAGCCCATGCGCACACCTCACTGATGTTGTAGGCGTTGACCTTGGCCTGGATGAACTGGGGCAGGTCCGCTGGCAGGCTGTATTTGTGGAGCGTTTCCTCTCCTTTGGCTTTGTAGACAATCTGAAAGAGAACAAAAATGCATAAACAAACTAATAAAGAAAAGGGACTTAATGGCATAGGAAAAGAATTTTAGGGAGAGTTGCATGCACAGAGGTGCTTCTTATGAAAGACTCTTGGTGCTGCCCCGTATCCACCTGCAAATATTTGAAGGCATTCAAGATCTCACATGCAATTACATAGGGTCTTACCTTTGTACTGGTTCAGCCTGGACAAAGGAGTATGTATGCACTACCTACGAACCCCTTGGTTTGAATGCATTATGAACCCCTGGACCGAGGTCGGGGCACCTGGTGGAAGTTAGCCCAGGAAGGTGTCCTGATGAAAATGTGAATGTGTAGACACTTTCCTAGCATAAGAGAGGCTAATCCAGTGGGATACACCAACCATCTCCATTATTCTCTGTGGGCTCCTAAAGGGAGTGGTGGGTAGTAGGTTTGACTATTATATGATCTTTGTCTTAGTTCTGACTTAAAATGTAACTCCTCCATGTGACATAGTGCCTCTATCTTCCTAGTCTTTCCTAGAAATAGGCGTGTAGTGTTTCTTTTTTATCAAGAGAAGCCCCTCTTACCTTCTCCTTGGAAATCAAGGTCAAAATACTGGAAGGACAGCCTACTGCACATAATACTCTTAAGAAATGAATTAGGTGTGCTTTGTTAATGAAAAGCTGAGGGGAATATGCAGTTGCTCATGTAATTGAGTCTCTTCAGATTCCTTAATAACTACAAGTGATCAGTACAGTTGGTATACAAATGTGTTTGTATTAGTTAGCATTCATGGAGACACGGATACAATTCACACTTACATCACTCCTCTGGGCCTGGTTAATCTTAGATTGTACTGTAATTGGAGCATCTTCAATCGAGGTAAACTTTAAAGTATCTGGATGTTGTCGATATTTTTTCTGTTCGGTGAATTAAAAAAAAAGAAAAGAAAAACAATTACATTACTTGCACTGAAGGCTAATATATGAAAACCTTTGAAATTTATTTTGGAGAGACATGACTTTTCCTGATTTTAAAATGTGAAAACACTAGATTTTTGGTTGTTTTTGTTTGTTTGTTTGTTTGTTTTTTGTTGTTGTTGTTTTTGGGGGGTGGGAGTGGGGGGGGGGAGAATGAATACAATGCAAAAGCCATTATTTAAAAATTGACTTAATCTTGGATTTGTAGATACAACTTTTAGGGACCAGACTTTACTCTCTTAATTTCTTGCTTATGACACAAAAGAGGGCACTCTCAGAAAAGCAGAATACAGAAGCATTCCAAATGTTTCTAAAGGATTGAGAGAAAACCATGCAGAAAGACAATTTAGGGTTCTGGGCACTAACAAGTTCTCAGAGATGCCATTTTCCCATCATACCATCAGCAATTAAAATAAAGAAGCTCTCTAGTTGAGCGAGGAGGAATTGGGGAATTGGGACAGTAACTAGGGATTAAAAAACAGAGGAAGTGCCCTAGTTGATTTGGCTCAGTGGATTGTGTGTCAGCCTGGGGACTGAAGGGTCCCAGGTTCAATTCTGGGCAAGGGCACATGCCTGGGTTTTGGGGTTGATGCCCAGTCGGGGGCATGCAAGAGGCAGCTGATTAATGATTTTCTCTCATCACTGATGTTTCTCTCTCTCTCCCTTCCTCTTTGGAATCAATAAAAATGTTTTTGTAGTGCTTTTTTTTTTTTTTTTTTTTTTTTTTTATTTTTTTTTTTATTTATTTTTTTTTTTTAAAGAGAGGAAGTACTTTTGCTCTGCAAGCCATAATATGGTTAGTACATAGATTGTCACCAAAGTGCTGAGAAGTCACATGAGAGGAAACACTGGAAAGTGTTCAAATTGGGAGCTGACTTCTAGCTACCCTTATCGCTATATTCTTCTCTACATATTCTCCCACAATTGCATCACTCTTTCAGCTTCAGACTTCTGACAACGATCAACTCAGAACTTTAAGTTCTGAGTAGATACAATGGTCTTCACCAAAAACAAACAAAAGCACAAAACAACATGAACAACAAAATCTTGAGTGTGGAGGACAACGCTCCCTGAGCACCTCTGCCCCCCGTGTATGTAGTCTAATCTCCTTGATGATGGGTTTGCCTGGCAGGAGCGGGAAGTTTCACTGCAGGCAGAGAAGGGACAGATCACCTGGCTGCTTTGAGGCTGCAAGATCATCGTTGTTCTTTCTTAGACTAGTAAATAATAACTTATATACTATTTCACAGTCATCGTGAATATGACACAAGGTACAATACTTAACACAATTCCTATAATATTCTTTATATACAGTATAACGTGGGAAAATGCACATGTTCACCAACTAGACAACCAAAATGCAACATAGCCACACAAATGAATGCTACTCAATAACAAAAAGAAAGGAGTTGCAGACACACGTAGGTATGTGGATGAACCTTAACAACATTATTCCAAATGAAAGAAGACTGATATAAAGGAATTTTCTAGAAAAGCGGAATACTAGAGACAGAAAGTAGATGAGGGGTTGCCTGGAACTGAAGATGGGAGCAGGAATTTTACAAGGAATCTTTTTGGAGAACTAGCAGAATTTTAAAGTTCGACCGTAATGATGATTGCACAACTTCAGGAACCTTTTCAAACTCATTCAGGCGTCCACTTAACATACCGTATTTTTCGGACCATAAGACGCACTTTTTTCCCCCAGAAGTGGGGGGGAAAAGTCCCTGTGTCTTATGGTCCAAATATAGCCTACACATATACTTTAAAAAAAAAGTTTTTTTACTTGCCCAGCTCTGTGTGGTCTCTGTGTGCTTGCCCGGCTCTAAAATGGTTCTAAATGCTGCTGTTTACTTTACAGGGTTGATTACATGTGTTTATGACTGTGATGTTGGGTTTTAATGCACATAAAATATTTTGGGACACTATTTGTTTCAGAATCTTTTTTTCTTCATTTCCCTTCTCTAAAAACTGGTGCGTCTTATGGTCCGGAGCATCTTATGGTCCGAAAAATACGGTAGTATTTTATGGTACCTTGATAAAGTTGTTAAAATATTTGTGTCATGAATGGTTCCCATACGTGATTTATCTGCCAGAATAATTCATGCATGTGGTTAGTTACCCCCCCTCAGCAACAATTGCTAGCGAATGAAGTGGTAAAGGAGACACTCCCCATGGTTTGGGGAATTTCCTCATGGCACACGCACAAATCTCTCTGTGACAAATGAATGCGCTGGCTTTACCTCATTCAGGATGTCTGAAGCTCTCTTTGCCTTTTCCACTTCTAAGGAGCCATAAGGCACCCAGCCACAGCCTTTCATCCAGCTGTTGTAGTCAGCTTTGTATTCGACCTAGAACACCAAGAGAAAGGTTACATATCTTTTGCTCAGCATCATGCTTATTCATAAAATCATTAATGTGTTAAGATTTCTGATCAGCTTTCTTACTCCAGACATAAAGGTTACTTTAAACATATTCTTGGTGAAAGAATTTAACAGCCCTTAGATTCTCACGGCATATGTTTTATTTAATCTTTATTTCCAACTGTGTGGATGTTCAACCAGGAAAATGCTAATTTCAAAGCTGCATTTTAAGGAATAAATGAAGTTGTTATATTAAGATAATCAAATGTGAGAGGTTTGCTCACAGAGCTCTAAGTATTATTTGTAAATGATCAAATTAGGACTGAAGACCACATTAAAGTTGGATAATTTGGCTCATTTTCTGATAAGAGTTGATAGTAGTTTGCTCTCAAAGCCCTTCATGTATAATAGTCAGCTTAGGAGTGTTTCTACATTGGCTGACAGCACTGTAACACAGTTGTGCTCATTAATTTTTTTATCATTTGGAATTGGTCCTATTTTGAGGACACTTACTTAATATTATTAAAATAATGAGTTACCCTTATTATCCAGCTATGATAGTACCTAAACTTAAACTCTAGATACAAACTTCAAATTGTTTTTTAGTGTGGGCCTTCTAATTAAAATGGAAGAAAAAAATCAAGAAACCATATGGTTCCTACCTGTAAGAGACTTACAATTTATTTGGGAGGAAGAAACATAGCAAAAATTGAACAAATAAATAAGATGGCTATATAAAAAACAGAATTCTTAGTGATGGAAATGCTGGTATCCCATGTTCAAATCGGCATTATTCACACCGCCAAAAGATGGAAGCAACCCAAATGTCTACTGACTGGTCAATGGCTAAACAGAATGTGGAGTAGCATAAAATAGAACTATAGTCGCCTCAAAAAGGTAGGAAACTCTGACAAATGCTACAAGACTGATGAACCTTGTGGACATCACACTAAGTGGTTAGGATTAGGTGAAGCCACTCACAAAAAGACAAATGTGGGATTATTGCATTTATAAGAGGTCTCTAGAGCAGTCCAACTCATAGAAACAGGAAGCAGAAGGGTGTTGCCAGGGGTAGAGAGAGGGAGGAAATGAGGAGTTGTTGTTTCTATGTGTGGAGTTTCAGTTGTGCAAAGTTCTGGAGACTGATTGCACAACAAGGTGAATATAATTAACTGCTACAGAAGTGTAGACTTAAATGGTAAAGATGGCACATTTTATGGTAAGTGTATTTTGCCACATCTTCAGAAAATAGAATTGTTAGGATAAAGTGCTCAATTGTATAGCTCAGACAAATTAATTTGCCTAAAGAAGTTTTGATCTGTGGAAAAAAGTCCAGCTATTATTACAAAAATTTATGCTGTAATTATATATTTTATTTTTAGACAAGATAGAAATCTATGTAAAAAGTATTGATATTGATAATAATCATAGTGAATGTTTTTTGAGAACGCACTCTGTGAAATATTTTTGCAAACATTTAAATCCTCAAAACAGTTGTTTTGTTTTATTCCAATTTTACAAGGAGGACTGTAGACTCAGCAAAATGGATAACTTTCCCTAAGGGAAACAGTGATGGGGTACATCCTAGCCGCAGGTCTCTCCAACTCTGAAGGGCATGTTCTCATAGAACCACAGGGGTAACTGTCCCATTACAGAATTCTCACATACAGAAGATCGTGCAGACACCTGTGAGACATGCCAAAAAACTCACTCCGCCTAGAAATCTTTCTCAGTTCCTACCTTAATTTAGGAGGGACTAGAGGAAATCGGATACTCACATCACTCTGCAGGGCATACGCCTTCTTGGCAAGGTCCAGGTTGATGCTATCGGGCGGGTAGCTGTAACTGTGTGGGACATTCCTGTAGTCCATGTCACTGGCAATTGCCTGAGCTTTCTTAGCCTGAGTGACTTGGAGCATATCAAGAGGTGCCGTGTAGATCGTTTTTGACTTTTCATAGTCTTTATGATATTCACGCTGTGAACAGGAAATTACCAGTTAGTACGTTAATGGATTTCCAGAAAAAGCACAGAGTGCTCTTATAAACAACACATATGAGTTCAGAAAAACAGATCCAAACATCTGAGTAGCTATTTTCCCCCCTAAAATTTGTTCATATGTTACACATTGTTGAAATGCTCCCCAAAATCATACTTGGACAGATCTTCTCAAATCTTTTTAAATCAAAGTACAACTGTCAGACATCAGGAATGGGCCATGGCTTCTGCTTCAGCTAGGTACTACTTTATCTTAAAACAGGGGTTTTCAAAGACTGCTAACAAACGATATGATCTATGGAGGTAACCTATCCTTTTGAAGAGTATTCCAATAAGGAATAGAGAGTTAGAAACATTAGTGAGAGAGAAACACTGGTCAGCTGCCTCCTGCACACCTCCAACTGGGGATGTGCCCACAACTAAGGTACATGCCCTTGACCATAATCAAACCTGGGACCCTTCAGTCCACAGGATGATGCTCTATCCACTGAGCCAAACCAGTCAGGATAGGGATTGTTTTTTTGATTGACCAAAATCACATGACAATAATTTCATACTTCTGGTTTTATAAGATGACTGCTTGATAAACAGAAGTGTACATTTGGTTCTTGGAGTTTTTAAAGTCATCTTTAAATGGATGGTTTCTGATTTTTCAACCTGATTATTCCACATTTGACAGGAGATAACTGGCACTGAGAATCTCAAAGGTTTTTCATACCACGTTTACTTTTGGTAACAATTTAAAAGAAACTTCAGACTGCAGTCGCTGTAACATCTCAAAGGAGAAATGTCTGTGAAGTTAAGCCATTAGAGTAACCTTGGCCCCCTGTACAGTGTTCTCATAAAACAAACGTCCTCACTGAACCTCAGAAGGCACTTCCCTTGGCTGTTTTTCTGGAATGGTTAGCCAGGTCAAAGTCCCAGCTTCATCAACTGCCTTAATGAGAGACAGTTGCCGATAGGAAAATTCTAAACCCATTATATGTCCCCATTGTCATAGAATCATTAAAGACAGTGACCCAAGCTAACAAATATAGATGTGCATTATAACTCTGTAGAAATTCCTTTTGCAAATGATCCAGTCCATTAGGGAATGTGATCTTCCTTCTAATATTTTGTGGGTATTAACTTTCACTGAATACATTTATCACTTAGTTGTAAAATCTTAATTCTAGTTTATAAAAATAAAATGTGAAAACTTTCTGATGGTAGGCAAAAACATTAAAAAAAATGTTAAGATAGTTTGTCTTTATTACAAATAAACTGATAAAGCAATGTTGCAACAGCAGTTGGTGTATGGGAGTGTTTTTAACTCTTTTGTTTATGTTCATATCCGTTCACACATACAGTACCTGCACATATAAAATGTTGTCAAAGGGCCAAAGGGCTTTTAAAGACTCTTTTAAAAAGCTATGCATGTTCTATACCTGCAGCTTAGTATTAAGCCTGGATATTAGGTGATAATGACTCATTAGTGACTTTCTTTTGGATGCCAACATCAGTCAATTAAGAAGTACTTACTGAGCACTATTATGTGCCTAGTGTTCTAATGGGTTTTGTGATAGGATGAAACAAAGATAAATATACATGTGCTCTCAACAGAGAGCTATAACCTTTTTGAGTTAAGAACAGATAAGGAAGTAGAGAATAAAACAGTTTCATGTATATAAGCATGGAATACTGATATAGTTCAGTGTGACGTTATCAGATAAAGTAACTGAATGGGATGTCTTAAAATTTTTTATGAGTAAACGCAAAATGAATGAGAGAAGGCACATACCCGATCACATGAGCTCATGGATAAAAGGAAAGCAAATAATACAAACATCCTTCTATTTAGTAATGAAAAACTAATATTTGAAAGCTATTTGAACATTCTTAGCACTCTTATGTGATTCTCTAAACATTTTTAAAATACATCAGATGCTGCAATTTACAATAGTAGATGCTTGTTTCTCTATAGTAAGAATTTTAAACAAAAGATAATAGATGGTCCAGCCTTAGGAAAACCATAGGAAAAGCCATAAATTCTCTGAAAAGCAGGCAAAAGGCATGAAAAAAAGTTTGTTTATCCAGATGGATAATCCAAATACTTTATCAGATTCTCAAAGGGGACTATAATTAATGAGCATTTTTCTAGGCCAATACTAATTACCAAATTATCAACAAAGAGCAATGATAGCTATACTAAGATTTTTATCTGTTGACTCAAGATTTTCTTCCAAAATAAAAGCAGTTTTAAAATCATGATTTGAAAGGTTATTTTTCAATTAGAAGAAAATATGACAACACCTCCTGATGTTTTCCAAAAGGTTTTAAGAATTACAACCAATATTCTATTAAATATCAACATATTTTTCAAAGTGAATGCACATCAAGTACAAAGCAATCATTTTCCTCCTCCATCATGAGAGGTGTAAGAATCTGGGAGATCATGCCCTTTCTAAAGTTCTCCCCAGTAGTTTGTTGTTTTGAACCTGAAAGGTCCAGGGATAAAGAATCCTTTTACTTGCTCCTGCCCTTGGGCATGTTAACAGGGATGCCATCTTGAAAGCGAGACAGACTGACAAAAGCACTCACATCACTCTGCATTTTCGCCGTCTTCAGAGAGTGCAGCATCTTGGGGTCATCATTAATGCTGAGGGCTCCGATCATTTTGCCCCTGTTCTTCTCATAGTCTTTCTTGTACATCACCTGCAAAGACATTACACACGTCAGCCCCCTCTCATCAGGGGACAGCACCCAAGTCCCCCAGCCCAGGTCCTGGGCCATACTCACCTCACTAGCATTCTTGCTGTTGGCTTTGGCTGCCAGCAGGGGAATGGCATCCACTTTAATGTCAAATTTCTTAGCTTTGGTCTTCTCCCAGTCGTGCTTATAAACATTCTGGACAGGAAAATTTCAGTAAAGGAATTGTGAAAACATCTAACACAGATTCACCCAGTAAAAATAAAAACACTGAAAATGTGCATCTGTGGATTTACTTCCCTATATTATATATAGTATACTTACCAAATGGTAATATATTACTAATTTACCTATCATCCAGCTTCACCCCCAACTACCAAATAAGTATTACATCCTTGTTCTAATGTCCTCTGAACTTCCTGAAGACTCTGCTGTCTTGATGTATAAAGGATAATATAAAATAGAAACCACCAGGAGGTGAAATATGACGTTCTCGTGGGAGAGATCTTGTAAAACTCTAGGGATTAGAGGAGGGGTAACAGAGAATGTTTCTGACAGTAACAGAGACTGTGGTAAATGAAATCTGGTAACTAAGTAAGATCTTTAAGGGTACTTAGGTCTTAACAACTCTGCTTACACTGATAACAACCTCATAGTTGTGTATTTGCATAGCTCTTAATCCTGCCTTTTTGAGCACCTGCGGCACTGCCTCTTTTCGTGGGCATATAAACAAACACAGGCCTCTGTGGCTTTGGTACTCACGTCACTCAGGTTATAGGCGTTGACTCTGTGCTGGATAAACTGCGGAGCGTCTGCTGGCACGTGGCACTTAAACTTCTCGCCTTCGTGTTTTGCTTTGTAATTCAGCTGAAACACAGTAAAGAGTGGCCAAACAGTTCAGGATAGGCACTTCTTTAAATTTATGTAGAAGAATATGTATCGCTAAGTCATCACTACCATTTTGGTGGGTTTTGTTTTTGTTTTTTAATGCCTCAAAGAAAGACTCAATCCCATTGAAGTGCAGCCCAGAGCCCAGATGCTCAGTCCCTCTTTCGGGGCTTGAGGTATAACCAAACTTTGGGTTGTCATTTTGTAAATCCAATATGTACATGGAAAACGTACTGTCTGATCTATACTTCTAGGCTGTACCTTGAAGGCACCAATATCCCGAATCTATGAAATTGTGTAAGAGCACTACCAATAACACTAATAATTCTAAATAACATGCTAGCAGAGTTAAAAAGATATATAAATTCTTATTAAAAATATAAAATATAGGACTTTATTTAAAATTTTAGAAGTTACATTAGGTGGAAGGAAGGGAACATCAAGAGCAAACAGGGCTGTTGAATTGTGGAGGTGGAGGTGAATGGACAAGATGGAGACGGATTGTGCAATAAGCATCTTCAGGTTCAGTGGGGTCAGTGGTATTAATGATTAGCTGTTCTTTCTGGGGCACAAAATGGTAATATGCCAGGAACCATTGCATATGAACCAGTGTGACTTCTGGGTTATAATGATGCCATTCCCTTCTTTACCCATGGCACATGAGCGAATTTTATGCCGTTGAAACACGTTTCATAGAAGGGCAATCTGGATGTTTCCATTTACTGTCTTGAGAATGATGAGCAGCTCCTCAGCATTTAGCTGTGTTAGCTCCTGGCTGCTCGATTGGGTCTACCAATCAGCAGCATCGGCGTCACCTAGAGCAGTGGTCGGCAAACTGCGGCTCTTTGGTCCCTTGAGTTTTTAGCAAAGGCCAGCTTAGGAGTACCCTAATTAAGTTAATAACAATGTACCTACCCATATAGTTTAAGTTTAAAAAATTTGGCTCTCAAAAGAAATTTCAATCCTTGTACTGTTGAAATTTGGCTCTGTTGACTAATGAGTTTGCCGACTGACCTAGAGCTTATCTGAGTCAGACGTACTGAATCAGAATCTGTATTTTAACAGGGGCACTGGGCAACCCATATGACTGTGAATGTTTTGAGAAAAACGGCAGCTTTCCCCTGATCTTAGTAGGGCAAACCATTATGCCATCGATCTTCCCTGACCACCCAATTTAAAGTGTCCAACCAGTCACTCTACTTCTGTCATTCTATTTTAATTCTTTAACTCCATCCTATATTTGTTTTATTAAAAATTATTGTCTGATATCTTTCTCATTTCTGTGCTCTTTTTCTCATTGTAAAGTCTTTGATAGGCAACTTAAGAATGGGAAATGCTTGCCTTGTTAGCTACTCAAGTGAATGCTTCTGTTGTTTATTTACGTTACCATGGAATTTTAGTATGCATTATTTTTGGTATGATCCTGATGAGAAAATTCTCACTAAAAATTAATGAGTAGTTGAATAAAATTACTAGATATTTTAATTATTATCTAACATCATTTTTCCTGAGGCTTCAATTCAATCTAGCTGTTACTTATTTCTACAGAAACCATCCCCTCCTTTATCTCCTACCATTGCACCTCTTAGTACTTATTGCCCCCCTCCCCAGTATGCTTTGGCCACTTCATTCCAAGATTTTAAAGAAATCTTGAAAAATGACATAGTTGGGATGATGGATACACGCATGAAGATTAAGCATGTAAATGCTTACGGTTCAAACAATCAAGGCATTCTGGGCCACCCACAAGCTCATCAATCAAGGCACTTACATCACTAAGCTGCTTCGTGTTGAGCTGGGCTTGCAGCAGTACCGGAGTATCAGTGACGGCTGTGAACTTGGTCTTATCTGGATGAAGTTTGTAGGCATGCTAGAAGAGATTTTATTTAATGAGATTTTATGATATATTTTGTTTTCTTGTTCATATACACACATATAAAACATATATATAAACATAGAAAAAGTTTCCAGCCAAAAATAGCACCCCCCACCCACCCCTCTTCTCTCCCTCTCTCTCTCTTCTGAAGTTGCTTCTAAACTGGTTCCCCTGCTACAGTTAGCAATCAGATTCATCTTCCCCATGCTGAAGCCCTACATGGCTCTTCACTGGTCTTGATATTCACTCTAAACTGTATCTTGGCTTATAAGTTCTACCTTACAGAAACCACTCTTCCTTCATCTTCCATTTCATCTCATACTACTCAATACACTTCAACCACCTCATCCCTTCAACCTTTAATGCCAAGCTTGTTCTCTCCTTGGGCTGTTCTCATTGCTGCTCTTACCTTGATCTTGGCATGGCTACCTTAGACTTTCCTTGACTATCCAATCTACAAGTCCATGAATCCCTCTCTCCCATAGACACCTATTTTCATTCTGTAGCATTCACTCTGTGTCAGCTGTCTTAATGCCTGACATCTTTATCTTTTTTGTTCTGTGCTCTTTGTTCATCTGTATCTCCTACACAAATGCACACTCTATGAGAGGCAGCCAACCTCGTCAGCACCGAGGACAGCATTTGGCACAAATTTGTTGGATGAACACCCATTGCTCACAAATCTTAGAGTCCTCCATTTCCCTTGGGGTCATATATGCACTAATGGAAACAAAGATTTCTGAAACATGAAATTATTTTGTAACTAATAGGCTTCTTCACAGTCATTTTTGTGCTCCCTAATTCCACCCACAAACCAAAATTTAAAATGTAATGCCTCCAAATAGCATTTAAATTCCTGCTCAACTTACCACTAGATGGCACAAGCATTCCAAACCCAATTTCAGAAATTTACTGCAGCACTTACGTCTTTACACTGGTCTAGCTTCTTGATTGCCTCATATTCTTGTGTGATTGTCTGAGGGAAATAGCATTTCCCTCTATCTTCCTCATATTCTGCTTTGTAATTTTTCTGTAATGAGAAAGAACGAAAACGGATGATGACTGCTACTGCTCCCAGTGTCACTACAAGGCACGAACAATTGTCTTCAGGCTTACCTCACTGTTCTGTGCTGAAACTTTCATGCAGTGTGTTTCATATGGGTCTTCAAAACTGCCTATGTAATGTCCCAGAATATTCTGTACATACTTATCTTTATATTTAGTCTGAAAAAGGAAACATGTGTAATTCAAATGGACAGTTATTTGTCAGACAGGGGAAGCCCCCCAACCCCAGAGGTTGGCACAGCCTTTCGAACCTCACTGAAGCTCTTCAGCAGCGTATCAAGTTGGTACTTAGGGGTCTCACAGTAATTCATGCTCTTTGCCTTTGTCTTCTCATAGTTTTCCTTGTACAATCTCTGTCAAAAGAAAAAGAAAATCAAACGAAGGGAAACACTCCCATGGTGTAAATGCCATTCATTCACATCATTGCTGTATTTTTTTCAGTATAAATTTTGCACAAAGCAAAAAAGCAGGATGAGCACAGGAGAGGCTCATGTCTTGTATAATCTAGTCTGCTGATAAGGATAAATATATTTGCTTTACTTATCCTAATATTTCTCAGCTGGGATAAAGCAGTGCACACAAGTGCTGCTGTCTAAGCAACTTTTGGTCTTGAAACAATTCTTTCCTCTTGAGTGTATGAAGGACAATTACTTTTTTAAAAGTTGGAAAAATGAGATAAAATGTGTAAAGTGAGCCTTAGATACTGAGGCACAGTCTTTTTTTAAAATATATATTTTTATTGATTTACGAGAGAGAAAGGGAGAGGGAGAGATAGAAGCATCAATGATGGGAGAGAATCATTGATTGGCTGCCCTTGACCAGAAATGTGCAGGCCCATGCTCTATCCACTGAGCCTTGGCCTAGAACTAGGTACAGTCATAAGAAAGTATTTAGTTCAGCACTTGATGAAAACCTCTGTAAGTTACCTTTTATCATTAAGGGCTGATATTTTACTTTATAGTAACAATACATGAAAAAATGGGGTTTCTATTTTATTGTATGTATCATATTTCTTCATATTCTTTGTAATTTTCTCATATAGAAATGGAAAAAAATACTAAAGACAGAACTACTTATAAATGATACAGAATAGGAATTATTTAATTTTTTAAAAATATATTTTATTGATTTTTTACAGAGAGGAAGAGAGAGGAATAGAAAGTTAGAAACATCGATGAGAGAGACATCGATCAGCTGCCTCTTGCACACCTTCCACTGGGAATGCGCCTGCAACCAAGGTACATGCTCTTGACTGGAATCGAACCTGGGACCTTTCAGTCCGCAGACCGATGCTCTATCCACTGAGCCAAACCGGTTTCGGCAAATTATTTAATTTTTGATATTAATTAGAAAAGCAATTTTGTAAATAGTTTTATTTTATATATAATAAGTATTCTAAAGGTATTCAAATAAGATCAGAAAAAATAAAATGAAATCAGTATTTTGTAAAATTCTTAAAATAATTTGCTTTTGAAGTTATGCTTCATCTAGTTATTCCTACTTTGTCTTTAGCCTGATTTCTCACTTTTTGCCTTTTATTTACTTACTTGTCCTTACCTGAGGATATGTTTATTGATTTTTAGAGAGAGGAAGGGAGAGAGAGAAAAAAACATCCATTTGAGGGAAACATCATCAGTTGTCTCTCGTATGTGCCCTAATCGGAGATCGAATCCACAACCTTCTGGTGTATGGGACAATGTTCCAACAAACTGAGTCACCCTGCCAAGGCTGCCTTTTACTTTTCTCTGTGTATTTTTGTAAAGTGCCTTTTGTCAGGGCATGGCATGGAATGAACACGTGTTCATACATCCTGAGACACTAAGCTCATTTCTAGGAAAAGCAATACAGAAAATGATATTGCTGGTAACATTTCCTCCTGCTAAAACAGAAGGCAATAAGGAGATGATGGGGGAATCTTTACAATATTCACTGGTGTCTAAAAATACAGACACATCATAAAAACGAGGAAGTTAACCATCCTCTGCCACGGGGCTTTCCTGTTTGACTCATCATCCTGAATCTGAGATTTCACTTAGACTAACACCACAGCCAAGGTTACATTAAACAGCAAGTGCGGCCACATCTGAAAATCAGGGGGACTGACGAGAGCACTCACATCACTCTGCATTTTGCCCGTCTTCAGAGAGTGCAGCATCTTGGGGTCATCATTAATGCTGAGGGCTCCGATCATTTTGCCCCTGTTCTTCTCATAGTCTTTCTTGTACATCACCTGCAAAGACATTACACACGTCAGCTCCCTCTCATCAGGGAACAACACCGAGTCCCCAGCCCAGGTCCCGGGCCATACTCACTTCACTAGCATTCTTGCTGTTGGCTTTGGCTGCCAGCAGGGGAATGGCATCCACTTTAATGTCAAATTTCTTAGCTTTGGTCTTCTCCCAGTCGTGCTTATAAACATTCTGGACAGGAAAATTTTAATAAAGGAATTGACAAAAGGGATCTATCTGCATGTTATCACACTTTGAAGACTATAAGGTAACCCAATACTTTTGTCTTACTATAAAATAAAGGGACTGTGTTCATTGTCCACAAAATCGTGCATGTTTTAAATACTTCTCCTCAAGCTGAAGCTTCTAACTACAAGATTAACCTTTTCTGCTCTCCATTAGAACATTTCATCAAATTAACTTAATTTTAGTAATCATACTAATCTATGATTCCTAACACTGGGTATTTTATAGGATGGCACAAATATTTTACAGTTAACTTTTTATGGTATGAAAGCATTGTTTTAATTTGACCTCAAAATCCTCTGCAAAGCTTATTTTATGAATTATTATAGTACTCATTGTTGTTGGATAATATTAGCACTCATTTATAGGATTGTTGAAGAAATGGAAACCCCTAAGGGTAATTGGACTTTCCAGTAAGAACTAAGTCTGAAAATAAAAGATGGCACTGGATACTTGTACTTATGCCTTTTGAATACCTTATATCTTCCTAAGTGCAAGGACTCTTACATGTAGAAATGAGATCATTCATGTGAAACAAGAAACATTATGGGCTTGGGGAATAAATGAAACAACGCTCAATCTTTAAAAAATCAAATCCTGGAAGAAAATTAAACATAGTATAATACAAATGAATATTTGACTAACAGATCTAACATCAAATTGCAATTAGACACACATGAGTGGTGGCATTTTGAAGGCTGGTTAAAATCTATTAGGACTGTCTGATTGTATGAAGCTACTGACATGATTGCTACACACATTTTATGAGGTAAAGCCAAAGTTACATTGGCAGAGACAGAGGAACAGGGTACAAATGTTACATGTTCATCCCATCTTTAGCATTATGTTTATTTAGTGAAACAGTTAACAAATAAAAGCACAAGTTGTCTGTTTATCGCATGGCATAGCGGTAAGGAACTCACATCGCTCAGATTATAAGCGTTGACTCTGTGCTGGATAAAGGCCGGAGTATCTGGAGGTATATGGCACTTGAACTTTTCACTTTCATGTTTCGCTTTGTAATTTAGCTGAAAGAGAGAGAGAGAGAAAGAGAGAGAGAGAGAGCGAGCTAGCTTAGTTTGGAAGAAGAATTCTCCTAAGTACAAAAACTAATTTTCACTAAAGAAAATGTAAAATACATTTTGTTAAATAACACCTGACAAAGTTGTTAAGGTTAAAAGAGAAAGTCGGAGGGAGGGTAGGCCACCTCACATTATTGACAACCGTATGCTGGACGCATGACTGCTATTGTCACATCTGTTACCCTGGAAGGACACAAGTGGAGGGAGGTGGCTCTTTCATACGTGGTCCCCTTCCCATATATCACAATTGGCCCTGTGGATTCTGAGAGGACAGCCCTTTCAAATCTTTTCTTACAGATACAGGGAGGGGCAGAAATAGGGTTGCTTATGTGGAAAATAATACAACACTTAATAAGTAATATTTTGCATACTCACAACTATAAGCTTCCTTTTGCCCTACCCAGTATGATTATGGCCCTGTGCAAATATTATGGTTTGTTGATATTCCAAAGCCTTTCATTTCTGGCCATGTATCTGAGGTTACTTTTATTTTTTAGTTCAATATAAGTTTGGAAATTCAGGCTTAAAACTTAGATGATAAAACTTATTACAAACACTCCATTTTCCAAAAAACGCATTTGAGAGAGAAAAATCCCAGGTGTTAAATACCTGCTCTGGGCCAGGATGTGGACTACGCACACATCTCCTCTCACTTAATTTTCAAAACAACCACAAGTTTTAAAAAGTAAATATGAGGCCTGAGAAGTTAAGTGATTTGCCTAGACAGCTGGAAATTGAGTTCAGTTTTGACTTCAGAACTCATGTTCCCTTCAGGGCATTGAGCTGCACCAGTCTCCGTTATAGAACCATTTTACTAGAATTATTATCCACCCAAGAAGACGGGGAAGATAAAAGACAACTAAATGGGAAAATATTTTAGGTGATCACACAAATATACAACTTACAGAGCGTTTTGTGTAACTGTGACTGGGTTTTCTGTATAGAGTTATGCTACATTTCCCCCCATGACGGCATTGCCTGGGTGGGGAGAGGAACTTACATCACTCAGCTGTTTGGCATTGATCTGGGCTTGCAGCTGAACAGGCGAGTCGGTTACTTGAGTGAATTTTGTCTTATCTGGATGGACTCTGTAGGTGTGCTGTGGGCGAGGAAAGGAATCGAGGTTAGCAATATCACCTGTCAAAACCACGGTGGCCGTTAGGATGGATGAGCAGAACCTGTCGTTAATAAAACATTTTTTTTTCCTAATTAGACTGTGGCATCTGTGAGAGACACTTTTACACTGCACAAGAAATTCTCCCATATCTTCAGATGCCCAATAACTCTTCTTAGGGAAAATCAGCTAGAATTAGCTCTTGAAATGTATGGACGATAGAAAAAATAGTACATCTACTGTAAGATAAATTTTCTTTCAATTTTCTGAGTTGCATTTCTTTGTAAAAGTGTCCGAATTTTAAACATATCTTGACCTCGAGATGCCATGGAGGGGAGTCACACCCGCAGTGCACACCACTGACTTACATCCTTACACTGATCCAGTTTCTTCATAGTTTCATACTCCTGAGTTATGGTCTGGGGGAAGAAGCCTTTGCCTCTGTCCTCTTCATAATCTGCTCTGTAGTTTTTCTACAAGGAAAAGAAATCAACATGAGGATGCAACCATTGTGTTCATGTAATTTAGAAAGTGAAGCAATTGTCTTAGCACTTACATCACTGTTTTGAGCCGTGACTTTCATGCAGTGTGCATAATACGGATCTTCATAGCTGCCTACATAATGTCCCAAAATATTCTTTAAGTAGGAATCTCTATATTGAGTCTAAAAAACAAGGCATTTCATTTAGTTATTTGTGAAATGATGGGTCTTTTTCTTTAACAGGAGTGGTTGTAGGGTTGCTTACATCACTGCTGAATTTCTTGAGAACTGAGTCCAGCTGAAATTTGGGCGTCTCGCAGTAATTTATGCTCCTTGCCTTTGTCTTTTCATAGTTTTCCTTGTACCGTTTCTGTAAAGAAAGAAAATTTGTTAGATTCTTGTCACTCCCATGCTGATGATAGCACTCGTATTTTCCAGCACTAAGTCAAAGAAGAAGAAGAAATAGTGCCTATTAACTGCCTGAAAAACTGGCAATTAGATGCTAGAGGTGTCACGAATGATGAGCCTTTTCTATTTGTAATTATTGTGAGGCCTAGTGTGTGTGTGTGTGTGTGTGTGTGTATGTGTGTTTAATATATTTTATTGATTTTTTTTTTTTTTTTTTTTTTTTTTTTTTTTTTTTTTTTTTTTTTTTTTTTTTTACAGAGAGGAAGGGAGAGGGAGAGAGAGTCAGAAACATCGATGAGAGAGAAACATCTATCAGCTTCCTCCTGCACACTGGGGATGTGCCCACAACTAAGATACATGCCCTTGACTGGAATCAAATCTGGGACCCTTGAGTTGCAGGCTGATGATCTACCCACTGAGCCAAATCAGTCAGGGTGAGGCCTAAGTTTTTAATGTTCTTCAAAAAATTAAGAAGCCAAGAAGCTGCCTCTTAGCAAGCCCTTAGTTACAGAGATTCTTGCATATTTCTGAATTGCTGTTCTCTGTCTCCCAACTCACATACCTTTTCCTCACACAGGTGCCACAATGAACAGGAATAGCGAATTTTTCATTTTTTTAAACAACCCTTCATGAAAGACTCGGTAAATGCTGAGAAATACACACTCTCTCTTCCTCCTTCTACCAAGGAAAAATTTTGTACTGTACCATAAAATAAAGTATATTTAAGAACTCATATCACGAATCCACGAAACTCCTCTTCCCCGCTGGGATTCATCTTTTCTCTGTAACAATGACCACAAACCATGATTGGAGTGCAGATGCACAACTGAGACAGCAGGCTGCTGTCAGTTTTCCACATTTGGATTTGCAATTGTGAATGGTGCTATTCGTTTTTAATATTTTTATATTCCCGCCTTTATCAGCAGAGTGGATGTCAACCTTGGCCTCTCTCTCTCTCTCTCTCTCTCTCTCTCTCTCTCTTCTGTCACTCACTCACCCCACTTCTCAATATCATGTGTTCATCTCCACAGTGCTGACAACCCAGGGAACAAAGAAACGATAACTAATTCACCCAGAGAGCCACATATAACCCTCAAACGTTGGGAAAACTTAATATAACCATAAGGGGAAAAACTCAACTGATCACGTGGTCAGTCTCTTTAAACATATAGTCAAAGTCGACTGGGGCTGCTAAGGCCAGGGCCAGTTCTTACTTATCTAATCTATTTTAATCCAAATGGATTAGTAAAGCTCTTGACAATTCCAAGTAGTAATTCCTGTGAAGAGTTAGGGAGCAGCCTTCTAGGTCCTGCTGTCTGCAGGTGATGGTTTCTGTGGCCAAGGTCTGAGGAGACAATGGCAGAGCTGGGGGAGCAGCTGTACAACAGGAGCATATCCCACCTTCTCCCAGCAGCCGGCATGAGGAACCCAAGGGCAGGGCACAGAGCTGTGTCATCTCTCTTCTCTCCTCTCTCTTTCTCTCTCTCTCTCTCTCTCTCTCTCTCTCTCTCTCTCTCTCTCTCTCTCTCAAAATCCACCTCTTTCAAAATCTCCTTCTGCCTAAAAGCACAGCATGTCTCCTACAATAGACTCTACTCAGGGAGGCCCAAACACCTGCAGCCTGGAAGCATGTGAGGATTTCCCTGCCCCTTGGCCTTGATCCACAGCCCCCACCCCCACAAATGGACACGTCATGCTCAGAGGCACCACGGCCTTCCTGTGGTTAGATGGTTCTGGGGGAACGGCTGCACCAAAACCTGAAAGCATTTGCAAAGTTATGTTTGCATTTAGTCACGATAGAAAAGGAGAGAGTTTGTCTCTCGTTCAGCTAAGGTTAAAACACACCACACACACACACACACACACACACACACACACACACACACACTTTTTGATAAGAATATGCTTACATCACTTAGCGTATTTCCTGCTGCCATCATCTGCCTCAGCAGTGGGTTCTCTGAAGCAGGAAGTACATTGTAATCTGCTTTTCCTTTATCCTTTTCGTAGTTTTCTTTGTATTTTACCTGTGGGAGTGAAACAAAATGTTAAGCTCTGCAGGTTATTTTTACTCTCATCTCTATTATGAATATTATGACATAGTTCCACAAATCAATTTTCTCTCTAGAAAAAATGGCAGCTTGACATTTTATAAACAAAATACTCATAGAAACTCATAACAGGAGCAGAGAAACTGCATACATTTCCAAAATAGCTTTTATTCCCACTCATTTATTCATTCAAAAATCTCCATTATGGTATTTTTTCAGTATCAATTACATGTCAGGCTCTGGGACACATACAAGGAAGAATAACACATGGTCTCTGCCCTAAAAGATACATTAAGTACAGGCTCGCTCACACGCATGGCCACAGATGAGACACGAAAGAGTAGATTCATGGTGCTTTCTTTCTTTCTTTAAAAATTGTTGATGGATAGGCAGCTGGACGTTAAGAGCTGAATGAGGGTTCTGAAGCAGCAGGCATCTGGGATATGTGCTGTCATTATTGTGTATCTTTCCGCCATTATTTATATACTTATCTACCTGTATCTTTTAGGGCAGGGACCATGTGCTCTGACTGGGAATTGAACCAGTGACCTCTTGGTGCATGGGTCAATGCTCAACCACAGAGCCACACCAACTGGGTGAAAACCTCACTGTTTTGCACCTGGATACTGAAACAGCCTCTTACATTATGCAATCTTTCTCCTCTCACTCCTCCAGCACAGCCAAAGCCAGCAATAGAATCTAGTCTGTTTGGCTTTGCAGTTTATGCTCTTTCTAGTATCCAGCCTGCTCTAGAATTCCAAGGCGTCTGATGATTGACCAAAGCATGCCTGAGTCTATCCATGGATTCATGTATGTTGTCTATGACTAGATTTCCACCAGTTCATCAAAATGCAAGAAAAATAATGGTAGTGATGAGTGTGGAAGGGTCTATATTCAACTTCCTTTTCCTGAGGAGGTCTTAAGACCCCTCTTCTGCATTATATATGAAATTATAGCATTTCTACTTTCTGGGCATCAAAAGACCTCTACTATATGAGATTTGAGGATGGTAACTGGATATTGTCAATGCTCATACACAGTAAAAACATTTTTTAAATCTGGTAGTCCTATTACAATCCAAAAGTACTTTTTTGCCCCTTAAAAACCCTCTTTTTTTTTCTGTATTACATATAAAAACAAGAGTTATAAGAAGTTCACCCACACTGAGGTGATCCAGATAAATGAGAGAATTTCCTCATACCTTGCTAGCTGCCACCCCGGCTTGTTTATTCATTTTGTACTCCGGTGTTTCCGTCTGCATGAAGTAGATCTGGTCTTTCATGTTCTCAAATTTTTCATGATATTTCCTCTGTAAGACATGAAACATACTGAAGAACTCTATGGGGGGAAACTGCGAAAGGCTTTTACATTGGGGAAAGAGGCCATTTAGAGAAGATACCCAATGCTGGCTTACACACGTTCAATTACAAGTACAAAACCTGGTGTCATCACCAAAGCAATTAGCAACTTAACAGACGTTTGGAGAAGTGACAATAGGTGAAAGACTCCCAAAAGAGGCTCTCAAAGGCTGGACAAAGACCTTAAGAGGAAGTCTGTTTCCCAGTGAGGAAAATCTGGGAATAGACTCATCAGTTTCATACATGTACTGTTTAGGTTCCCAGCAAAGAGTAAATTTAAAAGGACTCTTTTGACCGGTACTCACTTTGACACCATATTGTTCCTATGAGAACTGAAGCAAGAATAATGAATGGTATCTGATCAAAAAAATATTTCTCAAAAAAAGAAAAGGGAAGATTGCGGTATTTCTTTTCTTAATAAGAACTCTCTGGTGGCTAGAAATATAAAGGATGGGTCCCCTCTCAGACTAGTGCTATTCAGCCATCCCTGTCTACTTACTGTGCTGAAGTTTTCAGCATTTGTCCTGGCGGCTGCAATTTCAAAGCAAGGTGTCTCACTCCATTTGCCTTTGACTTTGTTTTCATAGTCTTGCTTGTATTTTAGCTAGCAGAAAAGAAGACAAGCAAAATCCAGGATTTAACAAAGAAGAGTGCAAATCAAGTGGTAATGGTTAGCTTTCAAAACTATGCTGATTAGACTTTTTGTGGGTCCTTAAGAGATGTCTTCAAATCTTCCAATACAGTGTCCATTTACCCAATCAGAAAGCTGAATGAGGGAGATGGAGGTATTAATTCCACCTCCTCTCCCTGAGTTTGGGGACTTAGTTCATTTCAGAACTCACAGGTGTTCCCTGATGTTTGAAGAAGGAGAGAGACAGAAGTATCTTCCATTTGTAATTAATTGTTATAATAAAACCACTCAAGCCGAAACCGGTTTGGCTCAGTGGTAGAGCATCGGTCTGCAGACTGAAAAGTCCCAGGTTCGATTCCGGTCAAGAGCATGTACATTGGTTGCGGGCACATCCCCAGTAGAGGGTTTGCAAGAGGCAGCTGGTCAATGTTTCTCTCTCATCGACGTTCCTAGCTCTCTATCTCTCTCCCTTCCTCTCTGTAAAAAATCAATATAATATATATTTTTTAAAATAAAAAATAAATTAAAAAAGCACTCAACCCCAATTTTCCATGCCAAATGAACTTAGCCATTACTTTGTGAGCTTTAACAAAACCTTGAGTTATATAGAAAGCAATACAACTAACAAAATTTGGCTTGAAGGCCAATGAATAAGACTCGTTTAGACTTCAAGAAATTTTAGTGAGAACTGGAAAGTAATTAAAAAAATTAAACTGGGATGTTGGAAGCTGCCCATTGCCTTCACTAGCAGAGAGGTGTGGACAAGGAACCCGGAAGGCTGGTTAACCTTGAAGGCTCTAAAAGCTCAGAGCCACGCACCAGCACCCACCGTCTAGTTGAGACAAAGGGAGCTGAAGCAACTCCCACCTTTTAGTCTTACGTAAAGCCTTGCTAAGGGCTATCATGGAGCTATTACTGGAACTGCCTGCCTAAGGGCCATGGGTGTATCCCAGACCTGAATAAAAGGGATGGCAAGGCCAGAGCAAAACAGAGTCCTTCTTCTTGAGCTGGGCTCCCCCGCCTTGTCCCCAATTCCCAAATTTATATTTTCATGTCTAGTCTCTTTTATTTGTGTGCTGCCTCCTCCAGAACCTGAACCCTGAACCACACTGGACTTTTTTTGGGGGGGCAGGGTGGGGGGGCAGGGAGGGGAGACACTCGCTCTGGGATGTATTCATGGGTCCCAGACACCATAGCACCAGAGTCCTAGGCTGTGAAAGCCTTGGAGGGAGGAGTTATGTATTCTTCATTTTGCATCCTCAGAATCTGATACAACTGCAGCATGCAGAACTTCCCTTATAAATATTTGTTCAACCGCACTAAATTGAACTGAGTCCATGGTATGTGGTTTCAAACGACCTTGGCTCGAGTGTTATTTGAATTAGCCTAGCCAAGCCCAAACCTGGGCACATGAGCCGGAGTCAGAGCTGGGTTAGAGCAGTTTCCCCTCCTTGGCTCACAGAATGTGTTAACAGACATAACCAATGTGTTTTAAAGTGTTTGAATGCCCAACCTCTCCCTCCCCCATTACACACTTCAAGGAAAAAGAAAGTGGTTTTCTAATACACATTTAGCAGAACAAGCATTAAGGGTAACATGTGTAAAGACAGTGAGTTTGAGGTAAAGGAATTCCACCCCTCTCTCAAATGCCCTCCGTCCTTCCTTCTCAAAAGGTTAATATGCTAATTAATAACTAAGTGGTTTTAATAGCTATACTTTTAAGAGCTCTGGACCTAAATTCAGAAGCTCTGGGCCCACAGCTTCACGCCATCATTTCCAAAGGTGTAACTTAGTCTCTCTAAGCTTCAGTTTTCTTAACCATATGTACTGACAATAATACATACACAGAGGATTGTTGGGAATTTTAAATAAGATCATACATACATTGAAGAATGGTTTATAAACTCTACAGTGATAAACAAATGTGAGGTGTAATGATTGTAACATAGCAGAGAGTAAGAAAATCTGAAGAAAAAAAAGTGTGTGTGTGTGTGTGTGTGTGTGTGTGTGTATTCTTCAATGGAAAGTTTTGCTGAGATAAAATTTGCTTTATACTGCTGATTAGTTTGCCTACTCTTCTTTTTTGAAACTTTAAAGAACTGAAGTCAATAAAAACTGATTTTTCAATTTGTTAAGACAGCCTACAGAAATGTTTCTAAAGGTCTTAGAGAATAGACCTTATCGGGAATTTGAGAAAACTATAAAAGGCCCATAAATACTTACAACTTCAGAGATACTTGAAGTGCACACACCAGAGGTTAAGATCTATTGCAGAGATGCTGCCATTCCTCTGCCTGCTGTCAAAGGCAGAAAACTCTAGGGTTGGGGGCTGGGAGCAGTTGGGCCCGATGCACCCCCAAACTGAGAAATAGAGAACTTTATAATAAAATCTAAGGTTGAGAAGGCAGCAAATATTCTTAGTGAGGTCCCAAAGTAGGCTATTATTTAGAACTAAGGATCACATATGCATATTTGTTAAGCAAAATCGAGTAGGAGATTAATTCTCACAGTAAGAGATGAATGTCCGATGTTTTTAAACATATTAAACCAAGATGCAGAACGAGACTGGAAGACTACCTTATCCAGAGTCCTTCCCTTTTCTCTTCCTTCATGAATCAAAGTTTGTAATTCCCTCCTACCCAGAACCCAAGGGGGTCAGGGTGGAGGCAGGTCTCTCACAATCCATTCCTGAGTCCTCCCAAGTCTGGGAAGATTTTCACTATGAGAGAGGAGGCTGCTGCTTGTTATTTGCCGAGCAAGGTATGGCCTTCCTTTTTGCAGCCCAATTTAGTCAAGAGACTCATCATAAGGGAGTTTGAAAGTGATTTTAGGAATCATTTTCAAATACCCACAGTGCATACTTAATAAGACAAAAGAATGTTGTCTTAGTAAGATATCGTTTAAAATAGGTTTTAAATAAAAAGATTTATTTTTCTTTCTAAATGACTATTTGAAATCAGGTTTTTCTTTTTCTTCCAAAAAAATTAATGGTCTTTGCTCCCCTGATTTTATTTACAATGTCAACCCTTTCAGTAGGCCATCTCTTTATGAACAGTTCTGAAGTTAATTTCTGCTTAGCCCTGGGCAAAATCTCAGATTCATGATATTCCAATTAGTGAAATTCTACTGTACATAAAAATTTAAGAACAAACTGTGATTCAACTCCACAGAGGGCAAAGAAAAGTATTTATTTAAAAGCAGCCATATCCCAGGAGAAAGTGGCCTGATTTGGACCAATTTTTAAAAGGGTATTTATCAGGGATTTATTCATCTGCTGAACATCTGTCTCTCTGCATTCCTCAGAGCTAGTTTACCAGCCTAAATATAGGCTGCCCAGGCTGTTTGCCAGGGCCTTGCAAGTTAAGAGGTGCCCTTCCCACAGCTGTCAATCTAAGCTATGTCTGAGAGACCCCTCATACATTCTTATTTTCTCCAAGTCTGACTGAGAGCATAAAACTATATGGGGTCTTCACACTGGGTTAAAACAGATTCCATGTGGTTACTAGGTCATCTGTTCATATCACTTCCATAAGTCAAATGTCAAAGGATATTAGGACATTGCTTCTGTTTTCAAACTACAGCTTTCCTATTTACTAAGTCATCAAGCTGGCTGAACATTTACTAACACAGTTTTATGATGTTCATGGATGTATTGCTTTTGCTGTAGCATTTTTATGGTCATATGCCAAAATACTCAGTGTTTACTTTCACCTTAGTTATTTTTTCTGAGGATTGAGGTTTTCTTAAATTTAAAGTTATTGGTTTTTGAGAGAGAGGAAGGGAAAGAGAGAGAGATTTGTTGTTCTATCTATCCACACATTTACTGGTTGCTTTGTGTATGTGAACCCACAATCTTATCCTATTGGGACAATGCTCCAACCAACTAAGCTACCCAGCCAGGATGAGGTTGAGATTATTAAGCAGAGTTTTCAAGGGGACCAGTTCTAGTCTTGTTTACTTACCTTGCTCGCTTGATCGTTCACTTTCTTGGCAAATATTATATCTGGAGGATCCGCCAGAGATGTGAAATGCGTTTGCTGTTCAATGTGACCTTTTTTGTAGGAAATCTGACCAAAAGAAAGAAATGTAAATGAGCCATCAATAGTTATTCCATTTCTCATGTTTCATTTGTTGGCATTTAAAAAAGACTATGTTTTTATCTTTACTTGAATTTTAAACTTTAATGTACCAATAGCCACAGTTTATCCTTACAGATGTTAAATGTCCTTCCCTCAGCATTACTGGTGATTTCTCTCTTTGAGTTTTCTCTCCTCCCCAAGATTATTGGCCTTAAATCTGTTTCCTTCTGCATCATAATATGCAACTGAACTTATTCTCTTAACCAGCATCCTTAACTCCCAACCTCTTGTCTTTCTGTGTTAGCCTACTGCCAGCTTTTACATCCAGGATGTTGAGTGCTACGGAAGAAAATCTATGGATTGGGTAGTGATAACATGATAAGAAAGGTAAAAAGGGTCACAGAAAGAAGGTACAGAGGAGGAAGAGGGAGCCTCTTGAACCCAAGCCCTTAGCTTGAAATTTGTATGCCTATCCAACGATATATTCTGTGAATAACAGCTTGCTTGGGGCTCTGTGCCCAGGGCTCTGAATTTATCCAATTTCCTCTTTGCCTTTATTGAAGCTTGAACATCTCTGGTCAGCCTCTACTCCCAAGAGCTGGTCAAAAACTGCAACACTGTCCTTAAGTCCCAAACAACTCCGTCTTACCCTCAGCTTCCTCTTTTATAGAGTCAAGACAGCCTACACACTTATCTTCCCTGCCTCTCCCACCCCCATCATGGCTCAGAGGAGGAGCACCCTTTGCAGGGCATGAGACCAGCACAATGCAGAATGCGCACAGATCCCCAGACACATGAAGTCCTCTATGTCTCTTGATCCCACACATGCTGCTTCCTTTCTCTGGGATGCCCCAACTCCACCTTCTCTCCATCTGCCTGCAAACTGCTACTGTTCTCCAGGTCTCAGGATAAGCACAGTTCTCTCTTTTGTGCCCTCCCTGACTCCATGACCTTCTCTGGTGTTTTCACTCAACTTAGCCTTTACCTCCTTTATAGGAATCATCAGATGACATTGTAACTGGCTGTTTACACATCTGTCCCTCCTCAGATTGGGAGCTCTGGGATGGCAAAGAGCATAACCTATCATCTGGGAAGTTTTGTGGCCTGCATAGTACCTTACTAGAGTTGAAGGTTCAATGACTAATTACTGAATGTGTGGTTTATGCACTGAGGCCATTGGGGCAAGTCTATAGAGGAGGAACATCCTCCCAACTCATTCACTACTCAACTGAGAGACTTCTACGCCCCTATTTCTCCTTTCACCTGGCAATATCCTTATTTATAAAGTGAAGAGGTTGTATGTAGTTCCAAGGTCCCAATCATTTTCTTCATGCTTTAACCAAGTCTAACTCTATCTCATTCTAATGATATCCACCTAGTATCTATAACAAAAGCTTTCATGAACATTAAATCAAGTAAGATTAAAAAAAAAGACAGATTTTTAAATGTATTCATTGAATTCCAGTGCATAATTTATTTTAAATGAATAAAGACCTATGTTGGCATAGGGCAACCTGTATTTCCCATGACTGGCTAAGTCCTTAAGGAGAAAGCAACATTCTTCCAGGAGAAACGCTTATTAAGTATGACATCCTGCCAAGAGCTTTCTGAGAAATCAGTTCTAGAAGTCCTAATTTCTCAGGAACCTTTCTCAGAATTCTGTCTATTTATAATTTTGTGCTCTGGATCAGCTCAAGGACTCTCTTAGTGTTTACTTAATCTTTACTGAGATAATAAAGACTTAGATAATAAAGAAATCACGATAATTAGGGTTAAAAGAAACACAAGAGGAAGATACAGGAGAAGAAGAGGGATCCTCTGAACCCAAACCCTTAGCTTGAATTCTACATGCCTACCCAGTGGTATTTTCTGTGAACAACAGCTTGCTTGGTGCCCAATAATTGTAAAAATTCATGATGCTGACAGCAGTATTAATAGGCATGTCAGTAATCTGATACTTAGTGCATACTTAATCTGTGATAAAATAAAAGCATACCTTTACTGCCAAGTCTTTCTGAGCAAGGACAGAAAGATTTGATTTCATTATTAGTCTTCTATTGAGCTATCTCAAAAGATGTGGTCAACATTAATTGCTCCAAGTCCATAGCACTATAGTGGCATGGGGGCAACAGCTCATCTCTCCACTTTAAGGATAAAGGGAGACATTAGATTAACTGTCTTCTTGGAAACCTCCCCTTAGGCTTACATTACATACATTTCCTGGTTCCCCTTCAACTTCTCCAACCATCTGTCCCTTCTTTCTTTTGCTGGCTCCTTTCCAGATGTCCATGGTGTGGGTGTCCTTTACAACTAGGCCCTTGGTCATACACAGTTTTGCCTTACTCATACATTTTTATGTATTCAGCTGTCACTTATATTTTGATGAATCTCAAATATTAATCTTTTGTCTTCTCACATTTATGCAACAGTACTAATTTCTAATTTATCCACAGGGTGCCTTGATCTGAATATTCCCTCCATTATTTCAATTCTATTTCTCTTTAACTAATGCATCTTTACCAGTTATACCACTATCCACCCTGATCGCTATTCTTGGTCATAAATTCATCTGTGGCTCCGTTCTCTCTTTTGTTTCCAATATCTAATATCATTAACACTTTTTAAATACTTATTACCTTAAAAGATTTTTTCCCTCCTCTTTGTCCCCATCATCCCTCTGATTCATCTATATTACTAAAATAGTTCCATACAAACAGTCTCCTATGATCTTGCCTAGTCCTAAATGATCATATTGTCCATCAATATTTCTCCAGATTCTACTTTTATTATATAATAAGATTTTCAAAAAATCTTATGATGCCTCTTACTGCCTACCATATCATATCAAAGCTATTTTGCATGATTTTCAAGGTCCTGGTGCCAGTTTCTTACACGTGCCCTTGTAACTTGGCACCCACAGCATTCACTTTCTTAGTCCTCTGAGGCCCCAAACTCTTCACCCCTATTTCTTTGTTCGAGAGCTCTCTACTTGAAATGCCCTTCCTGTTCATCACTGCCCATTCTTTTGAAATCGCCATCTCCACACGGCCTTCTCTGATTGCTCACATGTGTCTTGTCTTTCTCTTAGCAAGTATTAGACCGTAGAGCTTGTATTTTTTTTTAAACTATTTCCTTGTGGTTTAATATATAACAATTTAATCTGGCCAGCTTGGCTATAGGTTTTTCAAGGCAAATGTTGAAAACTGCTTATTGTATGCTCCTTTCCTGCCAGGGATGCATGCATATTGGACTTTCAATAACTAATTATTGATCGCTTGGTAAAGGTCACATTATATTACATATTTATGAGATATAGAACCAAAAACTAATCTTAAAAAGAAAAGCAGAAGGTCCCCACACATTAAAATTGGCACATTAGATGGCCTTACAATTTTTACACCTTCTTTAGTTTTTAGCTTATCATATGCAAGAATAAGAATATAGCTGCTATGTTTTAACCAATTACATGCAACCTGGGATAGAAAATACATTCACTAAATTTGCAGGTAGTATCAAGTGAGAGGCAATAAACATGAGAACTCCAAAGTTGGATACATCAACAAATGAGTATATATAATTTTAGTGCAGGGCAAGATAGAATCATAAGATCCATTAGAAATAAATCCCAATAAGTTTTAAGATGCCAACTGGCTTGTTAAGTTCATATTGAATATAAGAACTTCCAGGGATCTAGCTGACAACTAATTGGAAAACAACTTGGCATTTTATAATAGAGTGCTCTCCTAATGACTTTGAATTTTCAGCGTGGCCTCTAGCAAACCCAGGGGCAAAGAAATAAAGCAACTTCAAACAAGGGGAAGTGCTGGGCCCATCGAAGGCTCTCTGCTGCTGCTGCTTCTGACCCTAAGGACTCTATCAGGGCTTTAAAGTAAACAGCTTACAAGGTCTAAAATTCTAGCCAAAGGCACTGCTAACATTTTTGCTAACTCTGTAAGATCCTCTATGTACACTGAGGGCAAGAGGTCTTCATGGGACAACTACACACACGTTTGCTCAAGTACTTCAAACAAATCCCAGGAAAACAGGAGCCACGCCACAATTCTGACTTTATGATTAGGACAGCAAATCAAAATCTTTCAGTAAACCATTTACTGAATAAACTTGGGAAGGTGGCGGTGATTCCAATGGGTTTTAAAAATGCTACTCTATTATATAGGAATACCTCAGCTCCAGCCAAGGGGACAGAAGGGAGCATGCTCTTGTGAGAAGGACATTGGCCTAGGGATCCACAAGACCAGGCTTCCCGTCTGGGTTCTACCTCTAAAATACCTATGTGGCCTTGGATTTAGGTTCCTCACCTGTAAGGAAAAGGGGATTGGACTAAATTCTATCTAAAATAAATTATAAAATCTAATTCCAATTATACATAAAGAATTATAATGATTCTAGATAGATTCCTCCTCTGCAATAATGGCATTTAGTCTGTTCTAACGAACTGCAATGAACTTCTGGCCCAACGATGTAATTTGAGGCGCCCGAGTGCACACTGCAAACAGTGCTGACTGTCGTTCACTTACATCACTGAGAGCTTTCTGGGCTTGGGCAACCCTCCTCAGCTCTGGGCTGTCGTTGTAGGGGTAAAACAAACTTTTGTCTGCATCCCACTCTTCAGTGTACAGTTTCTATATCAGAAAAGAGTGAAAAGTTGTGAGAAAATGAAATCACACAAGAAACACGTAATTCTCAATTCACCCATCAATGGCATGAAGAACTAAGGGCAAGGTGGGAGCAAAGGTAAACAGAACTCACAGATCACCTCCCCCTTTCCATCCAATCCAAGTCATAGTTATTAATAGATTCTCCTGCTTCTCCTGGCAAATCTTACTGACAGAAGGGCAGCTGAATTTAATTCTGTTTCATCTCCTCTCTGTGGCTTTACTTACCTCCTGCAACAAGTACCAATGCAGGTGTAAGGAGCCAGGAAGCTACTTAATATAGTTTCTGTCACAAAATAGACCCTCCGTAAGAGTGACAGCCAGGAATGTCCAAAGTGTAGCACAGGGTCTAAAGTAAAATACTGCTTCGTGGGCCTGCAGAGCTGGATCTCAGGAGCATCTTTGCCCCAGCCTCCTACTCCACCCCCAAATGGCTCAGATTCCTGAGAGGACCCTCTCCTCTGCTCTGCCCGGGGCTTTCTTCTCAGTTCCTTCTTGCCAAGCCCTGTACCTGCAGCCCCATGGGTCTCAAGACTAGAGAATCGTGTTTCAGATTACCAAGAGTTTAGGAGTATTCCTCTAAATGACATGGTAGGGAAACAAAAGGTAGCGGGGTGACAGAGAAGAGGCCCTTACCTTACTGAACAAGGCTGTGTTCTTAATGGCATGGACAAGTTCAGGGGCATCAGGGGGAAGCAGGTACTTATCCTTGTTGTCTTCCCAGTTCTGCTTGTATAAAACCTAAACAAAAAGAGCAGAGGGCTTGATGTCTCCCTATGGACACGAGGATTGAGAACAGTTTTCTAGCATCGATTAGGAAAACATCTACCGCACCAACATCCCATAATAGTTTTCTCGCATTTAGTAAGCTTTTTCTTGAAAAACAAAATCTAATTTTTAAAACTTAATCATGATTCTGATTATCGAATCCTTTTAAATACTGCAACCTATCCATCATTGGCGGAATTTGGATGGTACACGTGTGTGTGTGTGTGTGTGTGTGTGTGTGTGTGTGTGTTTTACTTACATGGTGTTTTCAAAGAGTGTTTTTAATTAGTTCCCTACATTTAAAATTTGCAGATTTATTATAAAAATTCAGCTCCAACTTCCTTAAAAAATAAGAGAGACTGACAACACAGAGACTGCGATCCATGCAGCAACTGCAATGGAGTCACCCAGGCTCTCCAATCCACCTAGCTCCTTCGGCCACTCGGTCATCGGAGCAATCTCCCTGACACGCGTGCACTTAGAGCTCACAGTGCCTGTAATGCAGTGGGGCTGGCAAGCAGGGTCAGGCCTGTCCAGTGCCATCCATCCCAGGACCTTACCTTACTGACTTGCTGCGACACTTTCTTTGCGTGTTCAATGTCCCTTGCTTTTTCATCTACATGACAGATAGTTTTAGCAATATCACCATCCATTCGATATTTAACCTGCAGAAATAATGTCCAGTTAGAATTCAGGACAGGCAAGAGCATGTGAATATATTAAAGAATATCTTTATCAACAAAGAGCATCCACCCAATCACTCTATGTCTGTATCACAAAGCAAAGTTTCTTTATTTCTGGTAGAATACGATGATCGTTGAAGATCTGCTGAGCCCTGCATTTACTGTGTCTGACTGTATTTATTGAATGTCAGCCTCCCTGGGCTCCAGCAGGGAGGACCACAGTGAGTTGGAACTTCCAAAGCAGATCATCTCTTAAGTTACTTTCTGAACAAGCTTTTAGAAGCCTCTTTGGGTTCACATTTAGAGAAGCATCATCTATGGCCAATGTTTCTTCTGGATTCCTGAACTGTCTCACAGTAATTCAACCCCTTATTCTCTCCAGACCTAATTAAAGCCAGGTCCCAGTGGTAGGCATATTTTTATATGTGTCTGTGTTTTATTTCAGCAATGCCGCCCACCTCACTGAGTTGGTCTTGTACTTTCTTGATTCTGCGATGTTCTGGGGTATCGGTTGTGATGGTAGATGGCTGTCCTTTTCCCTTTTCATAGTTTTCCTTGTATTTATTCTGAAAAGAATAGCAGATATTAGCCTCAAATCTTATAATGCAGCATCAGAAATTTCAGGCAATGTATTCATCCCCATCTGATAAAAAAAAAATCTGCAAGTTATAACAATTATCAGTTTTTACAGCATTTTTTTGTCCTCTATTCTGATTCTTAGCAAACACTAAAATAGATTTGTTAATTGCTCTTCCTAAACATGGTTGTATAATAGAGACAGTAGAAATGATATTACAGACTATTGTCTTGAAAATGCCCTAAAATGACTCTCTTAATGTTTTTATTGTCTGGGTGCACACATAAAAAGCTTGAAATGCAATAATTTTAGAAAATAAATACAGAAATGGAACCAAATGTGAAAAGATTTAATTGCTAATACAATGCAAAAATATTCAATTCAAAAGTTGCAGCTAAACTCAGTGATCTGGATAGTTGACATGCCACCTGAATTAATGGAAAATCTCCATTATGGAGTATTTTGAGAAGAAATGCAATTTTATTGTTTCTGCTAAATATTCAATGAGTTTTTGCCTTATATATAATATGCATAATTTATCATTATTAATGTTTCAAGAGTATTCATAGAGTATTCACAATCTGAATTATATTATTGATTTAGTTACTAACCACTTTTAAAATATTAAAAACTTTTGCCAGCATTCTGCTCAGCCTACCAGAAATTCTAGGATATCAGTGTCTGAATTAATGAGATTTTCATGGCAATTAGTTGACAAAAATAATTTCTATTTTTATTCAACACTACAGTGATAAAAAAAAGGGGGGGGCAAGGTTATCTTATTTTTAGAAATCTAAGTTTTAGATCATTCAAAAATATGAACTATTTTTAACACTCAACCAAAAGTAAATATTTATTGCCCAACCACAACAGGATGTTTTTGACATAGTAGTAAACATTAGTCTTATATAAACCAATGTTCCTTGAGATACTTTACATTTCTTTTGTGCCTCAAGCGGACATGCAATCGGGCTACCAAGTGAGACCTTAGCCCACCATAGACAATCAACAAATTAGATCCATTCAAATGGGTCTGATTCTGCTATCCATCAGTGTAACTTACAGAACTTTAAAGACCAGGGGCCATCAGGAGCAGTGATGCCTAACCTGGACCACCCTTAGAATCACCTGAAAAGCTCTTATAAATCCTTTTTCAATGGCCCCAAACCCAGTCTGATAAAACCAGAATGGCCTGGGCATTAGTAGTTTTAAAGCTCCCAGGGGATTATAACCATACAGCCACAGTTCAAAACCACTGTTCCAGGGCACAGCTGAACATTCTTATCTGTGCCGGGCCAGCACAGTCAAGGGTTTGATGAGCCTGAGCGGGGAGGGGGTGGCAAAGGATTAAAGAAAAGACAGACAACGAGAATATAACTGGGGCTCAGTGGATCTCCTGAGCCTGGATGAGGCCACAGAGAAGGATCCAGCCAGCAAGCTGAGGCTTTTATAGGTAAAGGTAAACAAAGTAGCGGTTACCATAGTTACAATGTTCTTGTGAGTTTCACTTGTTGTGGCAGCACTTGCTGCACCTCCCACAGCCCATTAGCTACCTAGGAAGGATCTAGGGGGCATCATAAGGTCAAGCTTAATTATGCTAAAAGGGCTGTGCCCTCTAATCTGGGACTTGTTTGTGTTTTTGCCAATAGGTCAGTCTGAGGATTAACCCTACAGCCACTCCCTACATCGATCCTTAGTTTCTTAGTCTGATGCTGGTTTTCTAAGCTCCATCTTCTTCACCATCCATCTCTTAGAGACCTACTTAAGAGGTATCTTGCTCATAATTTAAATAGATGCTATTTACTAGTAGCTTCTGTGAAATGATGTCAACCAAATCTATTTTATGATTTCATTTTTCTAGATTGGCTAACTAATTATCATGAAATACCAATAAGTGCTTCATAAATGGCCTACTGCTTATTTTGCAGGAATAATTTAAACAAAGGATGCTTTTCCTGATGCTACAATGGTACAAATAAATTACAGGAAAGGAAGACTCAAGACTCACAAGAGCATACACATTTCTTCAAAATAATTTTGTCTCATACAAGGTTAAGGAGCAGAATCCAGCCAGCATCCAAAAAAGAGCTGGTTGAGAACAGTAATGTCTCCACGATAAATCCAGGTTAGCAAAAGTCATGTGAAACTTACTATGCTAAATAGGTCCTGCATTTTCCGACTGTGTGCAATGTAGGGAGTCATGAACTTGGAAGAGTCCACTTTCTTCCTGATAACCTTCTTCCTCTCTGCCGGCTTTCCTGGTTCTGGCAGGGCCAGCCCTGGTTTCGAAGGTTGTGATTGCTCATAGTCAGATATTGTCTTTGTCGTAGTAGTTTCATAGATTTCTGTTATTGTCTGAAAATTCGACATACAGTTCAACATCGTTATAAAAGTAAAAACTGCGGTAAACATGATCTTGGTATTCTGACTTATATCCCTGGCATTACTTTTCCATAACTAAAATAGGCCAAAGCAGAAAATTACACATTATATCCATTTGAAAGCACATTATGTCACATACATACTGCTGATTGTTCAAGATTGCATGGAGTGGAACGGTTGCTTCTTATTAATGTACAACATTGCCTTAATTCCACTTGCAGAAAGGAACTCAAACACTTTAAGGTGGGATTTAAAATAAGTAAAGTATTCTTGAACATTTAAAAGTATTTTTTAAGTTGACTGGGTAAAGTAAAAGCAAATTTGGGATCAGAGGACAAAAGATTAAGACAATAAGATAAAGCTCACATTCTAGATATTAACTTTTAAATAAGCCTAAGGAAAAGTTGATTAGTTATTCTGCAGATATTTAAGCATTCTCCCTGTAGTATGAGACAAAGAGTAATGAACTTTATAAAAAATGAATCACATCAATATTACAAGTGATGACCATGCTCTTGGCTTAGTAAGTTAGTTCATTTGAACTGGAATGCCATTTGTACTAATAAAGGACAGGAATAATGATGACAACATAATGGAGTAATTATCCTCACAACAGCCCTATGTATGTGGTAGGTGGGAAATTACTGTTTCTTTCAAAAAGCTCTAGTGGAAGAAAGGAGGGCCCTAAGTTCAGGTCTAGTCCAAGGTTAAAAAATATTGTATATAAGAAAAGACAATAAGCAGCCAAGTCTTCAGCCAGTCTCATAATGTAATTTTCTTTACAGCTAAAACCACCGGATCAAAGGCAGAGTTCTAGCATCAATTTTGAGAAGAGAAACCTAAGTAATAAGGAAATTGTGTATCTAAGACAACTTTCTCTAGTGTTGTCAGACCATTGCTAATCGGTTGCTTTCTGATCATTATTTATGACTAGAGGCTCGGTGTATGGATTAGTGCACCAGTGGGGTCCCTCAGCCTGGGCTACGCCCTCTCCCAATCCAGGACCCCTTGATATCAGACTGCCAGCTTTGGCATGATCCCTGCTGCCAAGGGGTGTAGCAGTGCGTGAAGCAGCAGGCAGCCAGGGAGGAGCCGAGGCCAGGCGCTGTTCCCAGTGCCACTCTGGCTCATCCCGGCCCCAAATCACCCTGCTGCCATGGCCACTCGGGTAGTGCTGCAGCAGAGGTAGGAGAGGTTTGTGCCAAAGCAGCTGCGCTCGCCAGCCCTCAGCCTGGCTTCTGCCTGAGCTGCACTCCCGCTGAGGAGCGCACTGACCACCAGAGGGCAGCTCCTGCGTTAAGCATTTGCCCCCTGGTGGTCAGTGTGCATCATAGCGACCAGTTGAGTGGTCATTCGGTCGTTGGGTCGCTAAGGCTTTTATGTATATAGATGTGTGGTTGGCCATGAGAAACTAACCAGTTTACAGCACCTACAGATGTTAAGTTTCCATGAAGTCGCAGGCTCTCTGAGTTAGTCACCTATCATTGTTTATCATGCTCAAGAGAAACATCTCCAAGTACAAAAGGAGGCATGAGTGAGATATTTCACATTGTGGGAAAATGCTTTCATTTGGGATATGGAATTGGCTTTCTCAGAATTCCTTACGTGCTAAAGTCTAAGTAGCATTTTATGACAATGACAAGGACAAAGGGTTAGAGGCACCATCCCTATCGGCAGAGAGGGTGCCCAACAGTTACAACTCTTCATAGCACACCTGCTGGTCCCAATGCGAATGACAAGTTCAAGGCCATCCCTTTGCTGCAGTCAGAGTGGTGATAACACTGACTTTACTCTAATTAGCATCACCTGCATAAAAAATACCACATGAACGATGGGGGGAACCATCCTCCAGCATCTTGGAGAGGTTAAGTGGCAAAAACAGAGATAAAACCTGTCAAACAGGTATCTTTCTTTCATGTACCCCAGCTGCCGAGTACACATGGGGAAGAGATCCTCCCTCAGATTATTTCTGTCTGCTCTGTGGCTCTTCCTGCTTTAATGAGCGTGCAGTTCATGCAGGTGTGTGCTGGGTCTTACCTCACCCGGCACCTCTTCGTAGACTGTCTCCTCAGTGTAGTACTATAAAGAGAACACAAAGGTGAGATTATGAGAATCAAAGCAGAAATCACCTCTCTTCTGCCTCCACCACGCCACCTACGCTATTTCACTAGCCCGCTTTGGTTTGCTACTTGTGGGGAGGGGAGGAAGCAGAAGAGGGAGTCTGTTCATATTCTGACCCCACTTTAAGTCGGCGAAACTTCAGGGAAGCCGAAGTGGACGCCATCAGATTGGACAAGGAGATGCAGAGTGATGATGAGAAAGGTGTCTGGGGCCGGTTACTAGTCCTGGGAGGCTATTTTACTTGGTACAAGTAACGTTTTTTTTCTTCTGGTACCCAAGTAGAATTTGCTGGGGAAAGAATATAATAACAATTCCTGGAGGGTGTGAATAATCAGCATCAACACTAACACAATTATAAATTGCCTTTCCCATGATGCTAAAACCAGAGAGAAACACTGATGAAATTCACTGTTGGCCAATTAGTAATGAAACAAAACAGAAATCTCAGTGTGAATAAAATTTTTAAATGGATTGTGTCATGGAAATAACAGATTCAAAGGCATAGACACATCTCAATTATCCCTAGATCACCCTGATTTGCTAAGTAATGAGGTTCTTCCAGAGTGTCAAGCGAATCCCTTTCCAGTGGTGTGACGATCCTAAAGGGGTATTAAAAGGAACATTTTACAAATGCCCAGGAGGGAAGGAAAAAATGAGAGATTCCTCATCACAAAATGTGGGAGTTGGGCAGCAATTTGCCACTGATGGCTCAGAGGTGCCTGCAGCCGGGACCTGAAATCGAATCTACGTTTGGTCTACTTCTGACATCACCAGCAATAAATAGCCACGGATAGGAACTGGCTGACATTTTGTTTCAGATGCGTAAGGAGAGTGGAATCCTGCCCTCAGCTTCAGCCCGCCACGCTGGGAGAGCAGGAGGAAGATGGGTTTAGGCCAAGACACACAGGAAGGGGATGAAAATGAAACACTTGGTTCATTTTCTCCGTCAAAAAAAAAAGAAAGAAAAAGTATAAGTTTTATGCTTCATTTCTTCTTTTCATTGTCACCAAAACATACATTCGGGGAAGTGAAAAACCATTGAACAAAGAATTTCCCTCAGTGGCCTTTTGTCTTTTGCCCTTGGCTCGGTGAACTCTCAGCAAGTTACTGACCCATAGTCATTAGGCCACATGCTCCATTTAACTTGCAGGAAAATTAGTATACACCTCCCTAATGTCCCTCTCTTGCACTCTCTTTGCTCCTTTACAATTTTTTTTTTAAATTTGAAATCTAACTCCATCTCTGTGTCCTTACACAAGGCAACAGAAATCACAAGCATTTACAGGACCGAGAATATCTTCCACATGCCGATGCTTCATCCCCAAGAATATCATTTGGACACTGTGGGGACTATTATTTGAGGCGGATCCAATGGAACCAGTCCTTTGGCCACACAAAACATCAGTGATTTGAGAAGAAATATTAAACTTAAACGAATGATTCATAACTGTTTTGGATCTTTGTTAGCAGCCAAGTGAAAGCAGTTCTTGGGTAGCCATCCAATTTTACCTTTGCTGGGCTCATGATTGGTAAGTGTATCCCAGAAATAAGCTTATAAAAAAGGCAACATTACCCAAATGGTGGCATTAACTTGTATGCCAAGTCTCACTTTTTAAAAGAGCTCTACCACTAACTGGATAGTATATAGGTGCTTCTTTTCCTTTCTTTCCAAGTTCATGTAAATTTGAGTAGAGAGTGACAGTACGATTTTATTGTATTTAGATGTCTGAGATCCCTAGGAGATGTATTTTTAAAAGCAAATTCCTGCCTGTTTTGTGAACTCTATTCTGACTGTTTTCTCAAATCTGCCACCACCCCATTCTCGTGTCATCTTTTTTGAGGTCAGAGAGACCTTGCTTCAACACTCTCTGGCAGGAAGTCTATTAGTTTAGCACCTGCTGGTCAGACCCAGAGCAGTAATAGGGACAAAATGGCAAGGACAAGAGGCCTAAAAATAACCCCCTCCATTTTTATGACATCTCATTAAATCAATGGAGTCCATTACTAAGGGCAGTTTTCAGTGACCGATGAGCACAATTATATTAAGAAGGTCAAGGGATGTTTAAGTTGGAAGCTAAAAACTATTCCTGGTTTTAGCATCACAGGAAAGGCAATTTACTTTATAATTGTGTTAGTGTTTGATACTGATTATCAACCTTTTAGAGACATGTGTGAAATGCACACTAAAGATAATTTTGAACGTTGACAAATGTGGCCATTGGCATTGAAGCCAGAGAGTTTAAATGTTACAATATATTGGATGAGATTCATTCTGGGATATGTGTGTGTGTGTGTGTGTGTGTGTGTGTGTGTGTGTGTGTGTGTTTCAGTAATAAAAGCAACTTTATTTGTAGAATAAAGTAAAATTTTCTTCATCTAAATATAGACTAGTCCTGCCCTGGCCAGTGTTTCTAAGTGGTTAGAGCATTGGCCCACACTTAGAAACCCAAAGGTTCATGGGTTCGATTCCTGGTCAAGGGCATGTACCCGGGTTGCAGTTTTGATTGTTGGCTCCAATCAGGGCATGTGCAGAAGGCAACCAGTCAATGTGTCTCCCTCGAATCAATTTTTCTCTCTCTCTTTCCCCTTCACTCCGTCCCTCCCACTTGCTTTAAAATAAAATCAATGGGGGAAAAATCCTCAGGTAAGAATTAACAAAAACAAACAAACAAAGAAATATAGACTGCTCCATAAAATAATCTTCCAAAGACAAATTTTGGCACTTTCATTTGAAATTTGATTCTAGGTAGTTCTTAAAGTTATTCTCATTTTTTTTTAAGCACAGATTTTCAAAACTGCCTCCAAGTTCATATATGTGTTTATATCACCATCAATTAGTAATTGTTAACCATTTTTATATTTAATGGCAGTATATTTATATGGATGTGAAACTAAAGGCAAGAGCTGGTGAAGGAAAACCATAACATGCTAAAAACAAAATTGTATAATATATATATATATATATATATATATATATATATATATATATATAAATACAATTTTGTTTTTATATATATATATGAAATAAACAACAACTTTGTAAAATATGTTAGACATCCACCAATAATCTGGAGGGAATTTTCAAGATGCCACTGTGGTCTTTGTTCTTTTTCAAAATTCAAATGCAAAGCTAGTTTTGTTCCCTTGGGTAAATGCAATGGAGTTGGTGTGAAACTGTGGTTCAACTCTTCCTTGGGAGCATCCTGAGTTAACTTATTTATTTGCTTACTGTTTTGTTTTGTTTTAAAGAGAGAAACATCGATTAGTTGCCTCCTATACACACCATGTCCGGGGATTGAACTTGCAATCTGAATATGTGCCTTGACCAGGATTGATCCCATAACCTCTGGTTGAATTGAACCCGTGACCTTTTGTTTTTCAGTGGCTGCTCCAACCAACTGAGACACATGGCCAGGGTTGAGTTTATTTTTGTATGTGTGTGCATGCACATGTACAGGTGTATGAAATCTCACATGTGCATTTAACTCATATCTTCCTATAGATAACCGGCAGATACTAAGAAATAGAATTCTGTTTCCAGAAGTTTTTCTCCATCTTCTCTGTCCCTTCGGGGTTGGAAGGTGGAGGAGAAGGTAATTTTAGTTAGAAGACAAATTAACATCTGCCTTTACCATACACTCTTTGTTTTGTTTTGTTTTTGAGAGTTTAAAGAAAAGCAAAAGTGGGAAACAGTGATACTTCTTTTCAATTTTAAATCCCACATAATTATAGTGAAACTGAACATAAAATATTCCTTTCTCGTACTTTAATGACGACTGTTGTGAAGTTATAATAGGCATTGTATTTTTCAAGTGATTAATACACCTACATGGCTTTGCTTGTTGCTACATAAAATGCTTTGCTGCCGGAGTCAGTTTTTGTATCTTACCTCCACCACCTCCTCATATTCCTCTTCATCTGCCATTTTCTCGGAGTAGTAGTGGCACCTACACACTGCTCACGTCCCAGATAAATGAAGATACGTTAGCATCTATCCCCAGGACTGAAACCAGCTTACAATGTTATAAAAGCAGAATTTAAAATCTTATCTGATCTACACGTACTTATATGTTTGCAGGCTACGTGAGAAAAGACATTTAAGTGCAGGTTCGAAAGAATGAATCTGCTTATGGCTACAAGATGAACTTAGTCCAAGTTGTAAAACAAAGACGGGGACCCCGGGGCAGGGATGGGAGGGTGGGGAGGGTGGGGAGGGTGGGGGGTGGGTGGGCGCAGTGGTGGTAAGGGAGTGAGAGGATTTAAATCAAAGGAACAGAATACTTCAACTTCCAAATACTTGGAGAGAAACATTTTTCAAACAAAATATTTCAGGTCAGCTCGTTTCGGAAGAAATTGCCAAGATTTAGCACCGAGATTCTCAGAGGGCCGCCTCTGGCTTCCATGTGCTCTGATACACGATACACAGTATATCTTACGTTTCCAATGAGAACATAGCAAAATAAACCTGCCAGTAGATTTTAAAAGGAAAATAGAAACCTCAAGGCAATGGGTTTATTTTCCTCCCGAACACCATTGGCTTGTGCGGGCTTTTCTCTGGCGTTTCTGTAGCTCTCGTTCAAACCTGGAAAAGAACAAATTGTTGATGCCCCGACTGAAGGAGGCAGGAGACTGAGGGTCTCGGACCGAAGCTTCTAATTCGAGATCTCCCCAGGCCTCTGGAGCCCGACGCCAGGGAGTGGGGCTCTCCCGGTAAAAGTGGATGATGACTTGGAGCAGCTGTCCCCTGGCCCAGACATATTTGCCATGTAAGCCTATCCCCTGCTGTGGCTGGTTCTGTTAAGCTAGCGAAACTGCCACTCCTCAGGCAGAGGAAGCCCAGTAGAAAAGGATAAATATAGGATCCTTTGTCGTACTCATATATTTAGAAAAATAAAAAATAAAAATCAAAGGCCAAAACGAAAAGATTTTGTTAGACCGGAGAGCCAGCTCGGTGAAGCAATAAAGGGGTTAGTATCAGACTTGATTCTAAGCGCACACTACATGTCAGATATTAGTAGGGCCTGGGTATGGCGATGGCGTTACAGGCTTTCCCAGTCACCGTTTCCATCACCAATCTCCCCAGTTATGACCCATAACTTTGGAAAATTCTTCAAGGGAAGTTGTGGCACGTCTCCTGAAAGAACATCACAGAAAAAGAGCCATAAAGGGGCCTTACCTTCAATCTATCCAATAAATTTCCTCAGCAGCAAAGCCTCTCCCAACTCTCCCCTCCTGAGAACCCCAAGCGAGAGCCAGCGTGGCGCCTGGGCTCCCGGTTATCATGTGGCCAGAGCAGCCAATCGGATCCCGAGTTGCTCAAATTTCAGAAGCTAAATATACTGGGTGATCTTCTGAAAACCACCTGTTCATCAGTTTCACTAAAGGATAAAGGGTAACAAATTGCTTGCTTAGAACTATTCAAATGGAGCAAAATTTTGCCTAACTTCCAGCATACGGGCTTCAAAATGTACGTGAAATCTCTCATTTGCGGCAGCTCTGTTTAATGGCATATTCGTGCAAAAGAATTTGGAAGAAAATGAGCATGATTTTGAGGGGCTTTGACCCTCTGTCCCTGCTTTCTTCACATCGTGTGTCCAGTCTTCACAGAGGTAAACATGCTCCCTCTCGCACAGCTCACCAGGCAAGCCACAGATATTGATGTGAAAGAAGCAGAGGAATAAGACCCAGAAAGGACCAAGTTGGCAAAAATAATTCTTTTAAATGTAAGATAATGAAGCGTTAGGTGAAACTCTTTGATGGTGACATTAGATAAGCTATCCCTAGGGTGTAATTAAAGAGGTCAGGCCCCACCATTTTTCTTTTACTAAACCAGGAGGGTATGCCAAGATCACATTCATTATCTTCTCTCTCCGTTGGTAAAGCTGACTGGTAGGAAAACAGAGCCTCTCTCATATGTGATGGTTACTGATTTCATATTTACTCAGCTCCTAGAAAGATGCAAAGTGTGAATGCAGACACAAAAGAGTGCGATTTCTGAACAGCAAGAGCAGATAAAATGAAATCATTAAATTACTGTGAGAAGATAATGCTCTATTAGGCAAGTCAGAATGTAGGCCACTGACTTTGAAACGATTATCTGAAAACGTTCAACTTACAGACAATCTTCGCTGATGTAATCCCTCTCCGGTCCTCTGTACTGAGGCAAAAACCCTGTGGGTCGCCCATGTATTGATGTAGATTTGAGACTAAACATACGGTAACAGTTATTTCTGAGTTAAATGTTAGTAAGTAGTCTCATATTTTAAACATACTAGTATGTGCTCCTCCCCCTTCGGTGATTCATATGGTAATAATATAATTGAACATTATTGTCATGTTCACTAATGATACCTGTTCACTTGGTATGTTCTCACAGGCCCTCTGACTGAGGGATGTGTGTTCATATGAGATCATTCACTTGGTAGTTGCCTACTAGAAGAATTGTGATTACTATCTCATTATGTGTTTTAAAAGATGATGTTAAGTTAAGAAATAACACAGGCCTCCTTTTTAGAATAACATATGGTATAAAATAATAAATAGATAAACACACACATTCGAATGCTAATCTGGAATTGTGCCCTTAGGGCGGAAAGAGCAGCTCTGTCCACTTTCCTAGCCTGTCTGTATTCTCTCCTGTGGGAGAGTAAACGGATGGCCTTTAGCGGCAGGTTCTGACCACACGCCTTGCATATAGCAAGCACTCAGCAATGTTAGCTGTTATCATTGATGTTATTACCATATTTCACACTTTATTAGAGTCTTTGAGCTTTAATCTGAAACATCAAAATATCACAAGGTATTCGAAATCAGACATTCGTTAAGTCTAAGAATTTATGAATCGGTAGGAATTTGACTAGAAGCCTGTATTACTGATGACAAAGCAAAGTGCCAATAGCAAAGCTTCGGGAGTTACTTTCCTAGAGATCGGGGTGCAGATGTGTCCTGTAAGGAGACCAGAAACGATCCCACGGGGCCGAGAGCATGGCAACAGAGTCTTTGTCATTGTGGTTTACTTGGCTTTATTAATTATTTTAATAAAATTATATCTGCACATCATTTAAGAACTAAATCGTTTGGCAAGACTAATTATCCTTTGTTATTTATCTCTATACATGTAACAACAGGTCTATATTGCTCGATACTGATTTTTTTTTTTTTAATCATAAGCATTATCTGTTGAGTTAGATGAAGTTTCGCTTCTCACATAAACCCCGTTCTCATGAGACACAAACCTCCTCTCCCATCCCTCCATCCTGGTAATGCCTATGTAATTCAGAATTCAATGTTTGCATTATTATACTTAGCAAAATGTTCTTAACAGCTGAAACTCATATATTGTGATTATATTTTGTTTTATAAAATATATATACAATTATATATATATATATTGTGATTATCTTTTGTTTTGTGCACAAAGGTTTGTTTTTATGGGAATTGATATTTCTCTCTCTCTCTCTCTCTCTCTCTCCCTCTCTTTTTTCCCTCCCTTGGCTTAATTTTTCTAGACAAGCTCAATCCAGTAGCACCTTCTGCATGATGGAAATGCACTATATAAGCACCATGCAATGTGGTAGCCACTGGCCACTGCGACTATTGAGCATTCAAAATGTGACGAGAGTGATCACGGGACTGAGGTTTTATATATTTTTTTACTTAATTTAAATTTAAATAGCCACATGTAGCTGGTGGCCCTAGTGCTGAGCAGCACAATTCTAGACATGCATCACTAACTACCTCCCTCCAGCTTTCTGGCTGAATCTGCTCTGGGCATTTTCAAAGACATTAGTTAGCATTCTATAGTTGTATCCATTTCATCTGAAATCTCCCAGGCAGCCTTTGTCCCCTCTGGACTAGTTTCCTCTGGAGCAAGGGCTCGGCCCTAGATTCACTGTCATCCTGGGGGTTATGCAGATTTAACATGAAAATCCCAATTTCTTTATCTAATATTTAAGTAAGCATGATGCACCAGGCACCCTTCTAGCTGCTTCCTTCACACAGTAGACACCTCCAGTCGTCCAAGCAATATCTATGCTACACTTTTTGCTTATTAACAGAACCACAATTTAATTTTGAACAGAAATATGCTCATTTAAAAAATGCATTCCTAAAACACAAACAAACAACAACAACAACAAAAAACAATAAATATTCTCTAAATAAATAAATAAGGCACATCTACACAATGGTGCTAAAAAAAAAGAAGGAACTTTTAACATTTGCAACGACATGGATAGAACTGGAGGACATTATGTTAAGAGAAATAAGGCAGTTGGAGAAAGATAAATATCACATGATCTCACTCATATTGGGATATAATGATCAACATAATTGGATGAATAAGAATAGATTGATCTAGAAACAAATGATAGGGGGCAGGTTTAGAGAGCAACCAAAGGACTTATATGCATGCATACTAGCATAACCAATAGACACAAACACTGGGACATTGGGGGCTTGTCCGGGGTGGAAATGGCAGGGGGGCAGGGCGTGGCGGGGGGAGGGTCAATTGGGGAAAAAGGAGACCTATGTAAAACTTTAGACAATAAAAACAAACAAACAAACAAACAAACAAATATGCCCCCCTCTAAAAAAAAACAAAAAAAAACAATAAATGTTCTCTAAATAAATAAATAATAAAACACTCTACCTCAACTCCCTAAGAGTGACACAATTTGTCAATAAGATTTAAGTGTAAGTGGAGGGAACAAGGCTTCTAGGGAAAGAATAGTATTACTGACCAGCAGGTCAGATTCACTGGCATGTACTGTTTTCCTCTTGCCATTCTTCCCTTCTCCATTGCTGGGACACAGATGTCATGTTTGGGGCAGAGCCGTCATCTTGAGACTCTGAGAGTGTATTCACACACTAAGAATGGTAAAGCTAGAAGAAGCTGTACCTGCAGTGATTGCCTTAATTTTTATGTTTAGTGATTATTTCATCATTTACTAAGTTTAATATGTAATTGCATAAGTGGTTATATTGGGATTATTTTCAATGTCCCTCATATTATATATTAATTTTTCTATTTTGCACTTTACTAGTGACTAATGTCATTAGTTGTTTTTTCATATTTATCAACCGTTGTGTTAACTGTCCATATTTTCCTCTACATTGATTTATAGGCATTCTTAATGTGCTATGGGTATTAGCCATTTGTTCTTGTACATGTTGTGAATATTTTCTCCAAATGTTGTGGTGTCTGTGGCCATTGGAATGTTTTAATATTCATTTGCAGCCAAATCTGCAACCCCTTCCTTCCAGCTTCAGCACTAATTATTGAACAAACTGATTTTGAAATGCCATCTTTGGCATATATTGAATTATATCCAAGTCTGTTCCTCTGTTATCAATCTTATCCAGATGTGTATGAGTTCTTTCTCGGCTTCCGATCCTATTCACCTGTTTGTCTATTTCTGCACCAGAACCACTGTTGGTGCTATTGTTATTCCTTATGATTTTTTTGTTTTCTTTATAATTCCTTATGATCTGCCTTGATGTCTGGAAGATCAAGTCCTCCCACTGTATACTTTATATTTAAGAGAATTCTGACTCTTCTTGTCTTAGATATTCTATATAAATTTTAGATATATAGTCTTCTTTGTTCAATTAAACTATTTGATGTTCTAGTCAATATTACAGTGTTTTAGTGACTGTAGATCTTGAGTATATTTTTATATCTATAGAGCAAGCTAACCCCATTCTTCTAAAGTCATTCATCTCTCCTTATACTTCTTTTATTTATTTTTTAATCTTTATTATTTAAAGCATCAGATGTCTCCTTTTTCACCCATTGACCTCTCCCGGTCTTCTTTTAAAAGTACTGATAACTAGCTTATCAATTTCCATGAAAATTATTCTTGGATTTTTATAATTTATTTAAATTTGTAAATTTATTTAGCCAGAATTTACACTTTTATCATGTAATCTTCCTACCTACATCCTTTTTTTTTACATCCACCAGTAAAGTTTTGTTGTTTTCTTTACATAGATCTTGCACATTAAGTAGTATATTTCTGGGTATACTAAAGCATTTATTTTTCTGGTAGATAAGAAGGTGTTTAGACTTTCTAATATACATTGTTTACCAATGTTCTTTTTATTGCTACTATTGATTTCTCATTTTCTTACAATTAACTTTTTCAAAAAAATTCATTAAGAGTTTGGGAAGGTGACCATAAATGTCTGCCCAGTCAGTCACCTGGAATCCAAAGCATGGACATAGCATTTTGAGTGCATTTTGGATAGGACTTTAAAAGCTGGAAATG